GGCATTCTACACGCACGCCGCGATTAGCCGTGCAATCCGGGAGATACGGATCTGGGTCGGGCCGGACACTCGTCTGGGCCACTACTCGCATCCGCCGTGCTTGTTGTTGGAAAATCATGTCTGTTGCCGCCAATCGTGTTGGAAAATCGTCCACATATTTCCCAACGGTCGGCCGTCCAGAGCAGCTTTCAAGTGCTGCGCAGAACGCTGCCGCCACTTGTCCATTTCATATTTTGTAAGAACAATCTCTCCTTGTTTTTTCCGCGGGGAAACAGGGGAGGATACATGGTGCATTTCATGCAAATCAGACCCTAGTTTCCTCGGCTACCCCTTGGGCGACTACAGGCCGATTCCGCTCCGTTCTCGGCTTCGATCACTTGGCATGCCGAACGATCGCCATTGTGCCTTACCTAAAAGAGACCAGCAGAGAGACACACAGGCAGCCCACCCCGAAAGCACACTTATTTGTAATGCGCACAAGACACACACAGTACAGCACTATTCACCCATGCCTAATCTCTCTGATGTGGGACATGATGATATCCTTTGCAGATGTAATCTACTGCCTACCGATAGTGCTGTAAGATTCAAACGCAAAACACCACCGGAGGGTACATACTGCACTCTCAACATTTTAAACCCGGTGCCGCATCCGTGGGAGAGAGCAGAGAAAACGCACACCGGAGCCGATGCTAACGTACTAACTCGCTCGGTGCTTGATGCTGTTGTGATTGCGGTTCGTGTGGCTCCCAATATTGGGAGTGAAGGTGGTTGGTCTTTCTGTGTGCAATTTTTCGCTCAAAGACGAGAGTTTTCACCACTACACCTCCGATCACACCTCCGATCACAGTTATCTATTTGTAGCACAGAATGGTAAAGTTGATCACAACCTTTCGGTAGTTTGTTCGATAGTGGATGATGGTCTCGATTCTCTGAGTGGGCCGTTTCTTTTGTCGTCGATCTGGTGCTTATGTGAGGCGGTTTCCCGTCAGGCCCTTGGTATCTCGCGCTGCCAACGTATGCGCTTTTTTGCCGTATGCTCTGTCCAAGATGAGGGGGAGAAGATGTGCCAATAGGTATTGCTTGCACAGGTACATCCTCTGTGCGGATAGTTGCTGTCTCGGAGACAGGCATGCACACCTGCTCAGAAAATACTGCTCCTATGATTTTCTCTCCGCACAACTACTGTACTCCTGTTCGTCACCCTTACATATACCGCCTCCCCATCCCTGTGGACCCCCCCTCGGTGTTTGCCATCGGGATTGGGTTTTCGTCGATTGGCAACGACGTTGTAAAACAAGTCAATTCGCTTCGTGAACTCGGCAACCAGGTTACCGTCTTTTTTTTTTACCTCTGTTTTTTTTTTGGCGGTAACCATAATGGTGGTCGAGTAGATCATGTTGTGCGGGGTCGAGAAACCTCGCTCCGCGCAACGGGGGATGATCGCACCACGTTGTGTTAAAATGGTCAAGCTTCCTCGAGGCAGTTACACAGTGCTTACAACTGCCTCTGGAAGTGAAAGCACCAGAAAATAAATTAAGTCATACGTAGCTGTCATCCGTACGCAAGGAAGTAAGCACAAGATGCCGAACACCCTTAGCAGGATGCAGCTCACCCTTCATGCGACTCGCCAAATACCTCACGGCGCTTCGCGCTTGGCGATGTGAGAGCCTGGTCCGGTGAGAACCCGGCGTGCTCCGTCCCGGCTTTGTAGGGATGCGAGGTCAATGGTCAAACGACTACGGCATGCACGACTATGAGTACACCCCCCCCCCATCCCTGTGAGCCTCACAACATGGACTCACTGCTGCCCCATCCTTGCCGCGGTGATTTGTGGGGCATGGAAGATTTTTGACCGCAGAGAGCCCGTTGTGGGGGAAAAAAAGGACAATCCAGTCACGTGAGGGTCAATTTGTGGACGGCTCTGCGCTTTGAACCGCCAAGCATGAAGAATGCCAGTGCAAAGAGTGTCACCGACAGCAGTTGCGATCTGGATGCTGGCGTGCTACATCCTCGGGAGCATGTTGCATGACGCACACGTACACCTCCTGAGCGAAACCCACGCGGAGAGATGTGTGCCTTCTTCCCAATTCGATACTAACCACCGCATCTCCAACAACCAATCCAAACATTAGATTGTGCCTGAAGAATTGAGCTCAGCAGACCGAACTTGGGGGGCTTGAACAATTGCACCCGAGAGAGAAGCTTGAGCCGCTAATAAAGGCAGAATTTTGGATACCCTGTTTGGATGCTACAAGAGGGACCGTTCATTCAAATTCATTCGGTATTGTACGTGACATCCGCGCACACGTAATCGGGACTTGATGCGGAAAAACATGTCGCGAAGATATCTACACCGGAACGCAACGTCACTCCCATGTACCAAACAGACAGGCCAACAGTGGAAATATACCACAAGCGTCTGTCACCTGGGCCTGCAGCACCTAATAGCAAGAACGTTCTGGTTTCGAGCGCAGCGCACACGCCCGTCTCTCGCGCCCCGCCCAACAAACTGTATCGAACGTCAATATTATTCTCTTGCAAACTGCATTCCACGGTCACTTCTCTCAACATTCTCTTAGGGACGCTGTTGGCGCTGCAGCGAGTGGTGAGCTTCTCCGCGCTATTGTAGAGAGCATGTAGTAAGAGTGAAACATAACATGCCATACACACTATAGAGAAGCTCTTCGATGTGTTCCGTATGGGAGCTGGGACCAACTCATAGGGATGGCGAGGACACTACCTTATACATGTATATGGAATTATATTGTGACGTTTATTTTGTTGCGGTTGATAGTACTGTACGTTCGAGAGGAATTGTTCTGGCTTGGAACTACGCGCAACAAAGGAGGTGACTCATTTTGAATTCCATCGTTTTGTAGTGCAACGCCCTTACTTTAGCACCAACGAACGCATTGGCACCAAAGAACCCTGTCCGTCGCATAAAGGGTGCTTACATCGCCTACATTTCGATTCACTCAGAGGACGCGAGTGTAAATTCTGCGCCCAGAAGACTGAATGCCGGCGGTGATTCACTCAATCGTACACGAACGGGTTTCAGCTACACAATGGGTGGATCAAGGGTATCACGGGAGTCAATCAGGCGGTGCCCTTGTTGTTGTTCGAAGTTTTACAGATTAGGTCGTGCAGTGGCCTTTCCTGTGATATCCACGGTTACGGTCAGTAATGACCTGCTTTGTGTCTCACGTTTGAACAGCAACACACTGACCTGTTCTGTGGGAATGAATCACTGTGATGCTCGTTGTTGAACCGACGGAGTGTAACATTGTCGATCTATTGAATGAGCCATTACATTTGACATGGAAGGGTTACGCCGAACAGGCCTTCCATGACCTTCACGGCGCAGTTAGCACCAACCTCCGTGGTGCACGACCTTGCTGTTTGCATTTTGTTTCTCTTTCGATTCTTTCATGTCCGATATTCTTGTCGAACGCGAAAGTGAATGCGTGACTCCAAAACCAGATATGGGACCAACATATTGATGAATTTCCAGTACATTGCGCATTCTTCCCCTCCCGACATCCACGTGTTCATGTTGAGGGTAGTGGCGCGTTCTGACCTGGACGTGTTGTCTGTAGTGAAGCCGACGTTTCGGGTGCCGCGAACCTATGCCCGTTACTCATTAATAGACGTTTAAAAGTGGGAAAGTGAATTGCAGGACTCCGCAGTATGCACACATGCGCACGCCGCACTTCGCCTACTCTTAAGCCAATCGACGCTGTCTTCTTGCCGTAGGGTTGTCATTTTTACACTATCGCTAAAATTGAGTAGTTTATATACATATTAATCCCATTTCGACCACCCCGGGAAGGCGGGGGTATGACGTATTTTTCTGTCGGAAGGAGTGAATTCTTTTGAGGTCAAGCTTTGAGGTAAGTTCGGAAGTCAAACAGTGGCATCGTTTCCCTACCCCAAGGACGAGCAAACCACTTCCCTCTCCGTTCAGGCTTGTTTTGTTGTCAATTTTCCGAACATGTCGTTGACAGCTGCTGGGAAAAAGACCTGTACCGTGATCCAGGGGATGCATCACTAACGCGTTCCTCCTGTTGTAAAGCTTAAACCCAATAACGTGTGTGCCGAATAACGGGCGTGCCGGACAATGCACCGAAAGGGAACCATTTGGCATCGTGTTGAATTCGACTCACGACCAAGGCCGTTCTGGGCACGGAATTGTATGTTTTTTCGCCCCCCTGCGTTTGTTTGGTTAACACCCACCAGTTGGGCACTGTATTGCGTTGTCAGCGGGGTTGTTGCACAGCACTCACTGGTCCATCCTACTGTTTTTTTTCCTCCAAACGGATTGTATCTTTTCTTGCACGGTTCTGGTGAAATGACTGCGTTCACTTCATTTGCTGCCTCACTGTCGATGGTGGCATGTACTCCGCCATACGTGCCCAGAATGAACAAACAAACGTTGTCCGTATCTTGCGGAGCTATCTACTACAAGTACCTCGGTTTTCACTCAATCTGGTATTGGCGGAATTCAGGTCTTCTTTTGTCAAACCTACACATTCATACCCTTGCAACATAACCATGCGGCCGAATCTATTCTCACCCACTTCTAGAATCTGTGAACCGAGAATAGCGCATTCAACCAGCAGTCATCGACCAATCGGTAGGGAGGGGTTTCCCGTTTTTTTTTCTTCTCAACCCTACTGGATTCGTACCCTAGCGTCATACCCTTGCTGCCGAATCCAAGCCCGACCACTCGTAGAACCTGTGAACGGAGAAAACGTGTTCACCTGGCATTGAAATGCAGTACGCGAGAAATGTTGCCATAGGATTGCCAAGTTGACAAAGGCCAATGGCAGGGCTTGACGATCTTAGTCCAAGTTTCAGCAACAAGAGCCTCGGGGTCCACATCGAGAACGACGATGGGGTTTCGTTAGTTGGTGGTTTTGTCGGCGCTCGCTCACGCTACTCTCCGTTCCTCAAGACGTGCCACGTGAGGCGGCGAGGCGCGGCTCTTGTTTGTCATCATGTTATGCTTGAGGTGAATTGAGCTTCTCTTTTGTCGTACAACACTTCTCTCTCATCCATCCCGAATTTTTCTCCAATGAATGTTGTGTGCCCCTCCTTGCAGCAAACCTAAAAGCTCGCACGAGTCGGAAGTGATGGGTTGGCAAAGCCCCAAGGTTGGCCACGCCGCCGCTAACGACGGCACCATTGGTCACCCCACGGCAAGCTCCAATGCGGATCGTCAGCGATCTGTCGACAGACGCCAGTGCAAGAGAAAGAAGAAGAGCAAGAAGAGCGTCACGCGCACGCCACCTTCCGCCGTCGCTAAAGCAGAGCAAGATCACGACAGCGCTACTGCTGACACGCGCAGGTATGCTGGTCGGGGTGGTGGTGGCGAACGGCGAGAAAACGTTTTGGTCGAGCCGCCCGCGACCCGTGGGTGGAAACGCACTGCGTCCCGCAACGTGAACGGTACTGCGGAGGCTGGCGGACACCGGGTCGGCTACGGACGAAAAGATCCTACTCCTCGGGAGACAAAGCTGCCTTCGAGAACGAGCGCCGCTACCCGTGAAGCTGCGTCGGCCGCTGCGAAGTCCGCCAGCACCGGAGTGGATCCCGCAAGGTTGGAATACCCCGCCATGGTTTCCTTTCTCCGAAGCGAGGGTTGGAAATGCGCGGACGGGAAGGGCTTTCACACGTGGTTCTTCGTTGTTCCGGCTACAGAAACCCATGACGGAAAAAAGAGGGTGGACTACCTGGTTTCCGAGGAAGAGGTGGTTCGGTACGTGCTCACGAACAAGATGATTTTCGCTCGCTACGCAGCCTATGACGAAGAAACGCCAGCAGCAGCAGGGGGGGTCGTCGAGAGTGCGGCGGAAGGTACCCCACGCGTGCGAGGTGACGCTGAAGGCACAGACTGGCACCCTGGTAGCCATAGCAGTGGCGGTGGCAAGAGGATACGAGGTGTCCGTGGATCGCATGGAGGAGCAGCTGGGCTTGGCAAAAGGAAGACCAGAAGGGACTCGCTGGCTGTCGCCAGGGCCGTCACTAGCGCCGCTTCTTCCAAAGAGTTTCGCGCTCGTTTCGGTATCGATGCCGCAAGTCGCTCTGCAATTCCTCGCCGGCCAACAACACGTGCTGTGGGGCAGGATCCCTCCATCGACAACAAGTGGCAAGGGGTTCACGCAGACGGTAGGCATGACTCTCGTAAGAGTGTCACAAATGGCTCTCGTACGAAGATTGGGTTTTGGTCCAGTAATGCACCCAATGCTGCGTTGTCCGCCCCTTTTGGATTGAACAACACTGGCCGTGCCGCCTCTCTGCGGGATTTCAGTCGCGGGGTAGGGCACCAACTTGCCCAAGCTGGCGGGCACCTAAATACGGGAAGCCGGGCTGGAACCTTCAGTACGGGAAGCCGGCCAGGAACCTTCGCAGACGGTGCTCAGCGGCAAATGGGTTGGCAGGCGGACCGAGGTCGGCCCCAGGTAACCGTCGAAAAGGCCCCGAGTTGGCTGGAGATCTGGCCGAAACTCCGACGGGAAGGGTGGCACTGGGACTACGGCGAGCAGGCGGACTCATCCTGCGTCTACCTTAAACCTGGTGTTTCCAAGGACGGTGCGACTCTGGGCGTGGACATGTTCGACTCGAAGCACGCGGTCATCGCCCACGTGCTCAAGCACGCGACGAGCTCGGCAACCCCTCACGCTGCCGAGCATACCGTGGTTGGCGACAGCGATGGTGACGAGAATATCGACGTCGTCGACGGCGAGCTTTCGTCGAACGCATGGCTGGCGGCCGCCGCCACAGGACAAGGCGAAGGTCAGTCCGCCGGACCGGGCGCTGGACGTGCTGCTGAAGCGAGGGTACCAGAAAAGAAGCGCGGGGTCGCCGTCTTTCACAGGCATTGCCAAGGGGACCTCCCTTTCCCTGCTGTAAAGCGAGGGCGGGTCGAGCAGTCCCGAGGGGTGATAGGCGGGAAGGATGCAGCAGCCGAGAGCGGAGATGAAATAGAGGTAGCAGCGTCGTTGGTGATGGAGATGCTGAGGGGTGAAATGGAGGATTCTGTGGCGAGGCGATCCGTCGAGTCGGCCACGCAGCAGTTTGATGCCGAGGGTGGCTCACGGGGGGAGGATAATCTGACGGCACACTGCTGCGAACAGCTGCTGGCTCTCTCGGAGAGCGGAAGTGGTGCCGCTGCTTGCGGTTCGGATGGCGCTTCTGCTTCCGGTCATTGCGAAGGTGGTGACCTCGTCACTGGTAAGGCTTCCGTGGACCGCTGCGCGGAGAACGGAGGCAACGGAAGCAGTGACAGCGACGACGTCGACGTTGTCAAAAATGACGCTGTCCCGCTGAACCATCTGCTCCCGATTTCGCGTGCAAGTTCGGGGAGCGCGAACGCAGGCGATGACCTTGGAGCGACGCATTCATCCAGCCCTCCGCGTGAAGGTCCTCTCGCCGGTGTTGGGGTCATTCTTGCGGGCCTTGGAGAACAGCCACGGCAGGAAATGGAGGCGAAGATCCGCAACCTTGGGGCAGAAGTGGTTGACATCCTCGGCGAAAGTGGCGGGTGGAAGAGCTGGCTCTTGGGTGAGAGTACGCGGACCGTAGCCAACAGCGGATCTACGGCGGAACCTTCTTCTGCCAGGCACACTAGCGGTAGCGGTGATTGCAACGGCGACCCTTGTGCGACAGCGAACTCAGATGCGCGCACGCCCGAATCGACGAAGCTCACCAAGCCACAGATGAGGATGATCGCGGTGGCAGCGCCTGGTGAGCTTCGTCTGTTCTCGTTGATTTTCATGTTTTTTTTTATCGAAAATGTCCCACGCCTCTATCGTACGTCTAGAGTGGTCCTAACAATGCAACAGGATTTTCAGGCCGTGCTCGCACGCATACTCTTGTGCGTGGAGTTTTTCGCCTCAAATACTTCGAACGTGTGGCCTAGAAGTAGGAGATGTCGTGGTCACCTCAAAAGTTTGACTTTGTGGCCTGTTTTTCATTTTCATGCGTACCAAAAGAGCAGAGGTTCACGGGACTCAGCTCAAAAGAGACTTTATTTTTTGTTTTTTGTGGAGTGTTGGGGTGTGACGTCATTCTGTATCGTGTGGCGACGTATGTCTTTGTACCATTTCGCCTGTTTTTTGTGCTTTGGGCATCTTTCGCTGGCGGAGGAGAGTATTTTCTCACGCTTCCTTCTCACGGGCAAAATGGATTGGATCACCAGCCACCCTTGGCACTTGTACTTGACGCCCAAAATTGAGAAATCTGTCTGTCTCCTTTCAACGAGAAGAAAGCCTTCGCAAGAGTATATACTTTGACAAAACTGGTTTGCCAACACACAGGAAGACTTTGGTTTTTGGTTCCTGAGCAACTTACACAAGTCCCACAGACCATGGACAACACGAATACACGAGAGCGAGTGCGCAAACGCAACGGATTCCAGCAGTAGGACCTGTGGTAAAGACGCCGATAGCCTAGTAGCACACACACGCACAAGCGGGGAGTCACGGCGAGAAAAAAAAAAACCTCGCACACAGTGCAAACTCCAGGAAAATTCTGCAGGTTGTACGCAAAACCGGCACTCGCTACTGAACGCGATCACGTCAATATGCAACAATACGACCTCGATGCTATACGCCATATGCTCGTCCCCCCGGGAGGCAAGCCACCCAACTCCCGAAGGAGAACAGTCTACCGAACGTATAAAGTTCATTCCACCGGAACACACTGTCGGGTTATTTTTCCACCATTGAAGGTCGTCGGTGGTTGTGCGCTGAAAGGATAAAAACAATCCAGTTTCGTGCGATGCAAGCGTTTGGGCGGTATGTCCGGTCTTAATGCAGAGACCGCTGCTACTCCCAAGAAACGTGTATCGCTGCATCCTTACATAGAAATTGTTAGCTTAGTCGGATCAGACGTCAGGTTGATGCTATGAACGGGGTGCATGACATTGGACCTACGATGCCAGATTTGGACGATTTTGTTTTTGTCACATGCAGTCATTGACCAGATATTCCTCTCTCCAAGTCGGGCGTTTGCCTATTAGCGGCTTCACACCACTCCCTCTCGTCTGTGCAACCTCTACTCACGATGCAGGCAGCGATCGCACCCCCGAGTTCCAGCTTGCTGTAGCAGCGGGAATGCCGATCGTCCATCCGTCATACGTGGCAGCCTGCTCCGGCATGGAGATCGAAGTCGAGACTGGCCGATATCTCCTGCCGTTAGGGCGCTCAGGGTTGGGTAACCGACCGCTGATTATGCCTTTCCGCTCCGGCAGAGGACGGCCGTTCCAAGACCAACTCGTGATTTTATGTGTTGACAATCCGGCGGCCGACCAGGCGGCGTTGGAGAACTGGCTGTTCATGCTGAAAGTCGCGGGCGCCACGGTGCGAGTTTTCGACGTGGGCGGCGAGGGCGGCTGCGCCGAGGGAGACGCAGACGGTGTCGAACATAGCCTATGCACCCACGATGCCGCCCTCCAGCTTCTGCAGGAGGGGCGAGTGTACTGCGTCATCGGTTCCGAGAGCACCGCTGTTCGGGTCTCAACGGCGAGGTCCGCGATCGAGAAGGCCGCCGTAGAGGCAGGCACCCTCGCGGGCAGCCTCGAGTGGGCGCTGCAGTGCATGGCCCACGGTCGTCTTCTCCTCCCGAGCGCCGCGACGTGCCCCTGGTTCCCGTTGAGTGCCTCCGGCGTCTCGGTTCAGGATGGGCACGTACGGGGGAGCGGCGTCAACTTAGTCTTCCGAGTTGCCGACGAGCCCGTGTGTCTATTCCACGTGCATGTTTATGGCGGGAGGAGGTACGTCGCGGGTGACTATGTCATAATTAAAAGGGACGGAAGGGCCTCTGACGTCACGTACGGGACTGGGGCTGAGACGAGCGCTAGGACAACCGCAGTGGGTAAGACTGTCGATGCTACCGAATTCGGCCTTCCCATGGTGGCTCGCGTCATTTCCTTTCGGAGGGAGGGTAGTGAAAAGGTGAAGGTCGAAGTGGCCATGCTAGGCCAGGGTGAGGGACCCATGCTACACCAGGGTGAGGGCTCTAATGCCTCAAGCGCTGCCGGTGCAGGGGAACAAGAGGTGGAGGAAGACAGGCTGGGTGCTCGAGTTCTCGTACTGACGAAGCGGGAAATGGAGGCCACGCAGCTCCACGCTTTGAACGACGGTGCCATATTTTGTCTTAAGGACTAACGATGGGAGAAGTGATGGGAGTAATATCATCAAATGTTTTTCAAATCGATGGCCGATGGTTTGTTGGGGCGAGAGGCGAGAGTAAGAGACAGTGAATCGGGTGAGAAGTTTGGGTCGAACCGGTTAAGCGTTATGTGCATAGTTAATACCATCATCTGGTAGACGCGAGGGGGAGGTGCAGACTTGGTGGTGGCAGAAGGTAATCGCCATATTCGCCGTCAGCCATGTACTGACATCCTAGCCTCGGAGTAAGCCCGTAGGTCGGGAACGTAAACTTCGAACACAGGATGTTGATATTTGCACGAATAGGTGGACGCTTGCACGGATAGGCAGCATTGACACAGGAACCTTTTGAGTGTGACCGTAGCCGCGTTTATTGTTACAGAGCCATCGCCAGTAGGTATTTCTCCCGCAATTCAAACTCACCCGGTCGTGGACGGCCTTGGCGAGGGATTCATTCCAGGGAATTTTGTCATTCGGGTCCAATTTCGCGCTTTTCTTTGGAAAAATTGAATCTGGACGTGCGAATCCATCACAAATTGGCTGGCGGGGTCGTAGCAGTAGCGATGGTGTCTCGAAGTTCGCCAAACATGGGTTCTGTGCAACCCTTTCTGGCCTGTTGCTGGAGTCCAATAGGTCGGACGTAAGCAAGGCTAACGTGGAATGAAGGGTGATGTATTGTCGATAAACCAGGTCCTCTTTTCGACTTTTTCAGCAACTGTTTGTGACTGCCGCCGTAGAAGACGCGTGATGTTTACGTTTTGCGTGGCGGAAGAACGGGTAGGGTGTCCCCGGCTGTCGAGAGCTCCAATGAACACTTCTTGCTGAGACTTGTATTGTGGGGCGACTTAATTTGATCGCTTCACCTGGGCAGGCTGCAAGGCGGGGTCTGCTCCTCGCACATCTGCTTCGGTTCCGAGTTCGTCGCTGCTGCAGCTGGTGGAACTAAATAAGTGTTGCCCGGCGGTGTTCACTGCGATAGGTTTTGATTAGTGAATGTCTTCCGTACCCACAGTTTCTTGGCTCTGCACCGTTCCTGAGCGCCACCGCCGCTTGATTTGCGCACTGCTGTTTTTTGGACGCATTAACGACACGGACTTCTCTTTGAGGCTTGGCATCAATCTTGAGAATATGGTTGGCTGGATGACTATTTGTAATGTATCTGACTGATGGAAGAGAAGAACAAGGGGCCTGTTTCGTAAATAAAGATTATATCCCCAGGCAAACATCCTCTCAAATCCTTTCGATGTCTGTTGGACCCTCCGGGCGAAAAGCCGCTGTAAAACGCCGTGCTAGATTCTGGTGGTCACGCAGTGATTGCAGCGGGTTCTGCAACCATGGAAATGTCAAACTTTTCCGAGTTTTTCAACTGTGACTGCGTGAACAAATTGAAATGGTGTATCAGAGAATAGTTCCTTTCCGCTACTTCACGACACTGACGCGCAGTCACTCGCTGGCATTCCTGCACGGTTTCGAAACGCACTGTTCCTGCTTGCGTGGGGGGCGGAACCTCGCAAACTTTGTGACTGTGTGTACCCTTGTGTCCATCAACGTTTTGGTACGCTTGACAGTTCCAAATGTTTGAAACGAATGGTGTCGCAGGTAGGTTGTTTCGTAACTTCGGGATCATCAACTTCTGCTGATTCCAAGGAGTTCACCGGGGTTCAGAACTAGCGAACGGGACCGCCGTTAACCAAAACGCACGGTTGCAGATGGTTTGGTGCTCATACACCTGCTGGCATCCCTGTTTCATGCCATGGAAAAACATTGATAGGCTTGGGTTGCCTCAAAATAATGAGCCATTCACGTTTTCAAGACTTGAAACCCGTCGACTTCGCACCCTTTTGTCATAGCTCGAACGGCTAGTCTTCCACTTGCTTTATGTACATTCCTGGAAACGCCAGGAACATGCCTCTCGTGCTTGGAAGTCACGCCCCAGTCAAGCCTGCTCATTGTAGCAAAACAACCCGTCTACGTTGTGAAGAGAGAGAGCGGAACTCGTTTGGGTGTGGTGCAGAAAATTATTTCATGCCATGCCATAGTATGCGGCCAACAGGTCGTCAAGGACTCCTCATATCAGAATACAACCCTGCCTATCTTATATTACGGGGGGTGTACACTCGTCAGCTGGAGCAGGACCACAGTTCGATTATCTTGACGCGCCTAAGAGGAAGCCGTCCCCTCCGCCGAACAGTGAAACCTGTGGGCTAGGCCCCTTTGTGTTGTCCTATACCGGCTCCTTCTTGTCACAATACCTACCGTGAGGTCCAAAACAGCGACGGTTGAGAAACATCATGGAGAATACAGGCGGAGTAGCGTGTTCAGGCTACAAAAGCGATAGTGTCTCTGGTCCGGCCGTTGCAAGACACAATGGGTCTACACACTAAAGCAGTCAACATATCCTGAAACCATCACAACTACCGTGCTGTGCCGTCGGGAGCCATTCCTGGCGTGTTCACTCGACTAGTCATCGTGCAAGAGTGTCAAAACATCCTCAAACCATCACAACCGTCCGGACACTGCGCAGTGACATCGAACTCGTTCCTATCGGTTTTTTCCCAATGGCTCAAAAAGAAGAGCAGCCCTCGCTCGTTGTACGAACCCCGGGCGCGTCTTCCCCCCGTACCAGAAGCCCACGCTCACCTGCGGAACGCCCGGAACAATTCCAGCTGCCGGTGCCTTCGACGCTCGGGCCGACACCTTGCGACACCAACAGGGGCCATCCCACGTCGCCGCCCGGCATTCGCCTTGCCCTCCCCACCCGACTTCCCCGCGCTCAAAACAAGGGGCCAGAGCCAAGAGGTGGCGGTGAAGGCGACCCGCCTGGCTATCATTCGGCGCATGCAAGCCTTTAGGACGGGGTCTTTGGGAGGCAGACCGGCGTCGGCCGGGGTTACGAGCTCGATATACGCTGCGGCCCTCTCGTCTCCCCCCTCGTCCGCGAACGGATCGAGCGCTCCCATGCTGAGGAGCTTGGACAGGGACTTGAACTCGAGGCCGTACACAGCACCGTTGACGAGGGTCATAAACCTGAGTGACAGGTGTGCAAGAGCACAGATGGGCTCATTGAGGACGGGGTCTCTTGAGGAGTGTCATGCGGGCGGTGGTTGTTGCGACAAACTATTCAGCACGAAAAAAACAACTCTCTCTTGCGAAATCACATGCAGTGGTCGCCGAAGCCAACAAAGCAGCAACACGAAAAAAAATATATATATATGTCGACCTGCGACAGCGCTCTTGAACAGAGCCTCGCCCCGGCAACAACCACCGCAACCACCAGCTTGTTAAGAGCCTTGCCTATGCTAGACGCTTGGGAGGGAAACTGCAGCAAGTAAAGCAAACACCGGCGCGTTACCTGCGATCGCTCCTGAAGAGACCCTTGCCTACTCTAGACGCTCGAGAAGGATACACCGTCCCTTCCTCCTCATCCTTCCGCTCTAGCGTCTTGAGCATCTCCACAGCAATCGATGAGTTGCTCTCCACGACGGCGTTGTAGAGCGGGGACGCTCCTTTGCTGCAAACAGTCAGCGGGTCAGCGCCCGCTTTCATGAGCTCCCTGGCCGCCTCTAGCTGCCCCTCCTTGCCCGCGATGTTCAAGGGAGTGTTGTCCAGCATTCCTGTTTGGTTTGGGCGTTTGGGCTGCCGCAAATTAGGAGTGAGCTATGACCGTGTGAAACGAGAGTTTCGGCAGTATTCCTGACCGAAATACGAGCATCCAGAACAAAATGATGGTCCGTACCTTCTATTGAGTCAGATACACCGAGCCAATTTTCCCGAGCCTTCCAATCAACAGCAAACAACACTCTTCCTTGACGAGTGCGAGAAAGCGACTTACCACGAACAATGTCGTCACCCCACACGGTTTGGAACACCTATCCCTGTTTGTCTCCCAATCATGTGTGTTATATCCGATCTACAGCTAGTCTGCACGTCGAACAAAATAGAAACCATTCGGTGCGTGTTGGCTCCCACTCCAATGTAGGTGCTAACCTTGACGCACATGTATCGGGAGGAGGGTTCCGCCGCGCCTTCCCTCCGTTGCCCGTGACGCCGCATGCTGCCAACCACACGCGAGCACTAATCTATCCACACTTTTTCATCGACAAACCGTGGCAAGATTCGAACGCCAACTCCCAAAACGTCACAAGGTTTCGAGATCACCAATGTTGCTACCTGGGGCCACCAGCCGAAAGACCTCAGCAAAAAAAGTCAAAACCACGAAAGGTTCGCTTGAGGAAAAAGAAACAGCAGAAGAGGCTCGAGAGAGGAAGGAACAGCACAAGAGGCTGGAGCCAAACCGAGGCTAACGCTCTGGCCCGTACCACATACTTCTTTATTACCTGGTGCATCGGGCTCGGCACCCGCTTGGATGAGAGCCCGGATCATGCGCACGTTTCCCAGCCGGGTGGCCGCGTGGAGAGGAGTCCAGCCGTCGATAGTGCGAGAACCGGGTTTGCCGCCAGCCTTGATGACGGTTTCAACCATGTCTGCCGAGGAGTAATCGGCGGCTATGAAGAGGGGGCTCATCCCGTTGGGGCAGGTGTCGTTAACATCGTTGCGACCCTGCCGCAGCAGCCACTGGAAGAGCCCTATGTGTCCCTGAGAACAGCCAGCCACATAGGAGAGGAAGAATTGGAGCATAAGGTTTTCAGGTGTGGCGGTCGACAAGGTACGTCGGTGCTTGCTTGCCAAAAAAAATACGAGAAAGGTGTCGTGGATACGTGACACGAGAGCCAGTGCGGAGGAGCAATCACACACAAACGGTTTGTCCCTCCACCGGTCCATGTGCTAACGTCACACGCGCTATAGGTTTATCTTCCACCACGTGCAAAACGAATGATGCATGCGCCTAAAGCCGTGACTCCCATGTCAAACCTCTCATGACTCAAGCGTGTACAACTGGGTCAATTCAAACAAAACACAAAACCCGCACAAAATTGAATGTACAGCACCGTAGTATGGACCAGTGTTCATAGATAATAAATATGTAGGCAAAGCGTTGTGGACGTACGTTCTGCGTCGCGATCATCAGGGGCGTGTGCCCCTGCCCGTTCCTGCTCATCACGTCGCCCCCGGCCTCCAGCACTGCCTTCATCACCAGCCGGTTGCCTCCGAACGCGGCCCCGTGCACCGGCAAGTTGCCCATCGTGTCCTTCACGGTCACCGACGAGCCCGCCTTGAGAAGACGGCGAACGACCTTCGGGAGAAACGAAGCGATACAGTGGGGGATCCCGTGTAGCGAGACCCCTAGCGTCACACGACAACATGTGGCCGCTATTTAGGGCACGTCGTTCAACCGAACTACAAAGGATACTTCTATAAAGCAGCTATACTGTCGGGGTGCGGTGGTGCGACGTGGTTTGGGCTCGCTAATCAGGGCATGTCGCAAAACAGGGGGTTCCTAAGCCGTGTCCCCTACTGTAGAAACAAAAATCGCCCCCAACGCGCGAAGACGAAAAGCAGAGCAGTGGGAGTCCCTGTCAAATGGCGGTATGTGCCCAAAACGTTCGCCGGCACAATACCGAACCGGCACTATGCACTGACAAATGAAAGGACACTCAGTATGTGCCCGCCGACGACACCGTTACTCTTGGCACTATTCAACCGGCACTGAACAAGGACCCGTTCTGTGGGTGGTTTTGGTGGCATGATGCGGAACTTTAGGGGTTACGGCACGATAGACCTGCGACAGTGTGGCAAGAATGTTGGTTGGGCAGGAATACCGAAGTGGTGGTTGGACAGAAAAAAAAAACTCTACGAGCACGATACACAGGGCAGCAACAACAGGCAGCCATTAACTGTCTTCTGTTTAGCACATTCCCCCTATTTAACCATTCTGCACGACGAAGGCAGCAGAACATTATCCGTTGGCGGAGTGAACGGTCCGGGATTTTCAATGACATACCCGCGGGGCTACAAGAGCAGCAGGCGAAACGAAGAGACCTCGCTGCGAAATAAAAATAAAAAAAAGACACGGGAACGTCTCTCTAGAGGTTGTGGGATTTCCTGGCCTTTCGTTCTTAGGAAAGAGGTTGCGTTTTTATGACCAATAGGGGCGTTCTCAAAAATATCACGGTGCATCACGACCCATCGACAGGAGCGTCCGGTCCCAACCAGATTCCGCGGACGCGAGGTTGATTGGAAAGCTGGCAGGGAACTCAGCGGTCCCCCAAGGGTACACGGTTTGTACCGACACAAACGCCGGTTTAACGATCGGACACGGTAGCTTTCACCATGCAGTAGTGCCTCACAGCGACCTTACCGTACCACAATAATACCGGCTCGTCGCCTGTACCACCCACATCGTTGCCAAAACGACCCGTATCGTCGCTCACACGGCCCCACCCACCTCCAAGCACCCGGACCGCACGGGGCTGCTGACGGCGTTGAACAAGGGCGTGCGGCCGAGGCTGTCCGTGCAGATGATCGAAGCCCCTTGGTCTAGGAGAAGCTCGACGACGGCAAGATGGCCGGCGACGGCGGCGCACGTTAGGGCCGTCTCGCCGCCCGGCCCCGCGCCCTCGATGTCATCTCCGTTCTGCAGATACCTTTTTGCTGTATAGTTTTTGGGGGGATAATGCATCACGTGCGCGAGACAGATCAAGTGTCAGTCAACCCGCAGATGCCTCCTCTTCTTTGATTTTTTGCGATAGTGTGCCATGCGCGCGACACAGGTAAAAAAGAGGGAGCGATTTCATTTGTTCCGTCTAGCCGTGCCCTCCCTCGCCCTCGATGTTGCCTCCGTTCCGTGGGTACCCATATACTTGTTGATATATACGTCGCACGGACGCACGAGAGATAGAATTAAGTCTACCCCTGTTGAACATGTCAGTGCTACAGATGCGTATTGTTGTTTGAATGAAGATGATAACTCACAATATGCAGGTGCCCGTTGGTTATTTTGACGATATCTCCGTTCTGCAGGTATTGTTTGTTTTTGGTGATATGTAGTGCGTCACGTCGGCGAGACAAATACAATTCCACAATTTTTGTTGGACAATGCGCCCCGCGCGCGAGACAGATGAGGGAAAACTCAGCAGAGTAGTCCAGCCAACCCTAGCTGCGCAAGTTGTTCGAAACAATCACCTTCACGACTTTTTGTGGATGTCGTGTCAGGCGCGACGAGAAGTGAGAGAGTTCAGGCAGCCCCTGCTGCGCACGGTACAGGAACGAACCTGTGCACACCAGAAACAAACGTAGAGGCTTTGGGGGGCACGTTCCCAATCACCGTTGCCGTAGCCTGCAGGTGTGGATGCCTTACACCGATGGTTCAGATGGAAAAAAAAAAAAAAGTGCGAGATTCTAGTGGTCGGCCTGCTGCTCTCAACATCTTCAAAAAATTATGCGAGGAGCATGGTTTCCTTTCCTGACCTTCTCCAGAGTTGGGGGTATTCGTTGCGAAAGGTCTCCGAATCTCCCGATCGGGAGTTCAAAACGTGCCAAATCTACCCGAAACGCCACTACCGGACCACAACACCTTCAAATGTGGTAGCCGAGCCGCTGCTAACACATCCTACTACATGGAACCTTCGCTCCCTTTTATGACTTCTGCGACGACGGTTTGTGGGTCGACATCAGAATGGTACGAAGATTGTTGCGGTACAGATCATACGCAACACCCCATCGCCAGACGAAGAGGAACCCAAGAAAGAAAAACAACATTGACACAAAGTCAGCCAATCCCAGTCACCCTTCTTCGGTCCCTCTTGTTGTATCCCGTTGCGGCCCGCGAATAAAAAATGTCAGTTTCGGGGTCAAGGTTGAATTGCTGTACATGTATATTTCGTCACCACCACTGCCGTTGTTTTTTTTTTTCGCCTAGCATAGGTTCTTGTATTGAGCGCGGAGCGCGAAGCGTGGCCGTTTTTTTCCCTCCGTCCGAGGAGCGAAAAAACAAACAACAGGCTCTATCTTCCGGGGGCCCGAGTTTCAATAAACAGCCGCCTGAAATTTCCATCCTTTTCGACCAGGTCTACATAGAGCACCGAATGGCAAATAGCGATCTGCTGGCCTTGTGAGGAAAAAGAAAAATAGGGCCCTCTTCACCACACCGGTTTTGGTCGTGCTCCGACAGCAGATGGCCGTGCTTCACCGGCATCTGTACCCAAAAACCATAGGGGATATTAACCCCGATCCCCACGGAGATGTACAGGAATTGAAGGACAAAAATATCGGAGATCTCCCACACACGCCGGCAGTCATGCAGTTGGAACAGAGGAAGCACTCAGCCAAACACGCAACACCGCCGGGAGGGGAAAGACACCACCGGCGTGGGAAGGGAGCCATACACACAGCTCGTGGCGGATGCCATTGTGAATGCTGCTTGATCAGTGTGTGGGGAGGGGTCACCTGGAAACAAACCAGTGCCTGCCACGGGAAAAAGGCCCTTGTTTGGCGACGGGTGCTTTTTCTCGCATGCATGCATTTTGCCGACTCTCGCCACCTCAGCTTCCGTGGGTCCCATGATCCCGTGTCCTCTACAACGTATTGGCCGCCACACAAGACGTTGCATACACACAGCTCGCGGGGAATAGCTCCACAGTTGCTGCTACCTCAGTCTGTGCAGAGGCACCACCGAAAACCAAAATCGGTGGGGGGACGTGTGTATGACGTCTACCGTAGGTGACGCGAGATACCACACCCCCTGTACCGATTTGTAAAGCTCGAGGACTCCACATCGAAGAGGATGCGTACACCGAGAAAGACGTTGTCGGAGGAAGCGCTCGACGGGACGGCTCCCACATCAACATCAAAGGCACCGCCACTCTTTGTGGTGTGGAGCAACCGAGCTTTGAAACTGGTCCAGGGGATGTGGTATCTCGTGTCATCTACTGTACTGCTGTATGCACACGCCACAACGGCCATTCGTTGCCGGAGGGGTCTTTTTTTTTTTTGATGATCGACTACCACCCGCCACCGCACAAAAGCATCGTGGATTTACAACTGCGAGGTACTGAGTCGGCTACCCTGCGGCTCATTACCCCGCCCTATCTAAATAGTATACCATACGACTGCCGTGTGTTTCGTAATATTGCTGTGGTCGATTCATACGTGCCTCTCCTCCGGGCAGGTGCGAGAGAATACAGCAATCACACACACCAATCCGACGAAACCCATTCCTGTGTCGCTACACGGAGAAATAAGTTTGTCCGAGAGAGCCTCTCCGCCATCCCTTCATGCCGGGATAACCAGGTCCACCCCCCCCCCGAGGTTTTCGGCGTGGGGGTTGACGTGCAACGAGGCTGACTACCATACTAACGTAGAACTAGAAATATGGAGAGAGTTTTGCGAAAAACCACCATGTGGAACAAATCACCGCCAAATACCTGGGGAAACAAATATGACATACGAAGCACGTCGTAACCCACACTCACTCACTAGTCTACATGTGAGTGAGCCACGTCACCATCCGATATACGGTAACTGCCCACGAACGAACCACGTCTGGTTGATGTCTCGCCCGATCCTGGGGCTGCCACAAGGAGCGGAAAAACACCAAAGATATGAGCCAATCTGCAGCGTCGGGAGTGGTGATCATGGCTCAGGGCATTGTCCCGCTCTCGCGTGTTAATCCTCTCGCTCGCGAAAAGAAGGTCATCGACGTCCTGAGATGAAGCCCGATGGCCAATCAGCGGAAGAACGCCAGACAGAGCAGGCATGTCATAGTGGCGTCTTGTTGTGACGATACTCCGAAAACCCACGCGAGTCGTTTCGCCGTAAAGGACGGATCGTCCAGTAAATATCAGCCTCACTCGAAAAACCATTTCGAAGATACAGTCGTGGCTCCGATATACGAGGGTGGTGTGACGAAGGTCCTCGATGCTCTTCTATGGGAGCCCTCTCATCTTCCGGAATAAAAGAAAGCCCCTAGCTATGCTATTATAGCGAGTCCGTGACAACCGATTTCGACCCTCTGATATCGGAACCCCCTCGTACAACTTGCCTTCTTTACGTCGGAGCCACGACTGTACACCGAACGTGGAATGATGTATTTCGATAGGAAGAGCGGGAGAACCGAACAACAAAAAATAATAACGAACAAGCTACATGGCCAAACCACGGTCTACAAGTACGATGTAGAAGTCGGTATGCGCAGGCCGGCGGCTTTTGACAGGACGGCGTTTACGCGTGCGACAGATGATGACCAAGTGTGAGATTGAACAGCGCTGGGCCAAACGCTTGAGGAAGACAATTCAATAATAGAAGCTCGGTCGCCTTGGCGACCTCAGCATTCATATCGCCAAACCACAAGAGCAGTGTGCTCGCGCACAATTGCTACGAGACGGGAGGCAGCCACGGCAATGCCGCCGACTAGAAAGAAGAACGTCAACAGCCGGGCCGACCCACCTTTGGGTTTGTTCGCCTTGCCGATCACTCCCTCAAGCTCCCTGAGCTTTGATTCGTGTTCACGGTGCTTCTCTGTCTGGAGTGCCTCGAACTGTCGTAGTTCAGAGACAGTCACAGGATGGTGGTCAGCCGCTGCCGTCGCTGACAGACACCAATCGAGAAAACAAGCAACCGAGGGTATGATAATTGGTGAGGTAGGGACGCGAGTCTTTCTGGCCTGAGCTGTGCTTCCATGGCAGTCGGAGAAAGCGCACGGTGAGATAGAGGAGTCGAGGGCTGCAGATTCTTGAGGTAAATGGGCAATAAGGATGTGTGCTTATGCAGGTATTTGTTTGGGCGACTTTGCGAACATGATCGAGGAATCGTCTGGAAAAGAACAAGCTCCAAAGCACACACTCCAGTCTCGCATACGGGTGCGATGGGAAAACCTCAAATACTGAGGATTGGTATTTCAATGCTTCCCGATTGGACCCAACGCCACCAGATTCTTGATATTGTCGCTTTAATGTAAAATTTTCATGGAAATGACTGAATGTCGCGACCCGAAGTCACAGCAAGTGTTTACATCGTCAACCACAGGGTCGCCCGTTCGATTCTTGTCCATTTCCAAGCTGAGTAAAACAACCCGTATTTCACCAGCACATGCGAAGATGTCGGGAAAACGCACCAAGGCCACAGCGCCAGCGCTAAAAATGGCCTGAACCGTTGTCTTACCTCTATCTCGAGCTCTGTCCAAGAATCCTTCCGCCGTCTCGGTTATAGCCACCCGTCGTCTGAGAGCCAGCCCAGCCCCTACCATTGGTCGTGGACAACACAGGCAGGGAGTAAGGTTGGCAATCTAGCGGGCCTCAGCTCTCCGGGGTGCTGCTCTAGGTTGTGCCCGTAGATTCCTTGCGGTAGGTGGCGGTAACACAACACAGTCGGCCTCACCTACATCCACGCTGCCGCCGGGCTCGCTGTCAGGGACAGGGACATGTTTCTCCAGGTTTACCACCTGTGAAGTCGGGCGTGGGACACGGGGTGATATGTGATCGCGGTGTCGAAAAACGAGCAACAAGCCGTTCTCTTGTTTATACTTGACTCACAGAATATGTCGAACCTTGGCATTATTACGGCGATCGCGTTTCACCTTGCGCTGGAGCTTCTTGTTCTCTGATCTCATTGCTTTCAGCTCTTCTTGCTGCTTGTCCTTGGCGGCTTGCAACTCTTCCAGCTCTGCTTGCTGCGTTTCCCTGTTGAACTTCAAAGCTTCCAACGCTGCTTGCATGGCGGCAAACTCTTCCCTTGAGGGCAACCCGCTGTCGTGGGCGGCCGCTACAACACCAGGCGATCGGACGATCACTTCCTTCGGCGTGTTCGACGTTGCGACGGGTCTATTACTGGCCTCGGGAAGGATTTCCAGCAGCAGGACGTCGATCTGCTCGCAGCATGAACAAAACGGATAGGATGTCCAACGCGAAACAAGCGTGTCGACCATTCTCTTCTCATGGCACTGCGCGAAGTTTTGTTCCCATCACAACACATATGTGCTATTAGTGTGTACCCTGCTTGAGTTGACAAGGCTACCGCCCTTCCGGAGCTTGGTGTCGATATTCCTATGCTGTGCAAACCCTCAATCCGCAATATACATCAGCCCAAAAGGTTACCGGATGGGCCAACAGCCCCAGAGGAAAATTCACTGATCTCTCGGAAACATTTCCTGGTACACACTCGAGTCAATACCTTTTGTCCAATGCTGCTTGAGTCGTCAAGGCAACCTCGCTGAATAGCGTTCAGTAGCTTGCGAAGGTGCTTCTTGCCCAGTCGCTTTCCGCCCTAAAGAAAGAGGAGAACATAGTCGATACGATAGCGTGGAATAGCTCTCATTTCTGGACAAAACATCCTCTTGAAAAAATCGCCTTCGGGTAGACGATGGTATGTCAACAGCGGCGAAAATCTCCGTGCCCATACAAAAGTGGGTTCCATGTTTTCGACTCACGTGATCGCCGCGTTCGTAGCTCGCCACCTCTTCCAGCACGTATTCAAAGACGTCGTCTTCGCTCATGATATCAGGCGAGATATTAGCGCCTCCGCCAGATCCAGATCCGCCTGAGATACACCAAGCCATTATCGTAGCCGCAAATGCGACGAATGCCACTTTATGATGGACACTTGGTCCGCGGACGGTTGGTACTTGTCGTTGCTCTAGGCAGTGCGCTTCGGCGATGGGTAGAATAGCCACGTACAACATGACCGAATAAATTTTCGCATTGGCCCTGGCTTACGTGCGCCGAGTATTCCAATGGCAAACACCGCCCTCGATGCCGTCGTGTGACCACTGCGTTTTGACACGTACGCGGCTAGTGTCCTCCGATTGCTACATGTCTCAGGCGGTCGTAGGTACGCATTTCTTTCCAAAGATTTGAGGAAATCGGATCGCTAAGAGCAACGCGGACCCGGTCATTCTGTACGAGAAGAATCCTTGCAGTAGAGGCTCCAGGACCATGGAGCTCGACACACAACCAGGTAGTTACTGTTGTGCGCAATCCCACGAAAAACTCCAACCTAAGAACGTAGTGGGGTGTACACGACGATCATTTCGACGGTCGATTCCATTCCAGCATGCAGCCTTGTGTCTGTGTGCCGTTCAACCTTGGACAAAGTGCGTTGCACAATTCAACCGGAACTGCCATATACATTCCTCTTTCTCGACACACCGTTCATGCACGCCGTAACGTGCTCAGAAACTTGGTCGGCTTGGTCAGCTCCCGCGCCGCTGTCGTCCTTGAGGCCGTCGGTTAGTTGTAGCGCCAACTTCCTCGCCAGAGAGCAGCACTCCATCGCGTCAGGTGCCATAGCCGCGATCTGCCAAATATCGAATGTAGACAGCCGTGTCGGTGATACTCGCTGTGGCAGGCAGCATGGGAGTGGGAGGGGTGTCTAGCGCACCGCACACGTCAACGTCGGGACCAAGCACGATTCCCCATAGACTCACCTTTACCAGTCGCCGAGTTTGGAGATAGTGGTCTCCGGTCTCCAACGCTTTACCAGCTAGTTCGGGCAGTCCGCCGACCACGGGAACTGCGCTAGACAACAGCTTCAAGGCCGCTCCTGCCTGAAATATATGGAAGAAGCAAATAAAACATCAGAGCTTCGAGTGACTTGGCAGAGAGCGTTCCGTGTCCACTGCAATCACAGACAACGCAGGTCCCACAAACCGCAGACTCTGGCCCTAACGGCGACACCGACCTTGCCCATACCACCGGTCTTGCTCGTGGACACCCAGTCACTGTTGATGACGCTGGCAGCGAGGTACGCCTCGCATAGACCGGTTCTAACGGCCGTGTAATATGCTCTCCAAAACGCGGGCAAGGCCAACTCTTTCTGTTGTACATCCATGTCCTCCGTGTGCTTCAACTGCGTACGCGGGAACCGACACGGGCGGCAGGTTTTGCGATGAGGAGAAATGGCACGAACGATTTTCGACAACATATATTTCTTGCAGTGCGTTCGTCGCTGATGCTAAGGGGTACCCCCAGAACCGCATGATGCACAGCACTCACCACAACTTCGCCTAGCGCCGTTGACATGGAAGCCAACGTACCGAGCTCCCGGTGCCTCTCCATGTCGCTGCGCTCATCGTCAGGAGAAACGCTTCCGGGGACTTGACTTTCAATGACGCGTTGGATGTCCTCCAGAGCTTCAGGGTTCTCCCCGATGAGTGAATCCAACCATGCCGAGGACGAAAGCTGCACTCGGAACAATCGGCCCGGTTCTGCCTGTTCCAGGGACAGGGAATCATGTTCTCGAGACACGGTCCTTTCCAACGCTACCTCCTCTCCTTGAGTTGGGGAGCCAAGCGGCATGGGGGCGTTCTCCTCCTTTTCGTCGCTCTCGCCTGCCTCCTGCTGCTGCGGTAGCAGGCGGGGAGGAGTAGACGGCGGAGGTTCAGGAGCTCTCGCCTCCTTTTGCTGATCCTTGACTGCCTGCTGTTTGCGCAATATTCGATCTTTCCACGCACCAAGTGCCTCGCCCTTCGCCGGTCCTCCTGCAGGGGAAAAGCACCAAGAAAAACAGACAGGTTGGAAGAAACGCTCCTTGAGGGTGTCCCCCCGGTCGCAGGGATGGATAGTACACGAGTCGTGTGTTGCGATAACAGATTTCCATCTCGTGGACAATCAGCACGATGGCCGGATGCTCTAGCCGCGCGATGTGTTCCTTTTGACGTGTCTACGAGCCGATCTCTGTTGTCTTTGACTTTCGTGCCCGCCGTCATCGTCACCGAAGCAGATCAAAACTGCGCGTCCCCGTTCGCTTCCTTACCGGTAAGCTTGTTGCCACGGCGCAAGATGGCCTTCGATCTGGTGTTGCCAACCTGAAGCGTCGAAAGAGTACTCAAGTTTGCCAGCTCCGTCGGAACGGCACCTGCACAAGGAGCGTTCGCGGCCAATAGCAAACAATCACCATCACAGCATGAGAGGTACTTCGATCGCGGGCGGACATCCTTACCAGATGGCCAGACCCGTGCTCCTCGCACACGTACGGTTGCTGGAAGACCGGGTGATTTGTTCACCCAGGGTGCACAAGACCAACACCCCCCAGACCAGAGCTGAACTGCACTGGCCAGGCTTTCGCACACCCAGGCATTCCACTCATTTTTTGGGTGCCCGAAGGAGGAGGTCAAAGAGCGCTCGGGAAAGAACAAAAGTAGCGGTACCGTCGGAATCATTCGGGCCTAGCGGAGTTAGCTAGTAGGATTCCTATACCGTCGAACGTGGGCAACCGAGGGGCTCGATAACAATTTGTTTGGACGCGAACTACTATAGCCCAGGTGCGAGGTTCACCCATACGGGTATCGAAGTTGACAGGCGGCCAAATTCTTCAACATGTTCTTGAAAAAAAAAGACAGAAACAATTTCCCCGCACGAAACGGTTTGCCCGTTTCGAATCGTACCATCGTCACCTGTAAGATTATTGTCTTCAAGACGGAGCTGTCCAAGGCGTTCCATGGAGCCTAGCTCCTTGGGCACACGTCCTGCGCAACACACAAGCAAGATCAAGAAAAAAACCCGTCACAGCACATCTATACATAGCATGTTGGGTCACGTGCAAATAGAGCGTGTGAGGCAGTGTAGGTAATGGCGTAGGTGTGACCGTTGCTCTAGAGGTACTGTAGACAGCACCCCGGTATGTGCCTGTCTATTGGTTTATTGCTTGGCACAAGACAAGTTGTATTTTCTCTGCTCGGTCTCTCGATCGATCATTGCCAAAGAGTTTCGGATTGTTGGACTACGACTCCTGTGCGAAGGAAGGTGGGCCTGGTGCCACATGTCCGCATTTGACCACACAGTTATCGGTATAACCCCAAATTTGGGACACACTGTGTGGCAATGACGCGCAATCTCCCACGCTGGCAGTTTTGCTAAACCGCCCATGGGTACCCATGGGTCGCCAATGGGCACTTCATGGGACGCTCGTGGGCAGCCCACCATTGGTGGGCCCATGGGCGGCCCATGAAGTGCCCACCGTGGGCACAACCTACAACTTCGCCACCGGCATATCAATCTGGAACGTAGGCACCGGCACATCAATCTTGAAGTTTGCCACCAGCGCCAAACTAGCACGCATCGTGTGGGCTTGGGGTGATTAGGGTCTAGGGTTATTTGCCGCTACAATACCCGTTCCAAAGCAGATAATCTACTGTTTTAGGAGTACACTGGTTCCTGTTGAAGGGCACCAATCGGCCGCCCATGGGCTGCCCACGGGCTACCCATGGGCTTGCCCGTGGGCATTCCCCATGGGCTGCCCACGGGCGGTTCAGCCAAACTGTAGAAAGGGTGAGAGACCCATCACGCGCACACATACCGCTAGTGAGAAATGTACCGGGTAGCGGCCCAAACGTGCGACACCACAAATACGAACCCAACGGGATGATAACAACAACAACCCCGCAGCCGATTGCACACGCGAGAAACAATACGAAGTTCTGCTCCCAATAGGGGGGGTACTCATGTTAAAACGCACGCCTAGTTGTTAGACCATTATTCTCGCATCCAGATACAACACCCGGACGAAGCGAAATGCCAGGTTTTCGCCGACTCACATTTCATTGTCCATGCGTTTGAGTTCTCTCTCTCTCTCTCTCTCTCTCTCTCTCTCTCTCTCTCTTATCTGTCGACACACACATCCACGGCGAAGCCTTCTGCACAAACGGCTGCAGTCTGACCGTTCATACACAGTGCGTCCGTAATTGTTTACTTCTAGTTCTCTTAGCACCAAGAGTTGTGCTACAAATGGCCGCTAGATAGGATATAGCGTAGGGCCCTTACCCGGACTTGTACTGTAATCAGCCCTAAAGTTGGGCTTTCGAAAACAATATTTGGTAGGCGATCGTTAGACACGGCGACCAGGACAAGAGGAGATTCGCGCAACTCTATCGCCCCCTTACGCAAACGCGTTGCCAGCTTGCTTAGCTAGAGGTCCCCGAAACATAGGGACGAAACCCGCACAACGTTTCACCTCATACACGACTAACAAACATTTGATATCGCACTCTTGAAGCCGCACGAATCAGTCTTCTTGACCTGTCGTGGGAGACGAATTTCTCTGGGTAAATCGAACCCTGCTCTGATGGACCTACTCTCTCCTCTCACCGGTGAGTTTGTTGCCGCTCAAATCAAGATACATCATGCCCTTGAGATCCCCAAGCGTTTCGGGGATAGGCCCTGCCCAGAAAAGGAGCAAAGGGGGTCAGACCGGTGAACCGAATATTCTCCGATATGTCAGCCTACCCCACGTAGGGAGCAGGCATACATGCTACCAGTCTCGACAGGTCTCACAACACTGAGCTTGTCCGCGTATCAGGCCCCAGCCTAGCCAGCCTGACTGACGTTCCGAGCGGCTGGCGGACATGTTGGGTAAATCTCACAGCAGCCAGACACACCAGACAACAAGCGCCATGATACATGCAGCGAACAATCTACAGCACAAACGGTTGGGCCGTGTCCAAGTTGTTCCTCCGCGTGGTGGACATGGTTAACGACAAGGACTTCGGCGATGTGCCCTGCACAAGCATCACAGAGACACAATTTGAATGCAGCGAAGGAGTTCGCAGACGAGGGGTCGCAACGTGCTAACGTGCTAACATAGCCCGTCAGGTGATCGTTGTCATGAAAGGAAACTACTGTTGTACTCCCCAGTTGTGTGTCCATTATGATCTGAGCGTATTGAGTTTTATACCACGCCCCTTGACCTAAACAAGGTGGGTCCCGCCCTAAACAAGTAATCTCGAGGTCTCCTTTTATACACCAGTTGTAGAGGAAAATGTCCACACCGTCGTTCAGAACAGTCCTGTTTTGTTAAGGGGTGCGGTAGACTGCCATGTCAGAGCCTATGTGAAGTTTGGGTGATCACCGACGGCAGTGCAGCTCTTGCCTCAACACAACCTACTCATCGCCGTGGTCGATTCGCCGGCCCGGGTCTGCTAGCATAATGACCAAAGATACTTCAAACGTTTGGAAAACATTACCGCACGGTAGCACCAACCTTGCTTTCTTCTTTCACCGAAGTGGTTGAACAATGACTCTTTGGGAACGCTTGGACCGTACATCTGTTGTTCCTCAAATGGGCGGCAATACTCCAATTGTTTGTGTGAAGTTGGACTTTGTTCACGCCAAAACTAGGGGGGCTTCTCTTGGTTCACCGAAGAAGAGATGCGGACGACCCTTCAGGAGAAGCGTTGCCAGCTTGCGTCGAGCTCCCAGACGTATAGGAGTCAAACCCGCACAAGGGTTCAGTTTTCACACGATTGTGTGATCCCCACTCTCAAAACCGTACGAAACCGACGGCTTCCTATCGCATGGGATAGACACATCTCTCTAGACAACACGATACACACGATCCTGCTCCGCTCAGGCTACGTTTTCTCACCGGTGAGCTTGTTGCTGTGCAAGTCAAGAGCGCTCAAATTCTCGAGATACCCAAGCTCTTCGGGGATAGGTCCTGCACAGAAAAGCAGCAACGCAGGTCAGACCAGTGAACTAAGTTCAAGTGTTTTCCAAGATACCAGCCTCGCTTACGCTGGGAGGAGGGCCTAACATATTCGACTGTAGCATGTTCGACACGTCTCAAGCCGGAAAGGCCCCCCCTCAGGCCCCAGCCTAAGCAGGCTAACTGAATCTCCGAGGACATGAAACGCACACCTCACAGCTGCCAGGCGTTTGAGAGAGCGAGCGCCATCATTCATATCCTAACAGTAGGAAAAACAAATACCATCATTCGCGGTACTTCTAGCACAGTCGCTGATGAAAAACAAACTCAAGCCTATAATCGATTGGCCTCTCGGGCTCACCAGCGAGCTGGTTTTCGAAAAGTCTCAGCTGTTGCAACCTAGGCAGAGATCCCAGCCCCTTAGGGATGAAACCTGCACAAACATTCAGCACACGATGCAAGTTAGTTTCGCGCATATGAAGCATTGAATGCGTTGATACGCGTAGCCTGACGAGCGTATGCTACGGTATGGGAGACAAACGTTTCAAACAACCCCTTCTATGCTCACGCTAACCTCTCTCACCCGTGAGTCTGTTGCCGCGCAAGTCCAGGGTCAACAGCTCCCTGAGATTTCCAAGCGCTTCAGGAAGAGGCCCTGCACAGGAAATGAACGAACAAGGCCAGAGAAGTACGCCCCATGACAAGTGCTGCGATCATATAAAAATGGGTTGTTCTTGCAGTGTAGGTCACCATGATTCATTCTCAACCGATCGCGAGAAACATGGGTGGACACGCCATTGGCCTGGAAAGAGCAATGCTCCACTTGTGGTCAGGCGGCAGAGGCCTGGTCCACCGAAAAGCCAGCAGGACGCATCCTCAGAGCTCTGCGGGATAGACTCAAGATACCTTGGAGGTTGTTGTGGGACAGACCCAGTTGGATCACTCGGCCATCTCTGTTGAGTCGCACTCCGCGCCATCGCCGGAGCTCTGCGTTGGTGTCCCAGCTGTCATTTTGAGTCCAACGATCCCCGCCGGTAGAACGAAACAGGGCCACCAGTGCCGTACGATCCTCAGACGACATTGCAAACTGCTGCGGGGTGCACAGCGAGGACGAAAGCGAGGGATAGGGGCAAGACGAGCCAGGTGGGCATAGCCAACTCAGCACCAAGAACAGGGCAGTTGAAAGGCCGAGGTGTTGCGACATATTGACGGGATCATAATGATAAGATACCCTCCACACGATGCTACCTGGAGATCCATACGATTCCTCCCTCGTTCTAAAGGTGGTCACTCTAGAGAATGAAAAATTCATTGTAGGCTGTTCCCGGGCGAGCACGGTTCGACAAAGCAGAACGCCGCGGGGCGAAAATTAAGGCCCACGGCGCAACCTACAATAACTCACCATCTCACGCCGGACGCAGCAATCGAGTGTGGAGAGCTTGCCCCCCCAACGATCAGGCGCGGACTGAACCCGGAAAGACAAGTGGGGTGAATAAAAGGGTCTGATCTATCCGCGCTGTGCCGGTTCGCAAACCAGAACTGGATAAGCCGAATACGAAGGCGTTGTGTCGGCCAGAAGCCCGCGTTCTCCCTCGTAACCACATTTACGGTGACAGCAAGAGGCGTAGAAGTCCTACTTACATAGTTCAGGTTGTATTTGCGGCAGTATCATATGTTTGGTTCGCAAACAGCGGAATATTCGTCATGAAGAGGTGCCAACGGATGCGGTTGTCATAACCAACGTGAGACGGCACGACAACGGTGCCTGGCGTAGGAGCTCTCGCTTGGCTCTGACTGCACCACCCCGACGTGATGCAAGTGTGCCTGTCTGTGCAAGGCGACCATACCAGCTGAAAGAGAGTCGCAAGAGCGATCTGGCTACACCGCCATCTAGAGTTCCTTGGAAGTTGTTGAGGGGTCCTGCACGCCAGGTATCGACTTCCTCCAAGTCGTATCAACGCCAAAGCCTCTTGGGGACTTATGTACTATGTTGGACCACGACTTCTGGGGAAATACCAGGCACTAGTATCAATTTCTGTTTCTGTGAGTATAGAAAAGGGAATGAAAGGAAACAAGCGAAGGTACACGGAGTTTTTTATATTGCAATATGAACTGGATCCCTGAGGAAGTCCGAACTGGATCCCTGAGGAGGTCCGACTATCCACACCGTTGCGGCATCCGAAGATACAAAGTCTCGTGACGCATACGGCAAGGGCAGCAATTTAGCAACTTGTTCAGGCTCCAACCAATTAGTATCGATGACTTTCCCATACGACTAAGACTTATGTAGGAGCTGCTTTGATATCCCGCAGAGGGATCAAGAAACAAACCTCGGGCAAAACAAGAGGTTCATGCCAGGTGACTCACGAAGCATCTTCTCCGGGTGTTGCATGCATGATGTGGCATCAAAGTAGGGCTCATAGGATGCATCGAAAACTTTACCCGACGCACGCCTGAGATCGTTTATAAGTTGTGTTATACCGGTATATCTATCGTAGGTCCCCCGCCAACATCTGCAATAGGGAGGGCACGATGGAGCGGGGTTCCAGATGTTTCTGCTCGAAACTGGCATGGGGGCGCTAGTATCCCGAGGGTGGGAGGGGGGATGCAAGAATTCTTTGATCAGGGGGGTAAATCATTTTTTTGTTCCGACGCCCGGGGGCACAGACGAATTCCCATACAACGCCAAAAACTGGGGTAACATACTGTAAAGGGCAAGGTGGGGGAGGGGGCCTGGAACAAGGCTTCCTAGGAATATCAAGAACGCGTCACGGTGTCGTATATGTGTGAGGTTTTCCACTGTTTTTTCGATTTGGAGAGTCAACAACATCCTCGCCCGAATACGGAGAGACACACGGTGCGTAGGAGTCATGGCGTCGCAGCCATAGTTCCTACTTTCCTCGCACCGTTTTGGTTTCAGTGAACACAACAAAATCATTTCGACCTGCGTGTGGACCTGCAGCATTCAGAATACAGCAGAGGAGCAACAGCCTGCTACAATTACATGGAAATGTTTCCCAGTATTTCACGTCATTTCAACAACACGTGGATTCCCTCTAATTTCGAATGGAAGAAGTGGACAAGTGTGGGTACATTCGCGGAATATTTTAGGTAAACGAGCTGGTGAAAATGAAGATGCTGTAGACTAGATCTCCGTCGGTTGCCCACTGGAATTTCCGGAAATTGGGCACAACTGTTGGCGCCTGGCATGCGTCGCCGCGGGGTATGGGCTGGAGACGCAGCCGAAAAATCGAAACTGCTCACGTTCACGCAGCGCCTAGGCCCTTTGACCATGTTGTCCATTACAATGTTACAATGAAATAATGAGGTGTTCGGCCCTCTCACGAACGGTCTCTGCGAAACAAGTTTCGAACATCCACTTTTTTTGTCGGAGAAACGGGTGGTGGGTACAACACACTTTTGTCTATCCCTCCCTTTTCTTTTTTTTGTGGTGTGTAGTTGTATTGTCCACGTTTCTTACGAAACACAACGAGAACTCATCTCTATTCTGAAACATGCACATATATATTTTTTTTAATGTGAAGACAACAACAACAGATGACATGCAAAGGTGTACGGGAAAAAAAAACAATGGACTTCACAGCGCCAGCGGCCAGTAATCTTGTACCTGCGGTTCGACGATTCCCCCAGGAGCGTAGAGACGGCGCTGGATATCCCCCCCCCCTGTGACCAACAGGCTCAAAACCATCCTTCACTCCGCCGTCTTTGCACACAACTTAACCCAAACCAGCACTCACAGCAGTGTAGATTAAAAACAACAACCACTATAATACATACCGCGTGTAACCCCTGGCGGCGGGATTTGTCATGTACGTATTTCGCCGCCAGCTCGGGTTGTTGTCATTTTCGCCGCTGCTCGTTGTATCGGGCATGTCTGTGAGTGTGTGCGATAGATCGTCCGCGGCATGATATTGCGCAGTATAGTACCGCACACGTCGTAGAGATCGCGCAACGAAGTCGATTTTCCGACAACCAGGGTCGGATGGGCGGCACGGGAAAGAGGAAATCACGACCCCTTCCCATTTTGTTTTTTTTTGTTCATCACTTTTTAGCACCCAGCTTTCTGCGGTGTATTCTATCTCCAATCCCCCAGCACACAGACCCTGTGAGTACAAAAGGTAAGTTGGTTTACGTAGGTACCCCAGTATGTACAGGGTCGATCGAACGCCTGCGCCAACTTTCGCACCTTCGTCGCATCCTATTCGGTACATACCGGGCTGTTTGACCTCTGGGAAGCTTCTCATACAGGTACTGCTGTAGGTCCAGATATTTGTAGGGGTTGGTTCGATATACAGCAGTATGGATACTCTACTGACTGCTTACCCAAACAACGAGGTGGCGGGGCCGCGAAACCATCGAGTTTGCTTGAGCGAGGTCATACAAAACACTTCACGCGGCATGCAACGTATGCCCAGACTTACAACGTCTCTACGACGCCCGTACATGCCAGGACGCACTGCGCACCACATTTCGGCCCAGTTCGCACGGCTTGTCCGCTTATCCGCTTATGGCTCACCTATGACGCCCTCCGCTGGGAACGTGAACACGCGTCCGGCCTGAAAAGGTGTGGAGCTCACGCTACTGCTGTACTCTAGTTCGGGGCGTTGTCGGTCTTAGGATTGCTTGCCCTGCCTTCTTTTGGTCCCTCTGCTGCTTGCTCACGAATAACAAGCAATGTTGCCGTTGCCGATTGCTTGACGCGTACGCGGCGTTGTGTACGCCTCTTTGCATTTGCCTGGTGTAGGAGGACTCTTGTGGGCTCCTTTTTTCGTTTTTTGAAAGGTGTACCCGCAGATGGCTTGTGTGACCACGGAGGGCGTCCGCATCAGTTGGACCAGTACGACATGACAAGGTACTGAGGGGAGACCGCAACGGTTGAAGACTAAATAGAACAACAACAAAAACCACAATTTCGCCTCACCCCTCCACCAATAATGAATCCTTTTTGTTACTTGTTTAGGTATTTCACTTCACATGCCCCTGCTGCCCCTGGGTCGCTCTGCAGTCGTCGGTCAGTGACTCACGACGGCAGTACTATTGTAGCCGACTCTACACTTGCGCCTGCATCACCCCGGTTGCTGGTGAATCATCTCTTCTGCCGCGCAGACTAATCGAAGTTGCATGTAATCATGAGGGAAAGTTTTCAATGCCTACGCAACTTTGACATGAATTTTCGACGCAAATTGAGTTCGTCCGAGGACCCTCTAAAGGGTGCAGTAACAGTCTGCTCCGCCGCGCTCCTCCCCCATGACGGGTTATAGACTAGATTCGCCATGACAATCACGACACGTTTTACGATGAGATTTTTCCTTGTTCGTGTCAGCGGTGGGTACGCCGTATGCTGTCTGTGCTCAGTCACCGTTGGTGCATCACGAAAACCCGCGCGCGCGAATGACTGGCGGGATGCCCGCTTCACACGTCGTTCCACGCCTTGAAGAGGGTCTGCCATCGGACAAACGTATGCACATCATCGCCCTCCTCATACGGATGACGAACCGGTTGGACAAACCAAAGGGGCTCTCGAAACCCTGCTCTGTGACAAAAAGCGGGGGGCATTTCCGTCTGCGCACCCCCAATCTAGGAAGAATATTCTTAGCCGTAAACGCCTTGCAAGGCCATGTCATTCCAAAACCCGCAGTTAGGAGGCGTCGCCTTCTTTCTCTTCGTCGACCACGCGGGACGTTTCTAAGGTACTCACCCCTTGCAGACCAAGGCATACGGGGGTTTTCCGCAAAAAAAATCAACGTAATCCTCCACGCACCTCGTGTGAGAAGGTTCGCTCCGCCCTGGACGTTAAGTACATCTCGCGGCTACCCTCCCATGTCGGGAAGGTCTCACGCGTTGTTTCTTACCAACGACATAAACACGCCCGTGTGCCCAGGTCAAAGGGCTTCGGGATGCTCCTACTTTGCACAAGCCGATACCAACGACTCGGGGTTATCAGCCCAAGAAACGACCAGATCGAACACGGCAAGCGAACTTCCCTATGTACAATAGGCAGAGACAAACCGAGCAATAAGGAAACAAAATGCACACCAACCAGATCCCACTTGTCCTCTCCTCACTTCAGAGCTCACTGCTGCGACCGCGGCTTTCTCGCTACACCTCGTGACTCCTCTCGACACCCTTACACGCTGCCACCGTATGTGGAAACGAGAACATCTGGATGATGCCCCCCTCGGTGATGGCGATGGATGGCACCATGGCAACACGAGCCAGCCGTGACAACCACAGAACGAAGACAACCACCAACCACGTAGCTCCAATCTGCAGTCGGATCACGTCCAAAACGAGGGACGTCGTCCGCTCTCGCAAGCGGCTGGAGGGTCATCCGCGTCCTGCTGAGACAAAGCCCGATAGAACAACTGGGTTAGGGTAAGGGTTGTGAAGGCATCTCGTTGGCGGCACACAGAAGGCCCAACAAATTTGCTTGGCCGTCAACGAACAGATGCCCAGCATTGTGGACACCTTGCAAAAGCAAAAGGGTCCCCAGAGCATGGAAGGCTGGAATGAATATAACAGCTCGTTGGGCTTGACCACCCCAGCTATTATCGAGAAGAAAATCCCGAGAGCAGTGGGTTCGTCTACAGTTACCGTGATACTGGCGAAAAACCACAGTAAACAGCCGAATACCAAGAAGAAAGCCCAGTGCTGAGCGGACTCACCCTTTTCTCGTTTGGTGGCCTTACTGATCTCTCCCTCGAGCTCTCTCAATCTCGCTTCGTGTCCACAGTGCTTTTCGTTCTGCAGTGCCTCGAACTCCCTTTGTTCGGCGACCGTCACCGGATGGTGGTCAGCCGCCGTCGTAGCTGGTACAAAGCAACAGAGAGAGCACAAACAAAGGAGTGGACGATGGTGGGTGAGGCACGAACATGAGTCTCTCGGACGAGAGCACATTTTGGAAATAACCCGAAGAACGCGCTAGGAGAGTTGCGGGGTCGGGTGGGGGAGGGGAACAACCACACGTGGTACATGGGCAAGGAGAATGCGGGCATATGAAGGTTGGGTTGTGTGATTCAGTACACGTGAAGCAGGGGCCGTGTGAGGGAGGACAGCTCCATTATTTCGTACACAGTCGTGATACCGGGTGCGGTTGGAATCCCAGACCATCGCGCACGGATAAACGTAGCCTTGCGATTGGAACTAGCCTGGAGACAGATATTTGTTGCTGTTCCTTTCAGAAGGTTTCTTCACGAAGATGGCTGAACAAGTCTTTCCCGAACACTTACATCCTTAGCTATAGGGTCGCTTACTCGGTCCTTGTCCCGTTCCAAGATGACCACGTGGAATAACCAGTACCATAACCAGCAAACACGACCATGTCGGAATATCCAAAACAAAAACCACGGTTCTCGACCGTTGGCTCACCTCTATCTCGAGCTCTGTCGAAAAACCCTTGCGCGGTCTCTGTTACAGCCACCCGTTGTCTGACAGCCAGCCCACCCCCTGTCATTGGTCATGAACACACAATGCCATGGAACAATGTGGGATGGTAACCTAGCGGCTCAGGACTGGGAATGCCAGAGGTGCAGCTCTCGGTCGTGCCCGTAGATTTCTTGCACTACTGCTGTAGGTGATGGCAACAGAACAGCAAGTTGACTCACCGTAGTCCACATCGTCGTCCGGCTCACTGTCAAGCTCTGAAGCATGTTTCTCCAGTTTCTTCACCTATGTAGTCGAAAATACACGACAAGAGTGCTTCGTGATCGGGACGGAGAAACATTTGCAACTCGTACGCCAACGCTTTGTTGTGTTGGCACTGGGCTCAGAGTACGTCGGAAAGCCAATAAATTCACATGTCAACATGCAGATACACTGTTGCCGTTCAATCTGAGCTCGGTCGCTTTTCACCTTGCGCTCGAGCTCATCTTTGGCGGCCGTCAACCCTTCCAGCTCTTCTTGCTGCTTTTCCTTGGCGGACTCCACTGCTTCAATTTTCGATTGCTGCTTCTCCTTGGCGGATTTCAACGCTTCCAGCGCCGCTTGCTGCTTCTCCTTGTCGAAATGCAACGCTGCCAGCTCTGCGTGCTGCTTTTCCTTGGCGGACTCTACTGCTTCAATTTTCGACTGCTGCTGTTCCTTGGCGGATTTCAGCGCTTCCAGCTCATTTTGCTGCTTCACCTTGGCAGATTGCAGCGCTTCCAGCTCTGCTTGCTGCTTCTCCTTGGCAGACTGCAGAGCCTCCAGCTCTGCTTGCTGCTTTTCCCTGGCGGACTCTGCTGCTTCAATTTTCGACTGCTGCTTCTCCTGGGTGGATTTCAGCGCTTCCAGCTCATTTTGCTGCTTCTCCTTGGCAGACTGCAGCACTTCCAGCTCTGCTTGCTGCTTTTCCTTGGCGGACTCCACTTCTTCAATTTTCGATTGCTTCTTCTCCTTTTCGGACTCCACCGCTTCAATTCTTGATTTCTGCTTCTCCATGGCAGATTTCAGCGCTGCTAGCTCCGCTTGCTGCTCTTCCTTGTCAGACTTCAGTGCTTCAAGCTCTGCTTGGTGCGTTGCCTTGTCCGACCTCATTACTTCGAGTTCTGCTCGCTGCATATCCTTCGCTGATGTCAGCGCTTCCACCGCTGCTTGCAAGGCGGCAATATCTGCCATTGAGGGCAATGTGCCGTTGTGGGTGGGCGCCAAAGCAGGAGGAGATTGGACGATCACTTCCTTGGGCGAGATCGACGTTTCCGAGGTTCTAATGTCTGCCTCGGGAAGAATCTCCAGTAGAAGGAGCTCCATCTGCTGGCAGCATGAACAAAACGGATAGCATGTCCAAGACGAGACAAGAGTGTCGACCTGTCTCATGGAGGTGCTTGAATTTTCCTTCCCATCACAACCACATCTGTGCTAATACCGTGTACCCTGCCTGCTCGAGAAAAGAAAACCTACACCTCTAAGGAGCTTGTTGTCAATATCCCCTTCCCGTGCATACCCTCGCTCGGCGGTGCCCGCCAGCCCGAAAAGCGCTACTAGACGGGCCGAGAGCTCGCAGGCTAAATACAACTCGCACTCTGTAAAATCATGCCTGGTGCACACGCGATACCTTTTGTTTAATGCCGCTTGAGCCGTCAAGGCAACCTCGTTGAATCGCCTTCAACAGTTTTCGAAGGTGCTTCTTGCCTAGCCGTTTTCCACCCTGAAGAAAAGAAGGCAGAATCGTCGACAAGGTTAGCGTCGTGTTGTTCTCATTTCAAGAAACATCCCCTTCTTCAAAATTGTCTTAGGATACACCACCGCATGCCCACAGCTGCGAAAATTTCCATACCTTTGAGGTTTCGTTTGTAGACTTACGTGATCGCTGCGTTCATAGCGGGCCACCTCTTCCAGCAAGTGTTCAAAGACGTCGTCTTCGATAATGATATCAGGCAAAATATCAGCGTCCCGGCCAGATCCAGAGCCGCCTGAGACATGAGGTACGAAAACACGATCATGGCCACAAGTACGCGAGAACTCTACGTGAGAGTAGACACCTGGTCCGCTGGCGGATGACCGTCGTCTTCGTTCGGGGCGGTGCGCTTGTATTAGCGCTGGCAATTGGAACAACCACACGGCATGACGAAGCAAAGCAACACGTTGACCCTGCCTACTGCGTGCGGCAGTGGTGCGGTCTACTGGTGAACTAAACCCTCAATGCGGTCATGTGAACCTTGCCTTGGCCATGTACGTCTATTGTCCTCCACTTTCTCGATGATCCAGAAAATCCTTAAGCCAGTGTAGGCAGGCATCCTTCTGCCACGACTGGCAGCAAATGGTATTGCCAAGTAACGTGGACCCGATCACTGTACCAGCATAACGCTTGCCATAGGGGCTCCAGTTGCAACGGCGCTCGATGCACGCACACGGATGGGAACGGCATTGTGCGCGACCCCACCCAAGGGTTTGTGAGGTCTACACAATTGAGATGTTCGGCGGAATTTGCCAACTCAATCAACACGCAAACCATGCGTCTGCGCCATATTAGCCAAATGCCGCCGTCAGATACTGCCCTTGTGTATGCCGCACCGTTCATGCCCGCCGTGGTGTGCGTACAGACTTGGTCGGTCTCATCGTCCATCATGCCGGTATCGTCTTTGAGGCCGTCGGTTAGTTGTAGGGCCAACCTCCTCGCCAACGAACAACACTCCATTGTGTCAGCTGCCATAGCCGTGATCTGGCAGACATCGACAGTGGACGTCGGTTCATTTATACGAAGGCTGGATGTGCGAGGTGTAGCTAGCGCAGCGTACTAGGCAACGCCGGTAGCAAGCACGCCTAGCGACAGACTCACCTTTGCTAATCGTCGGGTTTGGAGATAGTGGTCTCCGGTCCGCAGCGCTTTGCCTGCTAGTCCGGCCAGTCCACTGATCACGGGAACTGCACTAGACAGCAGCACCAAGGCCGTTCCTCCCTGAAAGAGAGTAAAGCAAGCACCAGGGCTTCGACTGGTTGGCAGAGAGGATATTCATTTTGACTGCACGTACAGAATGTGTAGGAAATGTGAGGCCACAGACTCTGGTCCCAACGCGGCACCCACCTTGCCCATACCACCGGTCTTGCTCGTGGACACCCAGTCACTGTCGATGACGCTGGCAGCGAGGTAGGCGTTGCATAGCCCGCTTCTGACGGCGGTGTAGTAGGCTTTGGAAAACGGAGCCAACGCTAGCTCCTTCCGCTGGACGTCCTTATCCTCGGTGTGGCTCAACTGCGCACGCAGGCGACGTTGCATGATTGGCCATTAGTCGAACTACCAAGTACCATTTTCGACAAAACGTTGTGATCACAGATCACTGCCCAACTCCCGACGGAATCGCATCATCCACAGGACTCACCGCAACCTCGCCTAGAGCCTTTGCCATGTTCATCAGCGCACCGAGCTTCCGGCGCCTCTCCATGTCGCTAAGCTCATCGTCGAAATAAAAGCCTCCAGCCGCCGGTGCTTTGATGACCCGTTGGATATCCTCCAGAGCTTCAGGGTTTTCTTTGATGAGTGAATCTAACCCTGCTGAGGACGAAAGCTGCACTCTGAACAATCGGTCCACTTCTGCTGCCTTCCCTGGGGACAAGGAAGCATTTTCCGGAGAACGGACCCGTCCCCCCACCGCCGCCTGTCTGTGGGTGGGGGAGACAAGCGGCAGGGGAACATCCTCCTCGTTTTCGTCCCCCCCGCCTGTCTCCTGCTGCCGTGGTAGCATCACGAGAGGGATAGAAGGGAAAGGTACGGGAGCGTCCTCCTCCTTTTTCTCGTCGTCGCCTGTCTCCTGCTGCTGTGATAGCAATACCGGAGGGGCAGAAGGGGAAGGTGCGGGAGTGTCCTTCTCCTTTTTCTCGTCCTCGCTTGTCTCCTGCTGCTGCGGTAGCAATACCGGAGGGGCAGGAGGGGAAGGTAAGAGAACGTCCTCCTCCTTTTTCTCGCCCTCGTTTATCTCCTTCGGCTGCGGTAGCAAGAAGGGAGGTGTAAGAGGAGGAGGAGGTACGGGAGCGTCCTCCGTTTGGACAACCTTGAGTGTCTGCGGTTTCGTCTCATGATTGCGCCACATTCGATCCCTCCACAAATCAAGCCTCTCGCCATGTGCCGGTCCTCCTGCAGGAGAATAGGGTCACAAGACTGTTAGCCGACTTTCTTGCGGGTGAAACTATGTTCACAGGGGTGGTGCACGAGCCTGGAATCGCCATAGCAGATCTCATCTGATGAAAGAGGTAATCACAAGCCAACGAGTTCCCCTTGTGATGTTGGTCTTGCTAGGAACAATTTGTCAGATCTCTGTTGGAGACAATTCCCCTTTCTGCAGCCAACAAGAGGGGGCAAGGTCGATACAAATGTATATCGTATCCCAGATGTATGATGGGGTGCATTATGGGGCAAAGAACGTGTCGTGCCAACAGCACCGAGCACTGTGTTGCGGCCAGGGTGTTCGAAACGTGAAACTCAAATGGCGTTGCGAGCGCGCAGAGGGGCGAGTTCGTTGACGGAAAGTCACAGAATGTAACACAGAGGTTGTTCCTGAGGCCGGCGACAAAAGCATCCAGTTAGACATCCCGGAGGGAAATTAGCCCCAATTTGGACTGAACATTGCAGTTGTCGGGTCAACTTGCTCTCGACAATTCGCCGATGTGGTCGACATGGCAATAGCTATAAAAGGAATTAGAAGGATTTGGCACGAACCTGAACGCTCTAGGGATTGGATACAACCAATGCCAAGGTACTCGGACACGGGCAAGGACCTGCGTACACGCACTGTATACTTGCCCGTGGGAAACAGCCAATATCAGTATCCAATCTTGGCGGATTCCGTAGCAAAACTCGTCGGCGAAACCATACTCCAGTAGAAGGTGTTTGTACTTCTTCGTACGCTTAGTCCTGTCTCTATAATAGTATTATATTGGGCACTGTTTGTGCTGTCTAAGAACGGGAGCTGACGTGGCATCCCTGGCTACTGAGTTTGTTTCAAGCAAACTAGTCCGATTTCTAATTGTTCGACGTGTTCTCCACAACGCGTGCACAATGTGCCACACCGTTATGTGCCGGCCATCACCTCGATCGTTCATGTGTATTCTGTCCTTGCTTTGTACTCACCGGCAAGCTTGTTGCCACGGCGCAAGAGGGCCTTCCATCCTGGGTTTCTAAACCAAAATTTCGAAAGAGCACTCAAGTTTGCCAGCTCCGCCGGGATGACTCCTGCGTAAGCAGCGTATTGGTGGTCAGAAAGAGAAGCGATAAACGTTTCTTGTAGCAATCACCGCATAGACAGCTCTGCGATTGAAGACTGAAATCCGCACGTAGCCAACCTGGTGCATAAAGCGTGCGTGCACGAGAGCCTTGTGACGGTTGCAAGAGGTTCGTTGTTGGATCGCGTCAGCTATACACCTAAATCTATTATGTGGCTAGTGCATGCATGGTCAACATGTCCCAGACAGGGGATAATGCTGCACTGGCCTCGATTCTCCGCAGCATCAGCAGACTGGCAAAGGGCCAGGATCTACGCACACCTAGCTATGCTAAACCTGTTCCGGGTGTCCGTGGGAGGCCGGAGAGTGCTCGGGGAAGAATGCAAGTATCTGTATTTCGTATGGCATGGTTCGTGTCTGCGGCACAAGCAACTTGGAATTCACTACTGCTGTAGGATGGCACTCTCCGACGGAGCAAAGCATGTTAGAAAGGCTGAACATAAGGGTCGCCGGCATTCCGCGGGAGAAAATTATTCAACATGCGTAGGCATAGGCGGCGATACCTCCACATCCCATGGGAGCACGGGGAACCAAGCAACGTCAGGTGTGTGCTGGGTCTTTCCGGGAATCAGGTGGCTGCATCGAGACCGTTACCTACCAGCTTATCATTTTTTTCGGTCTGTGTAGAGTACGGGTGACGCGACGCCATATTGCATCGCGTAGAGGCCGTAACTGTACCTCAGCACGCAAGTTCCTGACTCCATGTGTTGCTACCTGCTCAGGATTGATCACGGATTGACGGGGCGCTTCCAACCAACTTGTGGTGCTCGAGCTGGGTATCAACGAGCACACGGCAGTAGCAATGGACTACCATGCACAGTCCTGGGATAGCTCGAACCCTTCCCCTCCCGCGTGGGCACAACAGAAGGTTGACGTTCCACACGTTTCAAATGTAGCAAGCCGCTTACCCCACGGCAGTGGTATTTACCTTTAACTAGACTGTTCTCCCGAAGCTGAGCGACCGAGGAGCTCTAACACTACACTTCAATGCTGAGGTGAACGAGCTCAGACGTGATCATGTGTGTGTTCATTAACCTTGTCCAAAGCATGAGAACAACGCCCGCGTGTGTCGATACTACTCTCTCCAACAGTGAAGGAATGTACAACCTGGACTAGGAGGCTTGCCGGTGTTGTAACACCCATACCTGTTAGGCGGTTGTTCTGAAGATGAAGCTCCCGAAGGTTCTCCAAGTCTCCTAGTGCCGTGGGAACGGGTCCTGAAATTTGCACCACCGAAGCAGCATCCAACAAGAAGCGGTCGCCCGGCACCGGAAGGCCAATACAGACCACGATTGGCGTAAGTGCAAACAGCCAAATATGGTCTGTCAACGCGCTACCGATAAGCGCCCGCGCTTAAAAACTTAGCACTTAAGAAACTGAGGCTCGAAAAATAACAGAAGCTAAGAAATTGAGAACCATTCGTGAGCCCAGTAAAGAACCACTACACTAAAACATATATAGCAGTCATTTGCAGCCCACAAGAGGAACTAAGAACCCCAGGCTCGGCCCAAAACGATTAAATAGAGGTTCTTAAGTGCGGGCGTCATCTGTAGTCTAAACGTCCAACCAGTTATATGGGCGTCGCCGACAACTCTGCTGCATGAAAAGTTAGCGTCACGAGAGAAGGCTGCAGACAACCGACGGATGAAATGCACCATGAAACCAATTGTTTTACAAGCGACTGTTGGTTAGGTAGCTTTTAACCTACTTGTCGCGAGGTTTCTGTAGAAATGCTTGATCGTAATATCTGCCTCAATGAAGTTACAGCGCTAAGCTGGAACCAGGCAAGCAAACGTTGAAACTCCGTCCAACAATTGTCTGTGGATTACCATTCATTTTCTTGAAACCCTGTGCACGCGGTTAGCACTCGATATATGAACAAATTTTTGCATGCATGGTTTTGGTCTTTCAACGGACGTACGATAGCTGATTCTTTTTCCCCGCATCGATGCTCGGAAACATTTCTAGACATGGAATGGAACGGTCTCCATTTGTCCATTTCTGCATGCCCGGGGAATGCAACCATCATGGCCAATCATAGCCCCGGTGTTTGATTCGGAGGCACCAACTTACATCCTGATACACGACTCCTTGGCAAGAAAGTAATTGTACAACTGCGGCAGACATGGAGTGACGACATTCCGTGATCGTAGCAAGTGTCCTCAAGGGGCGACATCGAACCAAGGGGATTCGAATATCCGTTGACTACTTCTTCACCGAACAGCTGGCTGCCGTTAGCTCAGAATGTTGCAACTTGCCTAGTCTAGACATGTCAGCCACGTACGGATGGAACCGAAACCAGCATTCACTGCATGACACTATGTAGGTGCCATGACGAAGCTTCAGTACTCATGGCGTCCACCCGCGCAGGTGCTGTCGGTGCCTGTTACAACGTGGGTGGGACACACCGTCGAAAACAAGCGTGCGCTCCTTGTGTCGCTGTCTCTCACCCGTGAGGTTGTTGTCGTCCAAACAAAGATACCGTACCTCCTTGAGAGCTCCAAGCGCTTCAGGGATAGGCCCTGCAAAGAATAGGAACGAACGTAGTCAGACCGGTGGTACACCGTATTTTCCGAGACATGCGTCTCATCCGCCCGTGACCGCCGCACATGGTTGTAGCACGTTTAATGCCTCCCACATCAAACGCTGGCGCCTGTCACACCTCGGCCGAGCCAGGGTGACTGGGGCTACGAGTTATCAACTAATCGATTGACGCAAATCTCACAACCGCCTGACACAACAGAGAGCAAGATCCACCATAGAGGTTGGTACGTCCAACACACTACACGAAACGGCCGTTTCGACACAGGAGATGGCCGCCTAGGGCATTGTCGATCGAACTGCGATCAATAAATCTTGTTCATGCTGAACGCCCCATATTTTGTACGGGTGCAACACAAATACCGAGCGCAGCAGTGACAATTCTGCACAAAGTCGCGATCCCACCGCCCTTGAGGGAAAAGGAATGGGGTGAAACCGCCATGTTTCAATGCCCCCGCGGTGGCGCTGTGTAGGGCTGAAATTTGCTCTTGGCCAATCACGGATCTGATGATAGACTCCAAACGTCGAAGTTCCAACGTCTAACGTGCTCAACCTGGTACGAATACGTTTCAGACAGCCCTCAATATTCCAGCACACACTATCGTGGTACATGGAACGCGACCGTTCTGTGGTCGCATCCCATGCCGTGCCAGGGCCGTTGTTCGATGATCATTTTGACTAATTTTCTCTCACCGACCAGCTGGTTGCTTTGCGGCCAAAGCTGCCGTAAATTGCCTACAGATACCAGCCGTGTAGGGATGGAACCAGCACAATATTTCACCACATCAAACATGATGATAACACGCAGGTGGTACATCGTTCAGCCTAAACGTGTAGGTTGCCAAAGGCGTTTCCTAGGGCACTGGAGAGACACATCTGAAAAATGAATCACGCGTTTCTGGTGCCATCCTCTCTCACCCGTAAGCTTGTTATTGTACAAATACAGTTCCGTTAGCTCCTTGAGAGCCCCCAGCTCTTCAGAGATAGGCCCTGCACAGAAAAATAACGAACCAAGTCAGAACGGCGAGCAGTGTTGAAGTGTTCTCGAAGGCATGAGTCTCTCCGTCGTGTAAGCACGACCCATGATTTGATCGCGTTCGAAACTGCCCACACTAAAAGTTTGCGCCTGCTACGCCCTGGCCTAGCCAGCCCGACTGGGACTCCGAGTTTCAAATCGATAGGTGTACGTCAATCGCACATCCACCAGACACAAAAGCGAGCAAGCCCCATCCTACATGCCATAGCGTTCCAAACCATGGAAGCGACCTTTTCATCATAGGGAGCGCCCTGTGGGCGGGGCTGTCGATCACACTGGAACCAAAAAAATATCGTCCAATCTGAACGCCGAACATCCCATCTCCCACGATCACCAAGCGGAACAATCGAAATCATGGACGCCGCTGACCTCAGCTTGGGTAACGAGCACGAGAACAAAGGCGACAATGACTACGTTTCGTTTGGACGCCCAATGGGTGGCGATAGGGACGAAATCTGTTCTCGGCCAATCACAGACTTCGAGATGGACTGGAAAGGTCGAACTGCCCACGTGATTTATGCTCAACCCTGGCATGCATATGTCCAAGTACTACAGAAGACAAATGTACAGCCAGGGGCGCCGTCGACAAAACTGGACTCGACGATCGCTTTGACTCGTTCCCCTCTCACCGGCCAGCTGGTTGCTGTGTAGCCCAAGTGTTTGCAAATTATGTAGAGATCCCAGCCATGCCGGGATGAAACCTGGGCAGGCATTCAGGACGTGAAACAAGCTGTCATGGTGAAGCTTGTTCATGAGATGGACTATGTCATCTTTCCCAAGGCTACTACTGTATCACCATGTGTGGTAGTTTGTTTGAGAAGTGAAAGCGACCCTTCCGCGGACGTACATGTTTCGGGGTATCTCCCAATATATATTTCAACAGTTGTAGACGACTGCGTTGCTATTCATGTGTGCATGGGCGCATTAGATACTGTATACATAGTGTGGCATCGACAGGAACCGATATTACCCTGGGTCGGGTTGATGGTTGATCCACGGGGCTCGGCTACATGGGAGTGCTTGCTGGCGTTGTGCACTCTCTCTCCCGCCACCGTGCATCAAGAGTCTTGAGATTGCCCTTATTTCAAGTGATGAACATGCATCTTCACTATCCACAAGGGTATACGAAAAATTGCGAGTGTTGCGTGCATGTTTGTCAATAACCTGGTGGTTACTCTACTCTCTTGCTTGTGCCCAAAGGGCAACCGTGTAAACGACCATTGCACCTCTCCATCTCTTCACGCCTGTCATCTGGGTCAGCCTTGCCCGTCAAGCACCACTATATAGGCTTCGGGTCAATCAACTAACCCGACTCATTAATTGCGTCGTACCGTGCACGCTGCCGACAACCTTTCTACGGCGTGGGAAAGACAATTGTTCTAAACAATGATGGTCTGGTCAACCATGCTTTCTCACCGGTGAGCTTGTTGCAGCTCAAATTAAGAACCATTAGCTCCTTGAGACCTCGAAGCGTTTCAGGGATAGTCCCTGCACAGAATAGGAAACCAACGAGGTCAGACCGATGAACCATGTTGAAGTGCTTTCCATGCTATGAGCCTCGCCCACGCGTCGGCGCAGCAAATGACAATGTTTCGCACGTTCGGCATCTCCCACACCACCAACCTGGCACCTGTTACGCCCTGGCTAGACCACCCGGCTGGGGCTCCAAGTTGCTAATCGATGGGTTCGCGCAAATCTCGAAGCGGAGAGCAGGCGCCACCATACAGGTTATTACTTTCCAAACTACAGGAAATGGCCCTTTGTCAAGGTCTCAAGATTGTTCTACAAAGAATATGACCATGTCTGCGATGCGATGCCGAAAACGCCTGCAAACCAAATGCCCAGTTAGAACCTCGCTCTCACCAGCCAAACCAGTGTCGAGGAGCCGGAGCTCTTGAAACTCGAATCACAAACTAACATGGCGCAGTGTAAAACGCCTACGATTACAAGAACATACGAAAGCCTTCTTTCGGGATAGGGAGGCAACGCCTTTGCCGGTTCTTTCGAAATTTCGGATCAACCACGTGGTACCTCGGTGCTTGAGGAAGTCGAAGTCTGCACAAGCTTCTGGCGAATGGGACTATACATCGGTGTTTTTTGTCGTATGGAGAAACGAATATTTTCCCGGTAAGGCCCACCCTCATCGAAAGCGTTTTTTTCCCCACCGCGGAACGCGAAGACTGCCCGCGGAAAAGAAAGGAGCATCAAGCCCAGAAGGCCTCGATGCGTATTTCGTTATTCTTGAGGGAAACGTACTATGAGCGTTGCCCAAATATTTCAGGGCCCGCTCGTTTCACGTTTCACGGCAACTCAACTGCCACTTCACGGTGAAAATTCTTTTGATAAAAACGGGCCTATGTTTCAAATGCTATTGCCCCACCAAACAAAACACAGTGGCCCCGGTGGTTCGGTTGTTAATCTCGTCACTCTTGACTCTCTCGATTGCGCGTTGGAATCTCTCCGGAAGGAAAAATTACGCGATGTAGTCGGGGAAACAACATATTCGCGGCAAATCACAAAAGGAGGTAATGGATTGCTGAACCCTCCCCGCTTTAAGAATGGAAGGCGGGGACCGCAGGAGGAAAGGTAGATAAAAACGAAAATGGTCAAGTGTTTACCTTCCTCCTGCGCAACCCCAGCTCGTGAGTCAAACACAGGCACATGACCGAAAGATCGATGTAAATTGGCGCCAAGAACAGATGAAATGTAGACACATACGCATACGCATGAATTGAAAATAACAAAAAACACGCGAGATAGAATGCGGTCAGGTCTCGAACAACAACCTGCGCGTAGACACATGGTGCTCACACGCAACATATCCTGCACCAATAATTGTTTGAATGTCGCGTCGATCTACGTTCCTTTTAAGGGGATATTTTGCCGTTAACTCTTCCCGTGATTACGCTATTGGCGTACCTTTGAGAAAGGCGTCTCTAGCTGACAGGCAGACTTTTCGAGTTCGTGTGGTCAAAGATCAAAATCACACCGTTTGCCACATATCTGCGTGCGAGGGTATGCACCTGGTACACATATTGTTTGCACGGTGCGATTTGTCACGAACCCTTTATGCTATGCTTCAAGGTACCGGTGAGGGGAAACCTTCTGACGTTTCGAACCAACTGCGGGATATCTCGGGTGAGAAATTCGAGACATTTCGGGGCGTCCTAGCTATTCTCGGCTTGACCATGTTGCCATACCCCACTGTAAAAAAAAGCTGCGTCATTTCATGTCGTTCGAAGTAGCTATCATGATGTACCGTTGTGATACGAAGTACATAACTACGCTTCATTGTCAAGTTATTGGCCGACACATAGTTGGACACAACCAATCTCCTGCGCATCAACCATAAGATTCTTAAAACCGGCACTTTTAATACAATAACCGCTCGTGGTGCGATGGGCTCTGGGCGCAGGCCAATCACACCGTCAAGTGAGAGCGGCAGGCATCTTCACAAAACTTCGGAGTACGCTCAATATATGCATACCTCTGAGGTTGTTGTTATTCAGATCCAGCTCCACCACTCGACCGTGTTGGTTGACTTCCACTCCGTGCCATTTCGAGAGGTCAGCATCTGTCGCCCAGTTGGCGTTTAAAATCCAGCGAGTCCCGCCGGTAGACCGAAACAGGGCCACCAGTGCGGCACGATCCTCAGACGACATGGCAAACTGAGGGGGTGACCGCAAAACGAGGCAGAAAGTGAGGTAATGGGGGCAAGGCGCGACGACGGAGTGGTAGCAGAGACAGACACAGCCTGACACCGATGCGCGGAGGGGGTTGTCGAAGGCTTACTGAGGTGTTCAAAAGACTGCATCCGTGGCGGTGTACCCTCCGCATGACCTACGCATGTTTCCTTCACTCTGCTGGCACCGCTAGAGCCATTCTAAAGCATGCAATACGGGCCTGCTACAAATCACCAGCAAAGAAGTACGCAGCGGATTATGATGGGAGGAACAAAGATATGGCACCAAGTATCACGACGCCAACTAACCCCCTGCACACATTCACCTCGAATCCATCAATTTAACGACAAAAATGGTGGGCTCCTGATCAGGCGCACACGAATCCTAGAAAGCAATCTGACAGCAGCTAGGGTTTGGTCAATCCATGATGTATCGATCCATCGGAATACACTGCGCTGGCTTGAAGCCCACGAGCATCCCGCATGCTAACGGTAGCAGCAGAGAATCTCTCCAGCTTCTGTGCTGAAGTACTCTTAGTCTGCAGCCAGTGCCACAGGCCTACGGTATGATAGGAGCACCAAAGAACCGCGGCCGCGGCCACAACAACACATGTTCTCGTTTGGCTCTTGGAATATCCTGTGAAATTGTTATGAAGCACGATGTACTAGTCAGCGCTGACTATAGTAGTGGTCATCGTTCTTCTAGAGAAAATCATATTTTGTCTGTGGTTCCAATCTCCCCTTGAACACATTTCTTTGCGCCCGAAGCATGAGGAGAAAAAAATCTGTGAAAACCGGCTTCGCAAAGGAAACCCATGAACATCTTGTACCGATGGAATTCTCCGGGCAAAACAGCGCTGATCACAGGGATGGCAACCCTGGGGGCACGTGATCGTGGCTTGAAAGAAAGCTTGACGGACTCGGGGATTAACCTTTGTATAGAAACACGATGACGATGACCACGCTGCCTAGTCTAGCGGTCACTGTGTTTGTTATCATTCCCCGACACCGTCACCTTTGCCTGTGTCATACACTGCTCCTGAAACTTGCAGAGAACAACGTCTGCTCCCATCAATGTCGTACCGGCCCGGACTCCCTTTGAGGGCATCCAAGGAGTGCGCCCGGCGAAGATACCAGGACCATAATGTCTGGGGACCCTATCGCCGGTTGTGCACCGGCCTCTCTCCTCACGCTTGCTGCTCCAACCGCCCAAGATGGTCCCACAGCTGTACTACACTATTTAGATGGCTGCTGCTGACCCTCCTTGCTTTTAGGACGACAGCAGTGTGCTTGCTGACACCACGTAGACAAGTGCAAGGGCATCGACCGGGGCCCAAACGCAAACACAGACCTACATGTTGGTACTCTCCAGCCCCCCTGCACACCTAAAGCAGCATCCCGCTGGTGAATCGACGTCGTGATCGTCCCAGATTCAACAGTTTCGCGCCCGAGAGAGAGGCGCCTGAGCCATTTGTTCGTTTGTCCTAGGCTCTAGTCTAATGGGCTTCCAAAAAACAAATCTCCTCGAGACGCAAACAAGGGTTCAGTGGTCCGTTTTCCTCCCTTCGTCGATGAAACTACAAAAGACGCTTCCCACCGCGCAAAGTGTTGGAGAACAGAGAGAGAGAGAGAGAGAGAGAGAGAGAGAGAGAGAGAGATGCAAGAAAGTACAACCTATTACACTTCTGTACTGGCAGCGTGCAGAAGGCAGAATACTACAGCAGTACAAGATACCACACCCCCTGGACCGATTTCCAATGCTTGACTACATTACGAAGAGCACACCAAAACCAAATGATATGCATATGTCTTCGGAACGGCACTAACGAGACGATTTCAACGCTACCGTGTCTGACGCCTCCACTCTTCCTGCTGTTGAGGAGTCGAGGTGTGAGAGATCGATCCAGGGGGTGTGGTATCCTGGTGGTGCTGCTGTACAAGACAGCAGTGGTCCAGAGGAATTTGCGTGTGGTGGATGTGGTGACGTAGCGTTCATGACTCTCACGCATCCTTTGGTCGGTGTGGACTGTCTCTGTCAGTTGCTTCTGGGCACAGCCAGAACAGCAGAGGAGGGGACACTCGGCATACCGTAGGTGATCAGCGTTGACTTGTTTCCGGCGATAAGCACAGACTGCTTTGATTTTGTATCGAGCGCGGTGATGCGGTGGGGCCGCAATGCAACGACCACGAGAGTCACTCAAACAGCTTTGCGGGGGTACATATTGTTGTAGCAGCATCTGCTCTGAATTCATGTACCACCTCTTGGAAGTCTGCGGGTGGTGCCATGTTAACACCCGTAGGTGTGTTGGAAGGCAGATGGAGAGGGCGAGAAGCTTGCACTGCTGTCGTACAGCAGTGTACGCGTGTAGTTCCGCAACTACTGCGGTGTTGAACTGCACTCGAGCGCAAACCTTGGCGAAAGTATGAAAATACACCAAGCGGACTTGCGTGCTCACCTGTGATCTCCGTTCCAGGGGTATACGCTTAGAAGGCGGGGGTGGGGTTGAAAAGAGGCGGAGCTAAGCCCTGTCGTGATTATACCTTGGCACACTCTAATGTCGTCGCTCTTGTTGCCATCTGCCCTCTTGCCTCTTGCTGCAGAGTTCTTGGAGAGTCGTCTTCGAACCGTGCGGAGGAATCGGAACCAGCGCTCCTTCCCAGGACCGGGCGCCAGAACGATCCTCGAACTTTCTTCGCGCGCCCGAGAGGCTCGACGGAACTGTTTCTTCACTACCCAAAAAACTCCACCAATCATCACTCTACTTTCGAGCTCTCCCAACTCCCCACCAACCAACAGCAGATACACCAATCCCCAAGGTTCACATCAGCTAGCTGTGTCTGCCAGTTCTGTACTGCACCACGCGCGAACATCTTCACGCTGATTGACTGCATATCTCCCTGGCAATGCATGCCGCACTGCTGTACATTGAACAATGTCATGCCGTCCGTGGACAGACGATCGGATATGATCCGTGTTCAACGGGCGGAAGATCGGGCGATGCCTTCTGAGCAAACGGCAGTATAGAGAGGGCCACGTTGGATGAAGAGAATACGTAGACGTTTCCAGCAGCAGCCTGCTCCAGCGTGCTGCGTGCAGCGGCAAAACGTTGGTACTGAAGGTCAGGGTTGAGTTGAACCAGCCAGACAAGACAGACGCGTCCAGCAGGAGGACCGGGAGAGAGATTGCGCTTACAGTTTTCACTGCGTTGATGATCGCCGCCGTGCTGAACGTAGCACACACGTCCAGCACATTGTGAAGAATTGTGTTCGGGGCTGATATGTAAAGTGTTGCTTAATATATTACACAACGGTAAATGTTTTGGGCCGCAATAACCAATCGGTAGCACACGCATCGCAGCAAGTACTGGCTTCTGTGTAGCACAAACTCGTGGTGTCGTTGTGTTGCCAACAACCGTATATATTAGTCTAGCGCTATAACTTCGAAGAGTTTCTCTCTACATTTGTATCCGCCCCGTTTTCCTTCACGGTAGGTTAAACGAATGGTGTACTTGGGACTCTGACCAAAAGTCAATTGATGACTGGTGATCAGTACAGTCGTTTCCGATGCATTGCATACCATACGAACGATCTCTCAGTACCCACAGCGACACCGAGCGATCTGATTGTCCGGCTTCGACATGCATACAAATATTGAAGAAATCCATGATTGCGCGGAATGACCGCCAAGCATCTCGCCTTTACCGGTGCCTGCCGCGGCGGTCGGTTGGTAGTGATGCGAGTCTGGTGCTGCTAATGAGGATGGCGGTTGGAGTTGAGGAAACGCCCTGCGGGGACAGCAGGCGGGTGTCGTTCGTGCGACCGTATATATATCGTCGGAAGAACAGGTACAGAGTAGCTGCCGACCTCTCTGGATCACTGCAGGCTTTTACAAGGTTTGCCTCTGCTGTCGAGAGGATGTTGAAGCATGTACGGTATGGTGAGATCTAGCCTACGTATCTCCCGTCACTGCGAAGATCAGGCGGACGGGACGCACAATATATTGGCCTGGCTGCACAAAAAGAGGAGGCGTTCCACGCAAGGCGAAAGGAAAATGAATGTAGTTGTACAATTCGATCATCTCTCCATCGTGTTGCATCGGAGTGCGCTGCATCCAGACATCGTTATTTCTGGGGGTGACTTGAAATCTCTGGTATCTTGTCCGTGCGTTGTTATCCGTTGGGTAGGTATGTGACAGGCTTTCTTGCACGACATGACGGTTGTTCGATAACTTCTGTGCCGGAGACAAGTAGCGGTAGCTGTCTCAGGCCCAGTCGACGCTGTTTCAGCAGGAATGCACGCACCACGCGAAAGATCGGAGTATATGTTTCCCAATCCATGGGGTATTTGGTCCGTGGTTCAATTGATAAAAGCTGGGCCCAACATTCATTTGCAGACGCATTCAACGGATTTCGGAGAAAAAGATGCCGACGTTACGCTACATGTTATCATACATCCACAGAAGGCAACACTCCTTAAGGAACCTCTCATTCGTCCCGGAGGCTCGTTTCTTGCTTACTCTGCAGTGTTACCAACCCAACAGCGACTGACTCAACTTCGTTAGGTTTTAGAACACGATGCTTCCCTCACCACATGTACGTTTTTATGATCAAACTCTCAAACTTCTCTTTCATCTCAAGCCGGAATTTCGTTGAACTCCCAGGATACAAGAATATGACGTAGCATGCGCGAAATGCTTCTTGACCAGGTCATATACCCACATTCCGTCGGGCGCATCGATTTCACCCGACATTGGACGTCAGGATTGGTGTCTGTCGCATTGGAATTTCCAAACTCTGATATGGGAAGGCCTTTTGGGCCACCTTGTTCCACAATGACTTCGATCGTTTGTGCCCTCCCACCGACCCTTGCATCCACATCATCGAGAGATCAGATGTACCAAAAACGTACAGTGCCACCGCAACTCTACTCCATGCGCGCATGACACAAGACGCCTCACTGAAGTGTTTCCTCCTTTATGTCTATGAAACAAAATCTATACGGGGGATGATCATCGCCTAGGGGTCCCTTCGTGGCCACTCTTCGCCATGCCAAGCTTCGGTAGCTGTCGAATCACGTCAGCAATGGCGGCGCCCGCGTTGTGAGAAACCCTTCTTTTTCCCTGCGAACGGTCGAAAACGAAGACGGTCCATTGGACACGACGAGGTTGGCGATTGGCGATAGTGTCAGCGTGCGGTGAGCAGTTGCAAAAACGAGCAAGGTTGGTGCTCTCAGTGTAAACATCGTATTGCGGTGCCAAGCTGTGTGTGTACGCTTGCCTGCTTGCTGTTTTTCGAGGGCAGCAAGTCGTGCCTCCATAAAGTCCACCCGATCGTCGACATCGTCCACACGAGCTCGGGTGTCTCGTGTCTCCACTTGGTGTTTAGCGGGGGTGAGAGTTCCCTGATCTCTAGCACCGGCTGAGGCAGAACGGGCACGGCGAGAGAGGGGGCTAGACCAATCAGCGTCATTTTCAAGATACACGAGCGTTCCACGTTGTGAGCCAAAGGAACAACCAATTGAAATCAATCTGGGCATGCCTTTTCGATGAGCCCAGACCCAAGCGCGACGCACGACCAAGTGTGGCACGGCAATTTACGGCACTGGACTCTTCCTAGCAACCGGTCCTGTTGCACAGGACCCTTTGGGGGCAGCCATGCTTGTTTAATTACCTTTTCCCACAACCAAGTCAGAGTGCTCGTGTGTTCCAAGGACTATCGACGAACTTGTTTAATCCTTTGACAAAAGCTTCAAACACAGACACCAAGACGACTACCAAAGGTCCATCCACAGGTCCTCTCTCGCTTTGGTGGGGGTAGTTCTAAAGGCGGTTCAATGAAGCACCGAGCTGCATTAACGTGTATTCACCTGCATTCTCCTTTCGCTGCCAAAATGTCTCCAGGTCCTCCTTCATCTCGAGCTTCTGCTGGAGAACTTGTCTTCCTTCTGCAAACAGCGATCATCCAACACGGGAGACAAGTACGACGAGTACGACAACGGGAAAAACAACGTTCAAGGACGAATATTCCACTTTTTCCAGGCAGAAAAGATCGAAAAACACCTGGCCTCCCAAATCCTACTTCGTTGGATGAGAATTCTACGCGTGGTTTGGAAGCAAACTAGCTGACCAATATCATCACCTAACTTGCTTTTGGGCTACTGTCTGAGTTTCGTCATGTCAATTGCCACCATATCACAACTCCGCTTACCGGCATTCCCCCTGTCGCACGGCTCGCAGTCACCTTCTGGCACTCGCTTCTCCATCGCTGCCACCTACAATAGAAAGATACGGCAAGGGAGCATGATGCCTGTGGGACATACTAGGGAGTAGAGGGTGGTTTCCGAGACACTTGACTCGCCATACGTACGGCAGAAAGCTTGCAACGTAGTTAAAAGTCATGTAGTCTTGAAATGTTCCTTCACCAGCACGGTAGTGCTGAACAAAGCGTGGGCGAACGCACAGATACGTGGCGGATATTCAAAGAAATCCCGAAAGAGTCGTAGGGATGGAACCCCCGTGTGAGCGTTTTTTGTAGCGTATTTCACAAACCAGGGGGGTACCAGTGGCGAAAAGGGGAGTTTTGGAAACATGTCGTCTAGGGATTTCCTGAGAGGTATCGGTTGGTGTTTGCACCCTCCTACTTGTGGAGAAATAGGCTGAACGAAAACGCTAACACGAGGGTGCCATCTCTCCGACTCTTACGGTATTGCTCCACAACCCAGTGGGTCCCAACATCCGACAGACAAGTGCAGGGAAATGCTTTCGAAGAGATCGTCCCACGAGCACTTCTGTAGGCAGTGTCGACCTTTCGTGTGGGGTGCCTGTGCAGTGCGCGCCCTTCCACGGCACCTCCAACGCGTGCTACAGCGTCGGGTCTGTTCACCTTTTCTCGAAGCTGTTTGTTGCGGGACTCCACTGCTTCGATTTTCGCTAGCTGCTCTTCCAGGTCCTCTTGCTGCTTGTCCTTGGCGGCTTGCAACTGTTCCAGCTCTGCTTGCTGCGTTTCCCTGTCGAACTTCAAAGCTTCCAAAGCTGCTTGCATGGCTGTAAACTCTGCCCTTGACGGCAACCCGCCGTCGTGGGCGGGCGTCACAACAGGAGGAGATCGGACGATCACTTCCTTCGGCGTACTCAACGTTGCGGCAAGGCTAGTATCAGCCTCGGGAAGAATCTTCAATACAAGGACCTCAATCTGCTCGCAGCATGAACAACACCAACACGATGTCCAAGATGAGACGAGAGTGTCGACATTTTTCTACGGAAATGGCGTAGTTTAGGCATTTCCTCACATGACACTACACAAAATGGACCGTAGGGTGGTTCCGCTAGAGACGACAAGGTCTCCACCTCTACAGAGCTTGGCGTCTGCATTCCCGTTCCATGCAAACTCTTTCTCTTCAATACCCGTCAGTCCCACGAGTTGCTCCAAAGGCCAACAGCCCCCAAGGCAAAATGAACCCAGACTACGTACACCTGGTGCTCGGAACACATGCGAGCCCTTACCTTTTGTTCGGTGCCATTTGAGCCGTCAAGGGAACCTCGCTGAATAGCTTTCAACAGCTTGCGAAGGTGCTTCTTGCCAAGTCGCACCCCGCCCTAACGAAAAGAGAGGGATGCATAGTCAACCATCATTTAGCGTGACACCCTTGATAATTCAGGAAGACGTATTCGCGTGTTAAAACTTCCTTAGCATAGACGACGATGGTATGGCCACACAACCTTGACACAACGGCAAAAAAAAACATACAAATTTCGTCGGTCGTGTTTCATGGACTCACATGATCGTTGCGTTTGTAGCTGGCCACCTCTTCAAGCAAGTATTCAAAGACGTCCTCTTCGCTCATGTCCCCAGGTGTCATATCAGCGCCACCTGAGATACACGAAAACATTCGCGTTGTCACGAGCAGTAACTAGGTTAGAAACTTGGTCCATGGATAATTGACACTCGTCTTGGCTCAGAGCAGCGCGCTTGTACTACCGCTGGCGATGGCTAGAACAACGATAAATATGTGAGGTGACCGAAGATATTCATTCCAACCCCCAAGGATTAGAAGAGAGTCCACGCCACTGAACAATTTGACGGATTTCAACATCTCAACATGCAGACATGCGTCGGCGCTGTTCCGCCACGAACAAAACCAAGTGCACAATCCAAACGGCACTGCTAGATGCAGTCCTCTTTCCCACCGCACCGTTCATGCCCGCCGTGGTGTCCACACGAACTTCGTCCGCATTGTCGGCCGTGGCGCCGGCGTCGTTTCGGAGGCCGTCGGTTAGTTGAAGGGCCAGCCTTCTCGCCAGAAAGCAACAATCCACCGCGTCAGAAGCCATAGCCGTGATCTGCCAAGTATCGAATGTGGACGCAGGTGTCGTTCATACTCGTTTTGAAAGGCTAGGTTACGAGGGGTGTTTAGCGCACCGCACACGGCAACGCTACATAGGAGCAAGCATGCCTTACGACGGACTCACCTTTACCAATCGCCGAGTTTGGAGGTAGTGGTCTCCGGCCTCCAACGCTTTGCCTGCTAGTTCCGGCAGTCCACCGACCACAGGAACGGCGCTAGACATCAGCTTCATGGCCGCCCCTGCCTGAAACGCGGCAAAGAAAATACCAGGGCTTCAAAATGACTGGCAGAGAGCATTCCATCTCGACTGCAATTGCAGAGAGTGCAAGTCCCACACAACTCACAGACTTTGATCCTAACGCGGAACCTACCTTCCCCATGCCACCGGTCTTGCTCGTTGACACCCAGTCACTGTCGATGACGCTAGCAGCGAGGTACGCCTGGCATAGACCGCTTCTGACGGCAGAGTAGTATGCGTTGGAAAACGCAGGCAAGGCTAGCTCCTTCCGCTGGATGTTCATGTCCTCGGTGTGCCTCAACTGCGTACACGGGCAACATTGCGTAATGGGCGATTATTATGGTCGACTTACCACATTCCATTTTCGACATCAATTTCTCATCGCAAAGCTCGTCTAGCCATTGCTGGTACATCGTGAGGGAATCGTGCCATGCACAGGACTCACCGCAACCTCGCCTAGCGCCGTCGACATGGTCACCAACGTGCCAAGCTTCCGGCGCCCGTCGATGTCGCTTAGCTTGTCGTCGGGAGAAACGCTTCCCGCGACTGTTGATTCAATGACCCGTTGGATATCCTCCAGAGCTTTAGGTTTCTCCCTGATGAGTGAATCTAACCCTGCAGAGGACGAAAGCTGAGCACTGAACAATCGGTCCATTTCTTCTGCCTTCCCTGGGGACAAGGAAGCACGTTCCGGAGAACGGGCCCGTTCCCACACCGCCTCCTCTCTTTGGTTGGGGAAGCCAAGCGGCACGGGATTATCCTTCTCGTTTCCGTCGCCCTCGCCTGTCTCCTGCTGCTGTGGTAGCAAGACGGGACGGGGGGGGGGTGGAGGTACGGGAGCGTCCTCCTCCTTTTCGTCACCCTTGAGCGTTTGCGGCTTTGTCTCTTGTTTCGGCCGGATTCGTGCCCTCCACGAATCAAGCCCCTCGCCCTTCGCCGGTCCTCCTGTATGAGAATAGGGTCAAGAGAGGACCGTAAGCCACGTTTCTTGCGCGTGGACTACGATCGTAGAGATGGTGCACGAGCCGGGAATCGCCATGTCAGACCCGCACAAAACCAAAGAGGTCATCAATATCCTCGCCTTCCCCTTGTGACCTTGGTCATGCTATAACGGAACGATTCATCTGATCTCCGCGGGAAAACAAAAACGTTGCACAATAATCAACAGGGGGCGAGGTTGACACAATGTTTCTACGTCATGCGGCACAGGACGTATTCTGCCAGCAGCGACGAACACGTTTCTCTGTTGTGATCAGGGCTCATCAACACATAAACCAACGGAGGACAAACAAACACGAACCGAAAACCGTTGTCAGGACGCAGAGGGACGAAGTTATCGACGAAGTCGCACAATGTGATACAGCCGTCGTTCCTGAGGTCTGCGACCACATAGCATCAAGTCATGCCAACGATACAAGGAGATGGTCTGGAGATAAAGAAGCCAAGTTGGGCCGAAAGTTGCCGTTGTTGGGGTCAACTTGGTTTCGACCATTCACCGACGTGCTTGGCATGGCGATTACCACAAAAACAAAATTTGATACAAAACCTGAAGCCCCTTTAGGGGTTCGATAGAACCAATGACAAGGTACTCGGACACGGGTAAGAGCCTGCGTATTGCACAGTGAACGTGTCTGTGAGAAAGCAAGACTCAGGATTCAATCTTGGCGGAATCCGTACCACATTTGGTCGGATAAAACACGTAAAAGAATTTTGTACTTCGTCGTACGCTGAGAGTCCCGCCCCTATTGGAATGCCCACTGCTGGTGCAGTCTAAAAACCGGAGCTGACGGGGCATCGCTTACTACTGAGCTTTGAATCAAGTACATTGATCCGATATATAATTGTTCGATGTGTTTTTCACAACGCCTGTACAAGGCGGTGTGCCCCATCACCATTGACATTACCGATTCGTTGACCTGTGTTTTCTCCATGCTTTGTACTCACCGGTAAGCTTGTTGCCACGCCGCAAGAAGGCCTTTGATCCTGTGTTCTTCAACCCAAATTTCGAAAGAGCACTCAAGTTTGCCAGCTCCGTCGGGATGGCTCCTGCACAAGCAGCGTTTTGGTGGTCAGAAAGAGAAAAAGGTTATTTGTACCAATCACCGCATAGACAGCTCTGCCATCGAGGACTGAAACCCGTACGTAACCAACCTGGTGCTACATGCGTGCGTACAAGAAAGGCTGGTGACGGTTGCAAGACGTACGTTGTTGGATCGTGTCATCTGTACACCATAACCTAGGACGTAGAATGCCAATTTCTCCCAGACAGAGGGTAATGCTACACTGGAGTCGCTCCTCCGCGGCATCAGCAGACTAGCAAAGGGCCACGGTCAACGTACACCAAGCTATTCTAAACCTCTTCCAGGTGTCCGCGGGAGGTCGGTGATTGCTCGGGGAAGGACGCAAGTATCGGTACAGCTGATACAGTGCGTGTGGGGAGATCGACAATTTCCACGTGTACTACGTACGCACTCCGAGAGAGCAAACGTGTTGGAAAGGCTGAACACAAGGGTCGCCGGTATTTCGTGGGAGAAAATACAACGTTTGTAGGCATAGGGGATAGTGATTCATGTGTCCCTCGGTGAGATGGTACTCAAATCGTGTGATGGGTCGTGCGGGGAATCACGCGGCTGCATCGAGACCGCGGCCTATTTTACGTTTTGTTTCCGGTCTTGTGCGATAGCTCCACCGACGGAGGTTCCATAGATTGTTCAAGTTCGAAACGTTTCAAATTCAGCAAGCCGCCCACCCGACTACATTGATATGTACCTACCGCTAGGACTGTACACCGAAACTGAGCGACCGGTGGGCTCTAAAACTATAAATGTTGCGGTGAACCGGACGTGAAATAACGCCCGTGTGTGTCGATACCACTTTCTCGAACAGTGAAGACATGTACATCACGGACTGACAGGCTAGCCTGTGTTGTACCACTCGTACCTGTCAGTTGATTGTCCTGCAGATGAAGCCGTTGCAGGTTCTCCAAGTTGCCTAGCTCCTTGGGAATGTGTCCTGAGGTTTGCATCATCGAAGCAATATCCAAGAAGTAGCGGTCGAATGGCACCAGAAGTCAATGCAGACCACCTTTCGCGTAACGTGCAAACCTACAAATTTGGTCTATCAACGCGCTTGTCTAAAATGGGTAACCAGTACTCTATGGTTGTCACCGACAGCTCTGCTGAACGAAAACTTCGCGTCATGAGAGTTGTCTGCAGACAACAGCAATTCCTTGCAAACAATGTTTTTCGAGCAACTGTTGGTTAGACAGGTCTAAAACTAATTGTCGCCAAGTGTCTGCAGACACGCTTGGTCGCACTATCCGCGTCCATGCAGTTACAGAGTACTCCAAGTGCTCCTTGTTGAAGTTTTGCACAGCTGGACCCAGGCAAGCAAAGGTTGAAGACACCATGCATAATTGTCTCTGTACACTATATCTTGAAACCCTGGCACGCGGTCAGCACAGCCTATGCTCGTGAACATGAACGCATTTCGTGTGCATGGGTTGTGTGTCTTCCAACGGAAGTAGCTGACATATGTTCCCCGCACCGATGTTGGGAATTTCTACGTGGAATGGAACGGTCTCCACGTTGTCCATGTGTGAATACTCGGGGAATACAGCTATAATGGACAGTCATAGGCCAGGTACTTGATTGGGAAGAACCGATTGCCATCCTGATACATGGATCCACCTTGGCATTGATTTAAGTGTAGAATCCCGCATACTCCAGCAAAACCCGACTGCGGTAGACATGGCATGATGCCGTTCTGTGATCGTAGCACATGTCCTGCCAGGACCACCGTCGAATGCACTGGATGTGACGATCTATTTGACCCATCCTCTCTTACCGACAAGCTGATTGCCATTGAGCTCAAGCATGTGCAACTTGCTTAGAGATCCCAGATATGTCGGGATGGAATTTGCGCAAGCATTCAGCACAAGAAAAAAGTGGCTGTGGCGCACAGCTTCAGCAATCGTTGCGTCGGCACGCGCAAGCTGCTGTCGGTGTCTGCCACAGCGTGGGTAACACACGTCGTCTGAAACGATCTTGCTCTCCTTGTCGTATCCCCTCTCACCCGTGATCTTGTTGTCGTCCAACCAAAGAATCGTTAGCTCCTTGAGAGCTCCAAGCGCTTCAGGGATAGGCCCTGTACAGGCAAGGGACGATCGGACTCAGACCGGTGAAACAAATCAAGTATTCTCCGAGACACGAGTCTCGTCCACGCGTAAGCCCAGCACATGATTGTAGCACATTCGACACCTCCCACACCAAAAGCTGGTGAATGTCACACCCAGGCCTAGCCAGCTTGACGAGGGCTCCGAGCTGTATAAGCACTCGAATAGTTGGCGCAAATCGCACAGCCGCTTGACACAACAGAGAGCAAGCGCCGCCATACAGGTTATAACGTTCAACGCTCTAAACTACAGGTAACGGCCATGTCGACACCGGAGATGGCCCGTCTAGGGCATTGTCGACCAAACTGCGATCAATAAACCTCACTCATACCGAACGCCCCATATCGTGTACACCACAAATGCCGAGCGCAGCATAAATGATTTAGCACAGTTGGTATCGCAGTGCCCCTTGAGGAATGAGGAATGGGGTGAAATCGCCATGCTTCAACGCCCCCAAATGTCATGCGGGCGGGGCTGTCGATCACACCGGAACCAATACAATCTCGTCCATGCTGAACTCCGAGCATTCCATCTCCCACGAATGCCAATCGCAACAATCGGAGTTGTGGACGCCGTTGAACCTCACTTTTGGTTACGAACACGAACACGACAACAAGGTTGATAATCGCTACTTCTTGCTTCAACGCTCAAGCGGTGGCGCTAGGGACGAAAGTTGGTCTCGGTCCATCACCGACTTCGTGATAGGCTTGAAAAGGTGGAATTGTCAATGTGATTCCTGCTCAACCACGATATGTGTACGTTTGTATCACTCATCCCGAAATGTTTTGACAGATATGGGAAGTGGCCTTGTGCGATCGTAGCTATCAGTTGGCTGGTGTCGAACCAACTGGATTCGACGATCCTTTTGACTCGTTCCCCTCTCACCGGTCAGGTGGTTGTTGGAGAGCCCAAACTGTCGCAATTTCTTTAGAGATCCCAGCCATGCCGGGATGGAGCCTGCGCAGGTATTGAGCACGTAAATCTAGCTGTTATAGTGAAGCTTGTTCGTGAGATAGACCATGCCATCCTTGCGAAGGCTGCGGTAGTACCCATGTGTGGTGGTTTGTTGAAAAGTGAAAGTGACCATTCCACGAAAATAGGTCTTCGGGGCATCATCCGATGTGTATCGCTGGCAACTTGTGGAGTACATATTCTGGTTGCATCTCGCCAACCGTGAAGCTCTTGCGACCGTTGCGTGATCGGTTGTCATGCACCTGGTGTTCACTCTCCGCTCTTTCCTGTCCCCAAAGGTCAACCTAACAATTGACTTTACCACCTCGAAATCTCTTCACGCCTGTCGAATGGGCCAGCCTTGCTCGTGCAGCAGCACCAGGCTTCGGGTCAATCAACAAAGAAAGCTCATTCACTGCATCGAACCATGCAGGCTGCCGTCAACATTTCGTGGAAAAGACACATCTTCTAAGCAGTCATGCTCTGGTCAACAATATTTTCTCACCCGTGAGCTTGTTCCAGCCTAAACCAAGAATCGTTAGCTCCTTGAGAGCTCCAAGCGCTTCAGGGATAGACCCTGCACAGACAAGGGACGAACGGACTCAGACCGGTAACCGCCAACATTTCGTGGAAAAGACACATCTTCTAAGCAGTCATGCTCTGGTCATCCATATTTTCTCACCCGTGAGCTTGTTCCGGCCCAAACCAAGAATCGTAAGCTCCTTGAGAGCTCCAAGTGTTTCAGGGATAAACCCTGCACAGACAAGGGATGAACGGACTCAGATCGGTGAAACAAAATCAAGTGTTCTCCAAGACATGAGTCTCGCCTTCTCGAAAGCGCCGCACATGATTTTAGACCAAAAGCTGGTGAATGTCACACCCAGGCCTAGCCAGCTTGACTGGGGCCCGAATTGCTAATCGATAGGTTGGCGCGAATCGCAAAGCCGCTTGACACAACAGAGAGCAAGTGCCACCGTACGGGTTACAACGTTCTAAACCATGGGAGCGACCTTGCGACACAGGAGATGGCCCGCTAGGGCATTGTCGATGAAACTGGGACTAACGCAATCTTGCTTTTGCTAAACGCCGAATATTCTGTCCACCAAGAATGGCGAGCGCAGCAATCGAACGAGTACAAAACGTTGTTATCGTAGTGACCGCTAAGACAAGGGGGGATGCGGTGAAATCGCTATGTTTCCAAGCCCCCGCGGTGGCCCTAGGGGTGAAACTTAGCCAATACCGGATCTGACGACAGCCTCCGCAGCTCGAATTGCCAACGTTCAACGTCCTCAACCTGGGTTTAATCCGGACAAACAACAATATTCCAACACGAACTATTGTGGAAGACACGGAACGTGACCGTTCTGTGCTCGTAGCTTATGTACTGCCTGGGCCGCTGTCGAACCAAACGGATTCGACGATCCCGTTGACTCATTCTCTCTCACCGACCAATTGGTTGCTGTGCAGCCAAAACTGTCGCAATTTGACTAGAGATCCCAGCCATGTACGCATGGAAGCTGCACAACCATGCAGCACATGAAACAATATGTCATCACGCAGCTGGTGTGTTCCTTGTGTCCAAACGAGTAGGCTGCTGCCGCCAGGGCCTCGTACCGCATGGGAGAGGCACGTCTTCGATCTTCCAAAACAATCATGCTCTACTCACGGCATGCTCTCTTACCCGTGAGCTTGTTGCTGTACAATTTGAGTTCGTTCAGCTTCGTGAGAGCTCCAATCGCTTCAGGGATAGTCCCTGCACAGAAAAGGAACAACGAACGAAGTCAGATCGGTGATGCATGATCAAACGTCCTTCAAGACATGCGTCTTAGCACACGTGACGGCCGCACATGATTCTAGCACGATCGACATCTCCCCCACCGCTTAGCTGGTTCCGTTCACCCCCTTGCGTAGCTAGCCTGGTTGAATCTCCAAGCTGCTAGTAACAGGTTTATGAAACAATCCACAGCCACTAGACGCGACAGAGTCAAAGGTCAATATCAAAGTCTCAAGAATTTTTGCATTCGCAAGCGACCATGTCCGCGATGTGATGACGAAAACAATTGCAATTCGAATATCCTCTTGGATCTCGCTCTCACCAGCCAAATGAGTGTCGAGGAGCCGGAGCTCGTGCAACTCGCTCAAGAAAACAGCAAAACCTTAGGAAAAAAGCCAACGATTACAAGAACGGACCAAACTCTGTGGGGACGGGGAGGCAGCGCGTTATTTCGCCGGTTCTTTTGAAGTTTCGGATTAACCATCCCCACCGTGGTGAATGGCGCTCGGCAACGTCTGTACAAGCTTACGGCCATGGGACTATATATTGGCTGTTTTCTCGTTTGGAGAAACATAGTTTTCTCGATAAGGCCCACCCTCATCGAAAGCGCCTTTTCTACCGCCGCGGGGCGCGAAAAAGAAAGGAGCAACACGTCCAGTAGGCCTCGAGGCGTATTTCGTTGTTCTTGAGGGAAAGGTACCATAAGCGTTACCCAAACATTGCAGGGCCTGCTCGTTTCACATTTCACTGCAACGCAACTCGCCCTTCGCAGGAAGAGTGCTATCGATAAAAACGAGCCTACAAGTTCCGCATGTCATTTCCCCACTGAACACGGTGGCCCCGGTGGTTCTGTTATTTCCTCGTCACTCTTTGGCTCTCTCGATTGCGCGTTCGAACCTCTTCGGAGGGAAAATTGGCGAATGTAGGTAACCATAACATTCAAGCAAAAGCACCAAAAGAGTGACGGGACTGCTCAAACCTCGCCGTGTTAACGAAAGGTGAGATAAAAACGAACATGGCCAGTGTTTACCTTCCTCTCTTTCCGGTTTCCAAAGGACAACCTAACAAGTGACTTTACAACCTCTCTGTCTCTTCACGCCTGTCAACTGGCTCAGCCTTGCTCGTCCAGCAGCACTAGGTTTCGGGTAGAGCTGACGCATTCATTGCATCGACCCGTACAGGCTGCCGACGACATTTCCTACGGCGGGCGAAAGACAAGTCTTCAAACCTATCGTGCTCTCATCAACCACGTCTTCTCGCCAGTGAGCTTGTTGTCCCACAAGTTCAGATGCGTTAGCTCCTTGAGAGCTCCAAGCGCTTCAAGGATACGCCCTGCACAGAAGAACAACCATGCTCTACTCAAGTCATTCTCTCTTACCCGTGAGCTTGTTCTTGTACAAGTTGAGGTCGTTCAGCTTCGTGAGAGCTCCAATCGCTTCAGGGATAGTCCCTGCACAGAAAAGGAACAACGAACGAAGTCAGATCGGTGGTCCATATTAAAACGTCCTTCAAGACATGCGTCTCATCCACCGGTGACCGCCACACATGATTCTAGCGCGTTCAACATCTCCCCCACCGCTTAGCTGGTTCCGTTCACCCCCTTGCGTAGCTAGCCTGGTTGAATCTCCAAGCTGCTAGTAACAGGTTTATGAAACAATCCACAGCCACTAGACGCGACAGAGTCAAAGGCCAATATCAAAGTCTCAAGAATTTTTGCATTCGCAAGCGACCATGTCCGCGATGTGATGACGAAAACAATGGCAATTCGTACATCCTCTTGAATCTCGCTCTCACCAGCCAAATGAGTGTCGAGGAGCCGGAGCTCGTGCAACTCGCTCAAGAAAACAGCAAAACCTTAGGAAAAAAGCCAACGATTACAAGAACGGACCAAACTCTGTGGGGACGGGGAGGCAGCGCGTTATTTCGCCGGTTCTTTTGAAGTTTCGGATTAACCATCCCCACCGTGGTGAATGGCGCTCGGCAACGTCTGCACAAGCTTACGGCCATGGGACTATATATTGGCTGTTTTCTCGTTTGGAGAAACATAGTTTTCTCGATAAGGCCCACCCTCATCGAAAGCGCCTTTTCTACCGCCGCGGGGCGCGAAAAAGAAAGGAGCAACACGTCCAGTAGGCCTCGAGGCGTATTTCGTTGTTCTTGAGGGAAAGGTACCATAAGCGTTACCCAAATATTGCAGGGCCCGCTCGTTTCACATTTCACTGCAACACAATTCGCCCTTCGCAGGAAGAGTGCTATTGATAAAAACGGGCCTACAAGTTCCGCATGGTATTTCCCCACAGAACACGGTGGCCCCGGTGGTTCGGTTGTTTCCTCCGTCACTCTTTGACTCTCTCGAAATCGCGTTCGAACCTCTCCAGAGTGAAAATTGGCGAATGTAGGTAACCACAATATTCGAGGAAAAATGCCAGAAGAGAGACGGGACTGCTCAACCCTACCCGCGTTAAGCATGGAAGCCATAAATCGCAGGGGGAAAGGTGAGAAAAAAAACGAACATGGCCAGTGTTTACCTTCCTCTCTTTCCTGTCTCCAAAGGCCACCGTAACAAGTGACTATACAACCTCTCTCTGTCTTTTCACGCCTGTCCATTGGGCCAGCCTTGCTCGTCCAGCAGCACTAGGCTTCGGGCCAGTCAACCAAGCTGACGTAATTCACTACGTCGAACGCACGCTGCCGACAACATTTCATACGGTGTGGGAAAGACACGTTTACCAAACTATCATGCTCTGACCAACCATGTTTTCTCACCCGTGAGCTTGTTGTCCCACAAGTTAAGATGTGTTAGCTCCTGGAGAGCTCCAAGCGCTTCAGGGATACGCCCTGCACAGAAGAAGAACGAACATAATCAATTGTTGTCCAAGACACGAGTCTCACCCTCTCGAAAGCGCCGAACATGATTGTAACACATCCGACACCTCCCATACCAAAAGCTGCCACCTGTCACGCCCTGGTCTAACCAGCCTGACATGGGCTCCGCGTTGCGATTAATAATCGATCGGTTCACGCAAATCGCACAGCCGCTTGACACAACAGAGAGCAAGCACCACTATACAGGTCTTGACGTTCTGAACTACAGGAACAGCCCATTCGACACAGGAAATGGCCCGCCTACGGCATCGTCGATCCAACTGTGACCAATGCGTGTTGTTCACGCTGAACCCCCCGTATGTTGTCCACCACGAATGCCGAGTGCAGCATTAACAATTCTGCACAAACTTCGAATAGCAGTGACCGTTAAGGAAAGGAGAACGCGGTGAAATCGCCATGTTTCAAAGCCCGCGCGGTGGCGCAATGTAGGGATGAAATTTGGTCTTGGCCAATCGCGGATCTAATGATCTATTCCAAAGGTCGAACTGCCAACATTCAACGTGCTCAACCTGGGCATCAATGCTTTTCAAATAGCCCCCAATATCACAGCACACACCATTGTGGCAGACATGGAACATGCCCGTTTCGTGGTCGTAGTCCATATAATATCAGGGCCGTTATCGCACCAAATGGCTTCGACGATCCATTAGACAAATTCTCTCTCACCGACCAGCTGGTTGCTTTGCAGCGAAAGCTGTCGCAATTTGGCTAGAGAACCCAGCCACGTAGGCATGGCAGCTGCACAGGCATCCCGCACATCAAACAATGGGTCATCGCGCAGGTGGTGTTCCATTGCGTCCAAACGAGTAGGCTGCTGCCGCCAGGGCCTCCTATGACGTGGGAGAGACGTGTCTTCGAAAACAACCACGCTCCACTCACGTCATTCTCTCTTACCCGTGAGCTTGTTTCCGTACAAGTTCAGTTTCTTCACCTCCTTAAGAGCTCCAACCGCTTCAGGGATACTCCCTGCACAGAAATGGAATAACGAATGAAGTGAAACCGGTGGTCCACGTTCAAACTTTCTTGAAGGCATGCGTCTCATCCACGTTTGACCGCCAAACATGATTCTAGCGCGTGCGACATCTCCCACACCGCTTAGCTGGTTCCTATCAACCCCGGTCCATGTAGCTACCCTGGCTGAAGCTCCACGCTGCTGCTATACAGGCTCATGAAATGACTCACAGCCGCTAGACGCGACAGAGTCAAAGGCCAATATCAAAGTCTCAAGATTGTTGTGCGAAGCGAACGATCATGTCCGCGACACGATGCCGAAACACACTGCTCATCGAGTGCCCATTGTGACTCTCCCTGTCACCAGGCAGACGAATGTCGAGGAGCCGGGGGAATTCCAAATTGCTTAAGAAACAACACGCATATGGAAAAAGCCCAATGACAATTAGAACAGACGACAGCCCTCTGTGGGGAAGAACAACGCTTGCGCCGGTCCATTTGAGATTTCGGACCAACCATCCCCATCCCTACAACAGCGTGGTACCGTGGTGCTCTAGGAATTAATTCTGCACAAACTTCTGGCGATGGGACCATATCTTGGCGTTTTCTTCGGTTGGAGAAAAATGCATTTTCTCCGTACAGCTCACCCTCATCGAAAGTGCTAATTTCCCAATCGCGAAACGCGAAGAATGCCCGCGAAAAAAGAAAAGAAGTAACACGTCCAGTAGACCCCGAGGTGAATTTCGACATTCTTGAGGTAAACGAACAGTGAGCGTTGCCCAAATTTTTCAGGGTCCGCTAGTTTCACGTTGCAATACAACACAAATCGCACTTGGCGGGAAAGGTGCTTTCGATTAAACCACAGAACCCCGTGGCGGGTGTTAATCCCTCGTCACTCTTGACTCTCTAGATCGCACATTCGCGTCTCTCCGTAGGGAAAGCTGCGCAATTTAATCTGGGAAACCTTTTGTTGGAGGAAAAAAACATACTGAGGGACGGGATTGCTGAACCCTCCTCGCTTTAAGAATGGAAGGCAAGGACCGCAGGGGGATAGGTGGAAAGAAAATGAAAACGCCCAGTGTTTACTTTCCTCTTGCGCGACCCCAGCTCGGGAGTAAACACAGGCACATGGCCGAAATATTGATGCGAATTGTCGCCAAGAACAGACGAAATGAGTTCACATGCGCACAACTAGAAAACACCATGTTCATACGAGAAAAATGCGGTCTAGAACAGTATTGTCGGGTCACACGCCCCCACAACAACGAGCACGCAGACACATGGTGCTCACACGTCACATACCGCACACCAAATATTGTAATTTTGCGTCGATCAGCGTTCCTTGCCAGGGACGTTCTGCCGTTTGTTCTTTCCGCTATTGAGCTATTTACGTACGTTTCGGAAAGGCGTCTCTAGCTGACAAGCAGGCATTTCTTAAGGATAGTTGTGCTGTGATGTACATGGAAAGTCACAGCATTTGGTAGGTAACTGCGTGCGAGGCAATGCACCTGGCACACGTTTGTTTGTGCGGTGCGATGTGCCACGAGTCTCCCATGCTATCCTTCAAGGTACCGGTGAAGGGAAACTTTCGGACGATTCTAACCAACTGCGGGACACGTCGGGAGGAAATTCCGAGCCATGTCGGGGCACCCTAGCCATTCTCGCCACGACCATGTTGCCTCGCCCCCAAAAAATACAAACTGCATATTTCCATGTCGTTCGAAATGGCAATCGCGAACTGTACTGTTGTCTTACATAACGACGGTTCATTTTCAAGAGATTGGCCGAAACGTAGTTGGAAACAATCGAATTTCCTGCGCATCAACCATAAATTACTCAAAACCAGCACTTTCAAATTGTATAACCGCTGGTGGTGCGATGGGCTCTGGGCCAAGGTCAGGCGCAACATCTAGAGAGCAGCAGGCATCTTCAGAAAAGCGCGGAGTACCCTCAAGATACCTTCGAGATTGTTGTAGAATAGATCCAGCTTCACCACTCGGCCATCTTCGTTGACATGCACTCCGCTCCACTGCGAGAGGTCAGCATCTGTGTCCCATTTATTGTTTCGATCCCAACGAGTCCCGCCGGTAGACCGAAACAGCGCCACCAGTGCCGCACGATCCTCAGACGACATTCCAAACTGCTGGGGATCCAAAGTGAGGGAGAAAGTGAGGGATACATGTAGGGCAACACGTGACGACTGGGTGGAAACGCAGAAGAGCACAAGCTAAACCCAGTGAACTGGCAGCATGTCATACGAGGGACTCCAAGGTGTTCAAATGACTGAGATTCTCTCCATGTAACGGAATGTGTGAAGACCCATCCGTACACATGGCCCCGGGGCGTTCGAAATGACAATGGTATCCATTCAGTGAGCGCATGCGGCCTTCGAAATTCGGTTTCTGTTGCGAATGCGGCAACACATCACAGTACGCTACGCTACCCTACTGCAGGCACGTGTGCACACGATACGATAAAGAGGGCATCCAAGCTTGTACACCAGCAGCAGCAGATACAAATTACACAGTGCTCGAGATTAACACACGTTTGGGTTAATTGTCATTGACGCTCTCGATACACGAAAATGATTACATCCAGCTCGGCTGGTGCTGCAATCAAGTGGTTTGGCTAAGAACTTGGTTTGTCTCCTCGATGTCGGTAGTTTGTGTGTCATGAAGAAGGTCTACTCAACCCACACATCGTCCCGAATCGGTGTGCGCGCAACCTACATGTAGCGAAGCAAAGTAAGCCATGTTTCTCTGACCACTCGGCCATACGGCCAATTTCGTGCCTCTGTTCTCGCCAACCTCCTAGGACGATGATTAGACGGGTGTATGAAAGGGCGAAATCTGATTGTAGGAAATCCCAACCGGAGAGTTTGAAACCGGCTTTTCGTCTCACAGAATGTGAGACTCGTATGCATATCTCAGGCGGTAAGCCCGCAAAGGACATCATGGAGCAGCGACGGGTGCGGTACGCTCAGATCTGTTGCTGGGGCCCGCACATCGAAAGCTGCCTCTGCAACATAAAGCTCCCCAACTCTGGGTTCAAACCAAACGTTCGCCAACTCGCAGGCACCCTTTGGGCTGATTCTCGCGGAATAGCTGTTGTTGATGTTGTGGTTGTTGTTGTTGTTGTGTGTGTCACTGTTGATGGTAGCATTTCATCGACCGCGAAAACTGGCTGTCAAACGAAAAACGTCATTCTCAGTGCGGCAAAAAAACAGAGCGTGCTCCTGAAGGCTATGAGTTGAGACCCCGTGAAAGGGCGTCATGGCGAGGGGTACGCTGCTCCTCTCCAGATATAAAAGACAGAAGCGGTAAAATCGCAAGGACGAGAACTGCAAGGGTCTATTCACCATGGCTGCAGCTTTGTAGATTCTCGTCTTCGTTTCTGCCCGCCTCGCATTGTTGCTGGTGCCCAATGGATTCTGGCGGCAAGCTACAGCCGGGGTCACACAGGAATACAGTACCGCTATGGTACAGTACAGTACCACCCAACCACGACCACGCCACACAGACCTCACACCAACCGGTGGAGTAGGGGGTAGGCCTAGGCAGGAGGAAGGTCACACAGGGGCGTCTTATTTACTGCATTATATTTTTTGTGTTTCTGCCCCATCTACATGAATGCTAGTCATTGGAAGTCCTTACTTCTATCACGAAGAGTTTGTTCTTCCTGGTTGAGGTTCGTCAGTATTTGACGCCCTTCTTAATGCGGGAAATAAGGTGCATGTGTCTGCATGGGCACGGAACTAAAAAAGGGGCACCAAAGAAGCGCAAACTGGCCTTCCTCAACAGAGGAAGAAGCCGTTGGGGGGATGGAAGCAATATGTCTTCAGCTGGTTGCTGCTTCGTTGCTCTAACGGCTGCTTCTGCTGTTGCTCCAACAGCAGCACAGTTGAAAGTAGAAGCGGTACTGTGGTAGTACTTTAGTAAAGGAGCTGCCGAAAAAAACGAGGTTGTGCCCATGATCCCCACCTCATCAGTCCCACTCTATGACTTCCTGCTACTGCTACTGCTGTTGTTGTTATTGGTGGTAGGGGTAGGGGTGGTGGTGGTGTTGTTGTTGTTGTCGTCGTCGTTGCTGTTGTTGTTCTTATTGGTGGTGGTGGTTTTGGTGTTTGTGATGGTGGCGTCGAAGGGCTGCGCACAAACAAGAATGAGATGCATGCTCGTCATCGGGAGTTAGTTAAGTGGACATCATCCGTGTACAGCTGTACATCTCTGCATTGCGCACATCAGGATCTCGCGGCAGCACGGCCTCTCTCTACATGCTTGCTGGTTGGTCCAACCACCGCCGATAGTGCTGGTACACGTGCCAACCATAGAGTCATGGCCTTTGAGTGGAAGTTTGGGACGGAGGGGGGGGCTCAGGAATGGAAGGATCATGCATGCCACCATGAAGAGGTGCTGCTGCTCTAAAACATGTCAGACAGATCGAAATGCTGTGCAGCTTCTACACAAACCACACCCGAACATTTATGCCAGGATTGCGGCACCCGGGTCGATGAGATCGCACGGATTGAGTGCCCCGCAGGAGGGCCCGGGGCCACTTTCCTGCCGCTGGTTTGCTAGGAGGACACAGCAGTCGTGCCTCCGATATACCAGAGGGTGGCGTGACTAAGTATAACTATTGGCATTTCGTTATTCAGGGTACCGCTATAGTGGACCGTCGACTGTACTGCTGTACCTCAGAGGAACTATTTCTGACTCTCTGTGAACAAAACGTCGCTGCTGGCGTGATTCACCACCACCTATTTTCTGGCCATGATCAACGGTGGTTCAGATTGCAACCGACTCTATCTACATAGTTGCGGATTGATGTCTCCTGAGCGGTTACTGTTTGGGCAAGTTAGCAGTGCCTCGTGAATCCTCTGACGCTCCATCTGCAGGTTACGTATGGGTTCGAATCTCTCCACGGTGATAAATACCGGTCGTGGTACTCCGAAACTTCAAGGTGCACAGCTACAAGCAGTAGAACCACGGTATGGCGCTTACCGTAGACGACACAGATAACACACCCATACAAGAAACCACACACCCCACAGAATACGACACCCCGGTGATAATTTTTAGTGTTCCGTATCACACATCGGACGAGCGATATATGTTTGCGATATGCGATAGATATATCGTATAGGATATCGCGGAAGAATTCTGGATATCTGGATATTATCTCATCATATCTCATATCATGCGATATGGATACGATATCTCGGTATTTATCCAATATCATGCGATATCGATACGATATCTCGATATTTTGCTTCCAAATCCTGCGACAACGCATGGCCATGAACGATGTTGTGGCTGAGTTTGTATACGGCGGTATTCGTATGCTCTTCTTTTTCACGCTCCACTAGAACAGAGCGTCTGCGTCATGGCAGTGGCCTATACACAAGATATCATGGTTTATCAGGTTCAGATATAAACAAGAAACGGAGAGACGTGGATTGCGTTGTGTGATTGCGTTTTGGGATTGATGTTTGATAACAACGTTCAGACAAGGAGACGTGAACGTTAGATAATATCCCAACCGTCTTGTTTGCGACGTCGGCGCAAACTCGCGGGCTCGTTTCGAGAGAGAGAGTGTTAGTCTGGTGCACACAAAAAGAGCAGTGACAAGTTCCTTTACGTATTGATTGAGAGTTAACAGACATGGGAAGGAAAGTAGAGAGCCTTGTGCGTCAAGTCCATCAAACCCACAACAGCCATGTACAGTATGTATCTCCCCCGGAGATCTCGGAGATCCGTATTGTGCCGAAGGCACACAAACACCCCCCTACTACTCGGTACGAGATACGATCTACGAAAAAACCCTCCTCACGTATCACCAGGTAGTAAGCGGCAACATGTCTTTATCACCCACGATCCAGCATCAATCATTCATCATATATATCCAAAGAATCTCTTCACAAAACCTCTCTCAAGTCGGATTTATTTCAGATAAATACTGTAGTCCTCCTTCCAACATTGAACTTAACTAGAGTAATTGAAATATATCAACCGTCCAGAATATATCGTGAAAACAAAATCCCATGCAGTAAAACAAAAATGATCCTTGGAAAGGCTGCATGGTGGCTCGAGTTTATCCCGCCGGTTGTGTTTGTCGCCGCATGAATGAAGATTCGCAAAACGTGGCTACCACACACAGCCGTTGGTTGGAACCACTACCGGTATGTGTGGTACGTGTGTGGTGTTGGAGACACTAGCGGATGACTGGTGCTCACTACTCTAGTCCCCGTTTGTTTCTGGCTAGTTCTCTGACTATTTTGTGCAACTTTGATCACCCCATGGATGATGTATATCCCATATCCTGTCGATATGACCGGGATATCCGATATATATCCCGATATCGTATCGATATCGCATGATATGAGATAATAGATAATATCCAGATATCGGATCCATATCCCGACTTTTGGGGGTAGATACATCGATATCGTATCTTGGCGTTTTCAATTGCGATACGGAACACTAAGAATTTTGGGCGTTTCTGACAAACCATTGATTTATCACCGGGGCTACATAAGATAACACACCCCTTGAGGTTACGCCGCATACATTCACGGGGCCCCTCCTTCTACGACCGTGGTGATACAGCATCTGCCCCGTGGGTATGCGGGCATCGCGCACACGCACAACATCTGCGAAACTCTCTTTTGGTCGCACCCAATAGCAAGGTATGCAGCAGCTATTTTTTGTGTGAGGGGGTAGGACGGTCGGCGCACTCTGTGGCCACCGAGGTCATGTGCTCAGGAGTTTTGTCTCCTCCGCTGAGCTCCTTTTTTTTTACAACATTCCGCAGAATCACAAGTCATGAAGTGTTCGTACAGGCATTGCTATCACACCCCCCAGCAATACCACACCCCTTCAAGTGTGCGGCAGCAGCGGTTCGACTCAACAAGCAGTCCAATTTTTTTCACACACCCTCATGATCACACCCCCAAAACACACCCTGTGCGTGTTCGGACGTGCAATCACACCCCCTGGTTTATCACACCCCCTTAGGGGCCCGTGCGAGCTGCACTTTATCACCCGGGCTACATAAGATACCACACCCCCCACAGGATACCACACCCGATGATGAAAATTTTTAAGCCCAAAATGTTATCGCCGGGGTGTTTTATCTTGTGTCGTCTACAGTACAGCAGTCGTGAGAAAAAAATATTTAACAGGGAGGCAACTTGGAGGGGGTCCGAAAATTTATGGGGTTCAACAACTGAAGCAAAGTGCTGTGTAGTCGAGTTGATATCCTCTACACCTGCTTGGCCAGGGTCAGGGGTTGACTCCCAGCGTAACCGGGCTCTTCTTGCAAGTGTTTTTTCTCTCGGTTCCGTTCCTGGCCTGGATGGAAAGCGCTACATGTACGTAGTTCGTGTGGCACAAAGGAAAATGAGTGCAGCACTCTTCTCGCATGAAATTTCGAAGGAAAAGTACCGTAGCAGGGGTTGAGTAGGGGGCCACAGGGAGAGGAACCCTTCTGTGTGACCACGGGTTGGAGTAACGGCAATAAGTGCAAGCAGATGTGCAGATGACACAGCAACAGCAACAGCAACAGCAACAGCAACAAGAACAAAGGCACCCGTGTTGCGTTGTTCACATTCCTTCTGTGTGGCCCGCACCCAGACTAAATAGATGGGACGAAGGGACGCCTGCGTGCAAGTGTACGTTCCCGCAATGGACATCTTCTCTCTCTTGCTGCTGTATGTGTGTACATCTTCTCTTGCTGTGTGTACATGCAGGGGGAGGCGGAGCGCACCAATAGAGCGGTGGGGCGGCGAAAGCACCGACCTTGCTTGGCCAGGTCACACCCACACCAAACCCTTTACATGGCTTGCAACGTGATTCCCAATGTTTCAATGTTTCTATGCATACTATGCCTGCTGCGGCTTGCACCATGTGCCTAGACTACTTGTCACAGATGCTGCAGGGTATATGTATGTACAGTAACAAAAATCATCAACGCTTCACGTCAGAAATAGGGCCCCCAACTTGCTGGACCGCCCACCTTTATGTGACGTCCTCGTCTTTGTCGAGAAGAAGAACGTGGGAATGCTAATGCTTGCCGCTTGGAGAGGTGCAGAGCTACAAGAGCTATTGTGCTCTCTTGGGGACGATATTGTCTCGCTCTTTGGAGTGCTCCCACTGCTCGCTGCAGCTTCCTTCTGCCCGCCGCTCCTGCTGTGTGCGCCACTCCTGCTGTGTCTGCTGTGTGTGTGTCTCTCTCTTTCTCGTGCCAACCAACAAAGTTACAACTGGTTACGAGAGGAGAGGACGGAGATTCTTTCTTCAATCAATCATATGTGCATATCACGCCTCTTTGCATATTCCAGGGCACACACGCCGAATGTCCCCTACCACAGGTCCCTCGAGATCAACAGATCTATGTACAGCAGTATAGTAGTACTGCTGTAGTCGCTGTATCTACATCATTATACACTACTTCCGGATCCAGTGCACAGCAGTAGTGTAGGTCCCTTGGTTGATGGCGGGAGAAGGTAGTGATGTACATACAATCCAGCAAGCAAGGTGACATGCAGCGGCATCATGCCGCCATCGAACCGCGGGCTTTGAGACCCTCGTTCAAATACCAAGTGGTCAGCGCGTTGAGATCGGGCAATGCCCTCTCTGAAGAAGTAGGGCCTTGGGATAAGAAACGAGACGGTTATGCTGCAAAAGACTTACCTCACCGGAAAAGGTGTTGTTCCCGGGTTTTCGTTTTAGGTCACACAACCAAGGTAATGGACTAGACTACAGTACATAGATAGAGTATACCGTTGGTGGCGTCCAAATAACGTACCACATACGGTCAGAGGCAGGAGTGAGTTGTAACGAACGGTGGTACCCACACGAACGGGGTACCTAGCGTATAGGAAATCCCTTGGATGTGTTCGCAAGAGTGTGTCTGGTGGGGTTGTGTGGTTTCGAAGTTGCACCGAATGGACACTACATGTAATTGATTGATCTGATGTGTTCGAGCGTGCGCACCTGTCTGCGGTTCTTGTGCCGAAGGTGCGTGGTCGAGAAAAAGGTGTTAACTACTGCCGTCGCTTTGAAGGCAACACCAATCCTCGGTAAGCCACGAGGTCCAGCAAGGATATTCCAATCAATCAATGTCATCCCTGACTCGTACCATATGTTTTCAAATGGCATATACTACTGCTGTGGTCTTCTGCATGTTGTGTGCGAAGAAAGCAAATTTTCTTGGAATACATGTACTTCAAACTGAGAGAAGAAGAGCGAACACAGTAGAATATGGTAATGACTACCGTACATACATATATACAATACACATGCGTGCATCATCTACCCGTCTACATTGTTTTCAGATCGGGGGCAAGCTGCATAAGCATGTAGTTATGTAGCCGGCGAAAGGACGAAAGCCGAGCGCATCCGCATCAGGATAGACACACCCCAAGCAGCCACGCGGCTGTACATGTATTCGTGTCATACTCTCACACTTATTGTGCTGCTGCTGTGTTTTCCCCCGCACCCCCGCACCCAACTTCGGAACAAAATGACACGATGGGAACGTCCAAGAATACCATCTTTCCAGCAGCAGCGTAATTGCGCCGGCAGCACACACACGTCACGGCAGGCGGACGTCTGGACAAATACTGCATCGCGAACAACATATTCTGGCGAACAACGGTGAGGTGAGATGGTGACGATCGATCGTGGGTGGTGGCTCTGATAATGAGTGGATTAGATTCACTTCCGTGCACCGAACTCAACAGACCGTTTGACAGGATTCAATGCACGTATGCATACGACGATACCAACATGACAGCATCACATGTAATGTGTAGGGGTGGTTCGAGATTCTTCAGCTTGAACTCATGTGTAGAACATGTGAAACTACACATACACAGGACATGGACATAATCTGCATGAAAACGCGTAGCAAGCAACTGGTGGTGATGAGTCCTCTGTCGGCATGCACTTCGTGCGAAGCCAGAATCACAAGAGACGCGGCGTCCGGGCGTCCTGGTTCTCAACGCACGTAACTAGAATATTGTGATTTTTTCTTCGGCGAAATGCATTCGAGAATTGGCGGACAGAGTTGGTGTTGAGACATCAGATCATCCGCCGTGCGATCATCAACCGACTACAAGCAAGCTTCGCCCTCGTTTCATTGGTATGTTTGTTGCCCCTAAAACACCGTAGGTCGTCCTACTGTAGACCGCAAGGGGCCTTGGCAATCTGTACGCGTGTAGTCCGGGGTGTCAGTTCGCCACCGGTGTGCGATTTGTTCTATTTTGGAGGTCTGGAACGGGTGAATCCTTCTCGGGACAACTATCAAGGCAACCACACCGCACCAGGAAGGCGGAGAAAAAAAAGTCACTCCTGTTTGGCCTTCCTCGTGTGTGACACCGGCTGGTGCGTCCAAGCTCGTACCTATAAGAAGGGTGTAAAGGCCGACGTACACACAGAATAATAGCGGTATGGCAACATGAACCTATTAGAGCAGTCCTCCAGTACCTTTTTCGCGCTTGCTGAGCTGCACAACGGACCAAATGCTGTATGAACATTATACAGAAGAATGCGAACGTTCTGACAAATCAGCAAGAAGCATCACGAAGATCGTCCGTTCCACATTTTTTTCTCGTCCGCCGAAGAGACGAATTGGAGCTGTATGTAGGATCCGCCTACAAGATGTACTGTTGTACACACACACACTAATGTCTGCTCATCTTCCCACTTACAACAGAGAGAAAGCAGTGAGATACGAGCTTAGACTACACAATATTATGCGCTTTCAACATACGTAGGAGAGACGCACATGTTTTTGCTCTCCGGGCTGTGATGTACGTAAGTCAGGACGGGCTGTGTTTTCAGATGATGGCAGCAAGAGCAACCGTCGTAGATTAAGCGGGGTGCTTGGAAACGTAAGACGTTTTTTGCTGAGGGCGTTGCCCCACGGTGACCACAAATGGATGGATTGTGTTCCCCTTTTGGGCGAACAGTCCGTTGCTTCCGGACCCCCTAAAGACGTTCACTACATACCCCCGTCCCGCTACACCATTAGTTCAACAACATCATACCGTGGCGCATCTTTCTTCTCGTTCTGATAACGGTGTTTGTCATTCTTTGTGATTGGGCCGTTTGGTCGAGAACACTCCGTCCGGTACAACACACGGGTGAAAACCGACACCATCTTGTAAACTGGCTGTACGAACCACGGTCGGGACGAAAATGGCATTCACAACGCGCACGCTTGGCACCAGGATCGGTTGCCGAGCTTTCCAGTTGCATCGTGCTTGAAAAGGTTTGATCGTGCTGGCCCACCAGCCAGTCGGCTGATTTCACGACATCGCCTGCGACTAAGTGGGTTTTGATTATTTTCTTCAGAACGAGAAAAATAATAGACATCGGGAAGGCTGTGATACCGTGTGCAGTCACTCGGGCGGCAGCATTGACCTCCGCTCGCTGTGCCCATAGTGAACGAACAGAACACTCTCCTGGCAGTTAGTCTAGACTCGACCCCCGCGTGGTGCTTAATCCCACGCGCAGGCTCAGCGTGAAAGCGTTACCTCATTTTGCCATCGCGGTGGCGGCGTTTCGTTTTCCGCATCAGTGTCAGATGTTGTTCGCTGTGCGGTTCATTGTTGATCCCGCAATTTCCTTCGACTCAGGCCAGCGACCTCTTGACTCTCGCACAATACACGATGTCCAAACGGTGTGAACGTGTCTGCATCTGCGCACACCCTCGTCCCGTTTCACGTGGAAATAAACCTGACGGCGACGAAGAGACGAGGGAGATTTGATGAAGTCGGCCCCTAGCGATGACCGCGGTCGGCGTGACTCAGGCCAGCACGTGAGTAGACGGCAACGAGTAGGAATACGATGTACCGTAGTCGCGTCTAAGGGATCAACCGCTCAGACGAAAAGGATTACGTTGACCTGACTGCCGCCAGTAGCACGTAAGATGTTCCACGTTGATGCGGTCACCAACAACATGCATTTTCAGTCGCCTGCCGCTCCGACCACCCTTTTGTGATATGTTATTCCTCGAAAAATGGATATCTGACCTATGGACAGACAAACGTTCACTTGACCGCTCTCCCTTCCATACAGGCATCCGCGCGGAGCTCGCAGGATACGTTTCTCCAGGCGATAGCTCAATCCGTCGCGAAAACACCCGAAGATCGAGTTTTCGCCCGCTGGTACAACCGCAAGGGGCAAGTCGAATCCACCCGGACCTTTCACGGCGTCTGGGGGGCGAGCGGCGAGGTAACTAGACTCACACCGACGTGACATGCGAGAGATTTTCACTTGCAAACACATGGATGACTCGCAAGTGTGAAGACAACAACAACAAAAACAAGTCTCAGAGTCTGCGCGAAGTTCCCAAGGGTATGGTAGTACTGTCCGTAGCATAGCTTCCGGCTAGCCCAAGCAAGGTGCGCAACGCATACGATACGTCCTTCCACTTGCGAAGGTGATGGACAACGACCAATATTGCTACTACACAACGGGAAACGATACAGCAGATGAGAGAGGTACTATGATGAGACCAAGAGACTATGGACCGAGGGGGGGGCCTTTTCTACCCTCTAGGAAGCGATGTTTTGTCGTGCTTCAGGTGGAAAGGTCGACCAGTCACTCTCGAAGACTTCTAATTCGGAGCGTTGGGTGCGAACGAAACATATTGCAATGTGTTCGGCGTCGGCTGTTTGTGCCCTCGGTACAACTCTACGCTGCTTTCAGATTACGGAGTTTCCCTGGAGCCTGTTCTCGGGAACCTATGTTCGTGATAACAATCGTTGTCGGTAGCGATTGCTCGAAGTAAGCCGGCCGTCTCTACGCTGTCTTCCTTCCCCCCTCAGATTGCGCACCTCCTGCGAGTTGAATGGGGCCTGACCAAGGGCGACCGAGTGGTGCTGGCGTTCAACTTCGGCCTCCGCTTCTTCGCGGTGTTCCTCGGCTGCCTGAGAGCCGGCATCATCGCCGTGCCGGTGTACCCGCCTAACCCAGCCACGCTCAAGAAATCTCTCCAGAACCTGCAACTCATCGTCGAAGGTTGCACGCCGAAGATGATTCTCGTCTGCCCGCTCGTCAACAAGCTCCGCCTGGCGTGGAAGCTGCGGGTGGTGGCGACGGGGAAAAGCGGCTGGCCGAACTTACCCTACCACTGCCCTGACGTCAAGGAGGAGACGATCCCCACAAGTGGCTTGGCTTACACTGCCGTTGAGTGGAAGAGCCGTGGCAGCAAGTCGACGGATGCCGGAACTAAGCGGCCAAGCTTCCAAATGCAGCGACCGAGCTTCGACGACCCGACTATCAAGCCGGAAGACGTGGCCTTCCTGCAGTTCACCTCGGGCAGCACCTCGGATCCGAAGGGGGTGATGCTCACTTACGGTAACCTCACCCACAACATCGATGCCATCATCAATTCCTCGAATGCGGTGAGAGATTGAGAGAAACCAAGGCCTACGCCTTGTCAACTACAGTGGCATGTACTTCGTAGTCGTGAAGCCCTGTCTTTCTGCTGGCCTCTTGCCCGAACATTGGGGAGTACCAAGACCTCTCAGCTATCTAATGAGAGCAATCTAGTTTCGACTTGGAAAGAGATCCGTCTCTGGGTCCACTGATATTGCTTTCTGTCAATCCCAACAATATTGTGATGGGCTCTTTGTACCTGGTGCGGTGGTGAAGGTTTGAAATCAGGCGTTGCTCAGCGGTGTTTCAAGGAGCGAACGTATCAATGTCGATCATTTCCAAGGAAAAGCCGACAACATCGAGCAGTGGAGGAATATCAGGAGATGGGCCATTCTCTTTTCGCGGCGTGCCGCCAATCGACCGACTCCTGGGTGTTGTTTTCTGCAGCGCTGACGAATTTGCAGCTATCGCAACTTCGTTGTTCGTCCCCTGATTCACAAACTCCTTTCAAACGGAACATAAATATACGCCCCCGTGCCAATTCACCGGTAGCAAATCGTCGAACGAGGGGGGGTCCCGGGTGGCAACCGTACCTGGTTCTCTTGGCTGCCAACCTTCCACGACATGGGTCTTATCCAAGGAACTCTGGTGCCGTTCCTGGCCGGATGGACGGCGGCGTACTGCTCACCCATCACCTTCATGCGCCGGCCTCTGATGTGGCTGGAGCTCATGTCCAAGGAGAAGACGCAGATGACGGCTGCTCCGGACTTCGCGTTTCGACTCTGCGTGCGAAAGTGGTGAGCCGTTCAGCTGAATCTAGAGGGGAGACCCACTGCAATCCGCGGCAGCACACGTTTCAAACAATCGTAGAGGAGCGCGTCTGCCGCAACTGTGTTGCCGTGGTTTCGACCAGTATAGTCCACATCGTGACCGGGCGGAATCGTTGCGGGCGCGGTTTCCCTCCGTCTTCCCCGAACTGTAGATTGATTAATCCTTGTGACCGAAACGCTTCGCTGCTGAAGCACCCGTTCGCTCGTTCGCTCTCTCGCTCATCACCCTGGTTGCAGCTTTATCCTTCTGCCCGGGACGTTTCGATCCTTGCGCATCCGCTCGCCCATTCGCTTTCCCGCTCGCCGCCTCTGTTGCAGATATATCCTTCTGCCCGAGGCGGTCCGATACTTTTTCATCCGCTCGTTTATCCGCTCTCCCGTTCGCCGCCCCGATTCCCAACAAATAGGAAAGAGATGTCGCTGGAGAGCCGGGCCGCGCTGCACCTGGACCTAAGGCCCATCATGTTCATGCAGAATGCCGCCGAGCCTGTCCGCGCTAGCACTGTGAGTGTGGCCGGTATTGACAGACCGACCGTTGGGGTGGTTACACTCGATGTTGCCTCTTCGCGTCATATCTTTCCCACTTGTTCTTGATATCGTTGTTGTTGCTGTTGCTATTGTTATCGTTGTCGTTGTTGTCGTTGTTGTTGTTCAAGGACAGAATAGCAACAGCGACCCTGACCAGAGTTCCACTACTTGACAGCACGACACATTTCCTCCCACGGCAACTACAGAAAGCCCAGACGAGCAAATACAGTATCCAAAACGTGACGTGTTTGAAGCCGTAGAGCTTTCGCCGTCGGCATAGGAGACGAATGCGAGTCGAATCCCGACGTGCCCACAACAAGTCAATTCTGTTGATCTACCTGCACCTTGAAAGGTTCGCGACTTCGCCGAAACCTTTGCTGCCGTGGGCCTTCCGGCGTACGCATCCAACGCGGCGTACGGGCTCGCCGAGCACACCGTCGGATGCGCGTCCTTTAGCCCTAACCTGGGCGGAAGAGAGAGCTTGAGCAACATATCCGACGAACGGCTGCAAGCATCCGGGGATGTCCACGCCTCAGCCAACAGCCACATTGGTGTGAGTACCGGGCACACGTACCTGCTACACCGGTAGGTCCGTCCACATCCACGTTGAACCCATCCGTTCCGGTCCTGAAATCTCCACATATCCCCACCGGTAGGTCCGTCCACATCAACGTTGGACCCATCCGTTTCGGTCCTGAAATTTCCAACCACGCCAATAATGCGTGGGTTGGGTCTGGTTCTGTCTTTTATGCGTGCCTCAACAGATCAAGGTTATCGACCCCGAGACGTGCCGGGAGGTTCCCGTAGGCGAGACGGGGGAGATGTGGATATCCTCCAAGTCGGTGGCCGCGGGCTACTGGGGAAAGCCCGAGCTGACCCAGGAGACCTTCCGGGCACGGATCAAGTGCGATCCCGCTGCCGACGGGTGAGGCTACGAGATATACATATATATATATAGAGAGAGAGAGGGAGAGAGGCACCGACAGACAGACAGACAGACAGAGAAAGGGAGGCACAGTACGACAAACAGGGAGAGAGAGAGAGAGCGAGAGCGAGAGAGAGAGAGAGAGAGAGAGAGAGAGAGAGAGAGAGAGAGAGAGAGAGAGAGAGAGAGAGAGAGAGAGAGAGAGAGAGAGAGAGAGAGAGAATGAGAGAGATAGAGAGAGAGAGAGAGAGAGAGAGAGACTTGCCCCGGCCTTAGACCGATTCCCGTCTGCCTCTGAGGCGGTGGAACTTGTTGATGTGCACGTCACGATTTCGCGCATCTATATTGTGCATGCATCCCTCTGTGGTCGGTAATATACCGTAGTTGAAATGGACAGTTGGCGGTCGTGGTCCTTTGCCGTTGCGTGTCTAGTTGTTATGTTTCTCCTTCAATGTGTGGCAATAGTGTTGGCTTGTTTATAGCCTCCAGCTCTACCCATGAGACAATTTACGACGTTTTCACCACCGCTTATCAAAACATTTCCCAGGTCTCCCGCCTCCCCGTGGGTCGATTCAGACTTTCTTCGCACCGGAGACCTATGCCGCGTCGACACCGAAGGCCTTCTTTACGTCGAAGGCCGGCTGAAAGACCTCGTCATCGTTGCTGGGCGCAACGTTTACCCTCAGGTACATGAAGTTATTTTCCTAGGCCGTGAGTTTCAACATTTATTCTGCGTATTCATGGGTGAAGAGGATCGTTGCTTAGAGACACCTCGGTCGAGTAACAACTTTGCTTGCTGTGGAGGGCGAGGGGCAACAGTCAATATTGGGTCGTTTTAACCCCCTGCAGTTCCAATCAGCTCGAAAGGACGGCACACTGCGTTTCGTAAATATTGTCTATCGACGGTGCCCCTGATCTCCGATGCCTACCCTGTCACGTGCGGTCGTAATTTTACGTACAGGACATTGAATTCGTCGCACAAGACGCGTCGTCTCTCGTCCGGCCAGGGTGCATTGCAGTCTTCTCAGAGACAGAACTCGGCGGCGGCGTAGAGGTGACCTTCAGAAGTTGACAACACGTAGTCAGGGATCTACGGGGGGATTTGTACCACATCCCACTCTCGGTTTGGCCCCTGCCACGTTTCCTGCCCACTGCTGTTGCCTTCATCTTGTCTTTTTCTCGGGAATCTTGGGCGACTTCTTGCTGCCTTCATCTTTTTTTTTTTCGGGAATCTTGGGCGACTTCTGGGGTGCCACTACCACGCAGCCTTTATCTTACGCTGGGGTACATTCGGGGCGGGTCGGGAGGGGGGGGAGGTCGTCGAACGAAATCATCGGCTTCTTCGGGTGGCAAAGCATACCATGGCCTCTGGCCCCTGTACCAACGAGAGGAGTGTGCGGATCATGAAAGGATTCGTTCAAGGTAGACATGATTTTGATCTAGTCGATAGGAGCGCAGCGATCCTAAGCCAGGGCGGCCTCTGCCTCGCTTTGTACATGACAGATCGTCATGGAGGTGCGGACCGTCTCCAAGAAGAAAACCAAAGCGGTCACGGAAGCGATGGAAGCCGTGCGCCGCAGCGTCATCAGCGAATCTGGTCTCACGCCTTCCAGAGTGGTCAGTGCTCTCTGTCGCGCATGTGGCCCAAAACGGTTGGTTCGAAAGGTTCATTTGGTTGTGGTGAAAGCAATCGAACAGTGGCATACGTCGTACGAGGTGGCACAGCAGTAGAAGTACATTTTAGTTCCTCGAACGTACCGTCGAGAACGGAGCAACATCGATATAGGAAGGCGCCGGGTTCTCTGTACCGTTTTGTTCGCGTGCGTGCAAGAATGGCCATGGCCAGTCTGTCGCCACAGTGAAACACACGCTCATCCTGGCAGAATCGCCCTGTGCACCCCATAATGTGCAACAGGTGGCCATCAAGGAGGGAACGATTCCGAAAACTACCTCCGGCAAGATTCAGCGACGGAAGACGCGAACGATGCTCCACAGGGGTGGCCTAGATGTGGTGCGGGAGCTTCGTCTAGATCCCACAGAAACGGCGGCCTTTGCCGCTGTTCAGGATCAAACGACAGACGACATCACTGGCGTGGTAGGTTTCCAAAACGGGAGACTCGAAATTTCCGAACAGAGAGCTCACGATTGCTTTGTCAAAGTGGCAGTGTACAGTATCAGAACCGGCACCGGGTACATCACGCTCGGTGTCCATGTCGGCTGCAAAGGACACAAAGGCGTAGGGTGTATTTTCTGCTCATGCTTTCTGGTTGCAGTCCTTGTATTCCGTGCTATTCGGCCAAAATACCTACGACTGCTCTGTAGCGCGTTGGTGGCGAGGGGGTTGTTGGTCTTCGGGTCTTCCGGAGCAGCTAGCGCAAACATGTGTGCACCCCGACGGGTTCCGCTTGTTGTTGTTGTCTTCGCTTTGATAAACGTTTTCGTTTTCTCTACCCAGTACATTCCTCTGTCTAAACTACATAGTCACACACTTGACGCTCCGTCGATTCCCGTGGTCACAGGCCGACTTGCCCAAAAAAGGTATACGAAAGAAAACTTTGCAATGTTTTTTGGCAAGTGTTACTGTAGTATCGCACTAACGTTGTGGGGCCTCACGAATGTCAAACACCGTTTCCGCTGGTTTATGCACTCACAGGCGACGAACAGTGACACCGAAACTCTGCCCAACGACACAGAACGACCTCCCACGGCCGAGTTGTGCGCCCAAGACGTCATTGACATCGTGGAGGCCGTGAGTATCCACATGTACTTTTGCCACGCCCTTGTTGGTGGGGCTTCCTTTCCGACAGCTCTGTGCGATCGCCTGTCTGCAACCAAACTACTGTAGAATCGAAGTTGCGAAATTATTGCTAGCTGGAGTTAACGTGAAAACATTGCAGCACACGGCCAGCGAACCTCTGTGGCCAAGCATGCATTTTCCCTACAGGATTGCTTGGCCAAGCACGCATTCACCCATGTTACGGCCAAGACCTTCCCAGAGTGAGTGATTTCCACGGTCTTGCTGAAATGGGACGATGTGCGTGCAAAGTTCAAAGGCGTAGCGAAGGGACTACTATGAGGTACACTACGAATTATGCGAGTCTTGCTGTAATCAGATTCAGAAGCGTCGGTAACAAGCCGACTAACTACCTGTTATTCACGAAACCGCCCCTCTGCGACGTTCCGATTGTTCAGGCCACCGGGGTGGAAGGTATTGGAGAGTCCGACGATCTGCTGGACCTCGGAGTTGACTCGCTCGTGTCTGTTGGAATCAGCAAAGTGAGATTCGTTGTAGTAGTTGGTGTATTAGGGTGCGTTGTTGTCCTTGTTTCAGCTATTGTGATTGTTGTAGTTGTTGTTTTTTCAGACTCCAAAGTACTTCCTTTGATGTTGTTCGGTGGATATATTTCAAGAGCTTCCGAGGGCTTCCAGGAGCTATCGCACTTTCGGAAGCACGATACTCGTCAAATATTTTCTCTGCAACGCGAAAGGTACCGAAGCGCGCAAAATCGGTGGGAGGCCCGGAAAGTTGATTTCGCTGGTCTTCTGCGCTCGGTCGTTCCTCGATTGTCATACGGCCACAACGTGTGCCCGCGGAAGGCCTCTGCGTCTAACGTCCGTGCTGCCGAAGATTCCGGAGACGTGACTCGCTCCCCTCTGACTGATGATGTGTCCTCTGGCGAACAGAACCTGTCTGAGGCCTCCGGATGCGATCTCCCACATGAGCTTGTGTTCACGCACCCCACGGCGGCCCTGATCGCGGAGTTCATAAGCTCTGCCGTTAAGAAATCCCAAGCCACTCTTCGCTCCAGGTGTGTAACGTCAGGGTGAATCGTCCGAGTTCCGCAATGGCACGGTACTATATTTCACTCTGGCCTATTGGGCAGTTGAAGGGAAAATCAGGAAGTGTTGCTTCAGAACCATTGCGACGGTGGAAAAGAGGTACTGCAGACCCTGTCTCATAGCGGCATAGGGCAACCAAACCCCAACGGTACTCGGGTTCTGAGACTTTGCGCCTTCCCCGATCGGTGTTGCCAACTTCACGCCGTCGAAGCTTCCGTCGCGATCCCAACAAGGGGAGCACGGCCGGTGACTCCTCAACGCCCGCACGCACGAGCAGTTTGGACTGCGCGGGGGGCTCCCGCCTGAGGGACCTGGGGGGGGAGTGGACGACCGGTCCCATGCAAGGATGGGTGTTTCGCCTGACCCAGGTAAGTAGAATTTCATCCTGTGTAGATGTAGACATCGTGGCAATCAATGTTGGACAAGTTGTCGCGTCCCTATCTTCGCGTTTCATATCGATGGGTCAGCGAATCATGCCCCCGCATATATTATACGGACACTTACTTTCGTTCGTTGATGGATAAATTCATACGTCCCTTTTTATCGCGTTTCATCCACGGGTCAACGAATAAAATGCCCCCCCATCCCCACTCTCTGCTTACCTATGCTGTCCTGCGCTCGGTGGCAGACAATCCTACTAGCATTGGTTCTGCTGCAGATATTTGTTGCGCTACAGCCGGCCCGTCACTACTGGCGCTACATCTACGAGCTGTCCTCGACAACGTCGTTTGGGGCATACCCCAAACAGCCGTGGATCTACGTAGACCTGCCTGTCTTCGGAGGAGGAGCAGAAGGCGAGCGAAGACACTCTCACATGCCACACCACGAAAACCAACTCCTCGCGGCAACTAAAGAACCATACATTTGTCGTCGCCTTGCGTCAGATTCTCCACAACGGGTGAATGACGGGGCTTGGTGGTAAACCGTTGTTGTTGCAGTTGTTGTTGTCTTCAAACTTAAAACTGTTCCGATCTCTCTACCCAGTAATCCGTGCCGTGAATGATATGGCGCCTTATCCATGAATATGATGACATGATTCTTGCTACCCGACAGGATCATCTTCCAAGGTGCGGGCCCTCGGTCTTCTTGGAGCGCTCTCGCCGATGATATGGTTCGCGTGTTTCACCGCGATCGTGATCGTGACAAAGATCCTGCTGGGCGCGCATCCCCAAGAGCGCGTGCCCTTGGGCACGCGCGCGTACCTCTCTTGGTGGTACATGAACGCCATGCTCAACGTCTGGGAGTGCGTCGGTGGAACGTGGTTGCTAGACACGAAGATGATAATCTTTATTTACCGCTGCATGGGCGCAAAGGTGAGAGAGTCACCAAGCTAGTACGGCTCTCGTCTTGACCGCGTTCTCACCTCCGTGCAGACTAGCTCTTGGTTGGGCGATGCCACCAATCATTCCTGCGACACTCTCCGGCTACGTGACGTCTTGGGGGCCATCAGCGCGCCGTGCGTCCACATGCCGAGGCATAGCCATGGCATACGGAAACATAATCGAAACGCCGACGCTATCGATATAGCTCGACGAGGTGATCACGAATTTCGCTGTTGTGTCAGTTTTAAGTTCCATCCAAACGTTGTCGACGGAACGTGAATGGACGACTTGTCGGGCATGGACCATATAGTCTATGCCCATACATCATGGGGGCCTGTTGAGAAGCACGATGACCACTGGACTACCAGTCAGCGCCGACGGGTAGTCTAGCGGCCATCGTGCTGCTCAACGGGGCCATCTGCTCGCCGTACGTCCATTATCCAAACCTTAGCCCTGACACACGCACACGCAATCATCACGCTCGCAGATTGCGTGGACGGCGAGCATCAGCGTCTTCATTCGCGACTTCGATTCCGTGGACGTCCGGGAAGGGGCGAAGGTGGGCGGTAACCTGTACGTGCGCCGTTTTGAGGCTTCTTACATGGACGTCGCGCCCATCATGATTGGCAAAGGCGCCGACATTGGGACCGGTTCCGTGGTGTACGGAGGCTCAAGCGTCGGGGACCATTGGTGAGTGTTAAGAAGCACGATGACCACTCGGCTACTAGTCAGCACTGACTCGTAGTCTAATGGTCATCATGCTAGATGTGTGAAAGAGAATCGCGTTCCACTTTCTCAGCAACTTTGACGACAACACAAACTGCAGAAGAACTTGATCCAGCAGGTAGATATTGGCATCATTTTCCACGCGAATGAGTGCGACAAGCATTACCCCTGTGCTCCCCCGAGCACAGGCGCGTCAACCTGGTGAATCCTTGACTTGGGCTGCCCTTCATATCGCGTGCTCACACGCATGGAGTGCAGGTGTTCTCTTCGAAACGATGAAAATGCCTTATTTGAATCCGAAAAACTCGAGTGCTGGACGCTTCTCCCTGTTGGGAGGAGTCGCTGAAACGTTCGCCTTCTTGAACCCGGGCGCCGATGTGCGACCAGCTTGCCGAGACGTACTCAACGCTGCTGCAAAAGCAAAAGGTTTCGACCAGACCTGTTGGTGCTGGCGCACTCGGACATTGATATCCAAACGTATTGCCAGAAGTAATTTCGGTTAAATTCCATCTCTCGTATCTCACATGTTCTCCTGCCGCTTCCGCTGTTTTTGACCGCGCCGGTCCGGTGCGCTTGATCGCTTCTGTGGGGTCTCCGATCCAGTTTTGTCGAGCCCCTTACCGTCATTCCACCGCTTTCGAAGCTTGCGGTGAGTGAGGTGACCCACAGTCGATTTTCTTGCGTTTTTTGGTGTTTTGGAAAATGCTTTCTGGTTCAACTCGACGCAATACCGTAATCGGAAGGGAGATAGATACTGATGGTACTCGAATGAGAATCACGCCAGCCAGTAAAAAGATCTATGCGCTTATGGCATCCCTTAGCATACTTCTTCGTTTAGCTGTGGAAGTTCTCCCGCCGACGTTCTTCTCGTGCGCTGTGCCTGCGATCAGCCACACTCCACTTGGGAAGGTCACCCTGCGAAGGAAACCAAGAAGGGTGACCCAGCCCATGATGGCGTGCTGCTGGATGTTCCTGGCCCATGTGCCGCCATGCCCTGTCTCATTGAGGTGAGCAAAGGGTGAATAATTGGTCAGTCTGTGCAAGAATGTGCGTTCATAAAACTATGTGTGCAGAAAATTGGGCCTTTGTCCATGGACGTGTCAGTAGGCGATGTTGCAGAGGACTTCCAAGCGTGTGTGGCGGAAATGTGCCAGGGAATCCACCGGCGGAGTTCGTTCGGGAACAAACGTCACAATGTGTAGGCTATGCTTCATCGTGGCAACAAAACACTCCATTGTGATCTGCCAGTTTTTTGTTTCGAACGCGCCAGCGAGCAACAACACAGGAAATAAATGCGTGGGTGGCACTCGCTCATCGTCGCATTGAAAGATATTTTGCGGCAGGGCAACCCTTACCACGTACATGACTTGTGCCATGCCTTGCCCTTGCCTCAAAAGCTAATAAGAGACCCCCCCTCTTACTCCGGCGTCGCTACCACAGTTCATGAAGCAAGTAGCGATTCTGTGCACCCTGGTTGCTACGACGGCAATGACCTACATCCCGACCATCCTGTACGAGTCTACCGGTGTATCTGAGAACTTCCGCTACGCTCTTCTCGTCGAGATTGTCATTCTCGTGGCGGGAGTGCCGAGTCAGCTCGCCCTCTACACTGCTCTTCTCAAGTGGGTTCTCGCAGGTACGTGGGGGCGCCCTCAGCAGTGCCACTATGTATCAGCCGATTTCGCTGGAACTACTGTAGAGCGGGCACATACTGCAGCATGGTTCATTGCACGCAACGCTTCAGAACATTCCATCGGTGAGGCGAGATGTCACCGGCTTGGGAGCGGTCACCCGGGATGACTTAACGAGCGGCACTGCTGAGTGGGTATCCTTGATGGTGAACACGTTTTTGCGGAGAGGTCCGGATTCAGATGAAGATCGCTAACCTAACCCTAACCCCACCTTATCCCTTCGTGGTGACAAGGAAACGCGGAGGATTTACCATTCCGTGCTCGTAGACGCGCCTAGACGAGGCGTGGAGAGGATTGTTATTCGTTCGGGTTAGGGTTAGGGTTAGATTTAGGGTAAGGGTTAGGGTTAGGTTTAGGGTTAGGGTTAGAGAGACAAGGTAGGCACAAACACATGGACGAGTCGTGGAGAGTGTTTGTGTTGTTATACTTTCGTGTTTGGTTAGGGTTAGAGTTAACGTCGGGGTAAGAGAGCAATGGTAGGCATTCACGCCTGGCCGAGACTTGAAGAGTACTGTGCTTTCTTCCATAACGTCCTGCGAAGCCTTCTTGGTTTGTTTTGTACTGTTGGGGGCTACACCCGGCAAGCGGTACACGACACGGTGGTTTGACCTTTTCCGTTCTGCGAGTTTGTCTGCCAATCGGTGGTTGTTCGGCGGTATCCTGTGCCTTTGATGTTGGCACCAAGGGGCGTGCTTTCGCTGTTTCCGAGCCAGTCTGCCGAAGACAACAAACAAGCAAACGGCCCCTTCGACACGGCACTGACCCTTACGCATATGGCGTATTCCTTGTTTGTTCGCTGCCATGTATGCTGGCAGGTCGGGTAACGGAGGGTCCTTACCAGCCGACCGTCTTCCAGACCTGGCGGAGATGGTACCTCGGCAGGCTTAGCGCGCTTGTGTTCGCCTACTTCAACGTCTTCAACCAGTGAGTCCAATCGTTCGGAGATCGCCCGAGATGGTAGACGCCTCCTCATGTCCGAGTAAGACGCACTCTCTCGGTTTGTTTAAAGACGTTCACACAGGCAGCCTAACAACGGTCAGCTATTGGTATGGCTAATTGAATGCGATGGAATCGGCGGCCGGATGCGTGGAATGGATCGCTCACACAAGCCTAACGATGAAAGCGTCTGGTTGAAGACAGACTTCGGCGAACTACAAAAGGTGTCGGAGAAGTGCAGCAGGAACTGTTCACACCTAGCCCCAACCTGGCGTTGACGGCGCAATCTAATCACCACAGCACGCGCCTCCAACCTGCGTCCCCAAACCTGAAAACAATAAACTACCCAAGAACAGAACGCACACAACAATATTCTGTTTCACGCGGCATAGCCAACATCACCTCATGATCAGTATTGATTTTCTGGCACCTTGGCACTTGATTGCTGGGACCGTTCTGTCGACTTCGTCCCCACCCTGGCCCGCGGTTTGGACGACAGATGTCCGAGATACGAGTGGTGGGCGGCCGCCCTTGGCATGAAAGTGGGGCGTGGTTCTGTGATCTTGCTGGAAGGGTACAACCCGGAGGACGCACACCTGATTGAGGTGGGGTCTGAATGAAGGACGAGCTCCTAGTGAAAGCCCTGGGCGACCTAATTCCCCGAAACAGTAACACGGTACGTTCAGTCGCAGCGCGCGCCCACGGGGACGTGCTACAGGATGTCGCCCACTGGACGCCGCGTGATCTGTGTGTTGTTCAGGGGTGTTGTTGAGGGGGGAGCAGGACATCTTGGCGTATGGTATCCGTCTTGCTTCCATCGATGTACGATTGTGGCACGGTAAGTTATTCACCCCCTCCGCCCTTTTCAAACGCCTGTCTTCGATATATACTGAAACCACGCCTTACGTACATCACTGATTTCCAGATCGGCAGCGGAGCACACGCCGGCTATCCGATTCTCTCCGTCGACCGGCCAACCGGACGTGGCACCGAACGCGAGAAGAAGGCAATAGCGATCGGATCGAAGGTATTGCTTGGATTTGGGGCACATCTCGGCGCCGGCTCTACCGTCGGCAACGGTGCAATGGTGAGTCTAGTTGCCTTCGCTCGGTTTGGTCACGGCTGGAGTGCTCGCCTTGTTGACACAGCGTCCTTGTCATGGACGACGACTTGGTCGAAACTACCCCCACACTAACAGCCCCAGCGCACTTCGTACGTGAGCTTTTCGCCTATGATGCATCGTCGATCTGCATTCAATTCATAGGCGTGTGGTAGGCCTCCCATTCGGGGAGATCCTCTCGATCCGACAAAACGTCAAGTGCTGGTACTCTGACTGCGTGAACATGCGCTGATTGCTCGCGTTGTCCACCTATGGTCGGCCGTTTATTTCTTGGCAATGTTTCTGTGGCAGCTTGGTGGGTACTCGGTGTTAAGGCCTGGGGAACATCTCACCGACGGATCGGTGACAATGTGCGACCAGCAGAGTGCCTTCCGACCTGGCGGCACTACCCCCACCTCCCCCGCTCGAAGGGATGGCCACAACGGTGAGTCGTGAAAGTAGTGCAAGCAGTGTCGACGGCACTCTCTCACGCAGAGAAGGTTCGGAAGAGGTTTGGCGAGGAAACCATGGAGCACACTTGCACCGTACACAAAGCTCCCTCAGAAAATATATTTAGGGTTGTTTATCAGTATTCTTCCCTCAGAGAGGCACTGCAGTTAGCGCCGGCGATTAAGAAGCAAACCATTAAGAAACAATGGCTCAGATTTTCTCGATCGACAAGAAAATGCGGCTATTAATTACACCCGTGAATCCTACACTAAACTTTATAAAACAGTGACCTAAGCTCGACGGCGGTGGGTGGCGATATAAGAAATTGTGCCTCGATCCCAAATTGACGTGTCTCCAACACGGGCGCTACGGCGAGGATGCCCCGTTTTCTTGACCCGAAGATGCTTCCTTACTACCACGAGCCCCGCAATTTTTGTGCTCCGCCGCTGAAGACGCCGGCGAAGCTGTCAAGGAAAACCTGATCGACGCAGCGTGCACCCTCGGAGCTTGCTCCCTCATCACCCTGGCCTTGGTGGCATCTTTTGAGGCGACGACTTTTGCGGCATCTTTGTGGTCCAAAGGCGATGGCTTCGACACCAGGGTTGTCGTGCTGTCGACAGTGGCCTTGGTCGTGTGGGCGTTGGCCTCGGCTGTGCTTCTTGCTGTCTTCAAGCGGGTATTTGTCGGAGACTTCCGCAGGAAGCCAACCGAAGGTGTGCAGTAAGGATCTTAGGTCCCATCATTAGAGCGGGCTGCCTTACCAACGTGTATATGAGACAAGACGTGGAGAATCCCCACCCGCGTACTCTCAGTGGAACGGGGGTGGCCTAATCGTTTTATCTACAACGTGTGGCGCGTAGTCGGAGATGACAGGACAAGCACTACCGTGTGACCGATGTTCGGAGTAGAGTAAATACATTCCTTGACCATTCATTCGTCGCCCCCTCCGCATTGGTCCGCAATCTGGCGCAGGCCAGCGAAAGGAAATCTCCGCCCAAATTGGCCCGCGTACAACAGACATCGAGAAGGGCCAGCGGCGTAAGCCGAACAAGATCACGGCTTCGCAGGTTATGCGGTGGCGGTGGATGCAGCGCTTCTTGTACTTCTCCCTGTTCGAGCCGTACATTGTCAACACCGTCTTGAGGGGAACGTGGCTCCTCAACGTCTGGCTAAGGCTCATGGGTGCAGACGTTTCTATGGGCGCCCTGATTCTAGGCAAGGTGTCTGATCACGGCATGGTGAAGGTGCGACAAAACCGTTGGTTGCTTTGGGCACAGAGGTCAGTGACGTCTATGCCACTATTGTGCCTCATGATAAACGTTCATGCTTTCAGACACCGCGAAAACCTCATCATCCATGTTGGGCAAGCCTTCAGTGTCGCTTTGTTGTCAGCCGACGACGCCCTCATTCGCCCCTTGCACTCTGCGCGCTTCCTCACATACCCGTCCCCACGCGATGCAGGTTTGCAGGGGATCCGTTGTTGCTGGGGTTCTCTATGGGCACTGCGTTAGCTTTGTCGACGGAGTCTGGTCCATGGAAATGGCGCCTGCATGTGTAGGTAGGTATGCCGGTGCAGATAAACCGGTGTGTAAGACGCATTGTGTCCAGACTCATATGAGAATTCTTCCACTTCATCCACTGCGCATACCCCCACCCCCACCCCCACTTCCTTGGTCACACTACTGTACATTCTGCACACGAAAATTGCTTCGAGGGGGCTTCGTAGCGGTAGGCTACAACACTGCAAACGATTGTCGTAAAAGGGAATGGAACACCTTTGAGGACGAAACGCTTCCGAGACTGGGTTAACCCTGAAGGCGTTGTCCTCACGGTCACTTTGTCGTTTGTCCTGTAAGGGGTCACTTTTCGTTTCACTTCATCAGTTCTCCTCGTGCCCCCTCAACTGTGTTGTTGTTGGAACCCAACCCGACGAAATCTCTACCTGTAGACAATGTGAACATAAACTGAGCAGCTACAAGGGGCTTGCGCTAATGGTTGCTGGGCGACATGTCGCCACGGTCCCACCGGGATGAAAATTAGGCCCTCACCACATAGATCAGCGTGGCCGACCTTGAAAATCGTTTGTTTTTTTTTCTCTTCGAGATGAAGATGCTGTGGAATATTTGTGTTCCACCACGCATGATTTGGCGAGCAACTACTGTACTCCTGACCGCAAACAACCGCCTGACAAAAACAAAGCAAACGCGAGCTCTCACGGGGGTCTGGCAACCGCGTGCACACATCTCCCTCGCCCTCGCCACGTGCTTCAACATTCGGCACATGATCGTGTCGTTCTCCAGGTGAAGGTGCCGTTGTGCACGCCCACACAGGGACCTTTTGCACGGACATGCGGGGTGGATCAACATTGACCGCCGCGAGCGCCACGCTTAGCGGACAGGTTTTGGAAGCCGGGCAAGTGTTCGGGGGTCGGCCTCCTCGGCAGCTAGCTGGGAGCTGGGTGGCGTGACGTGACGCATTTGATTGTGAACCGTGTGCTGGTGATGATTACTGCTGCTGTAGTAAGCGCCACGTGAGAGGATGTACTGTGGTGCATCAGGCCGTAGCAAGGCAGAGGGATTACTTGCCTTGGAAAGTGAATGCTAGAACCTTGGGTTGCTATGGGGCGTGGGACAACAACAAGCCTTCCAGACAGTTTCTCCGGACACTTGTCGACAGTAGATCACGATCATCGATGAGATGGTGTTTTCGCGCGTCATAGGGTGGTTCTAGAACTGGCCCAACTGGCCAATACATTCACCTGAGAAATTTAGGGACGAATCGATCGATTTTCGAGTTCAACGCTGCTGGGGCAGGAAGTCCGCTTCCACAAACGATCTTGGGGTTGTAAGCACTAATTATGCTGGACCATGTAGGGTATGCCCGGTACATGTATTTGAATAGCCCAATATTTTCGGTTTGTGCACTACAGTACACCAAATATATTTTGAGGTCGACCAGATACACAACGCACTTTTCGAAACTTCGTCAACCTTCGGGAGCTTCATTACTTTACGAAGACTTCTGGCAGTTGTGCGGACGAACATATGACTACATCGCTTAACCTTCCGCTTCCGCTTTGAGGCTGGTAGTGTCGTGGGAACCCCCCCCCCGGGAACGGTTCCGTTCAGGACACGACTCGTACGACCGGTGTTTTTTTTCTAGAGGGCACGTCAGACCATGTACATACAGACAGATAGGATAGGCCCGCAGTATTTTTAGAAAGTAACCTCACAGAAAGACTGCCCGTTCGACTGGATATAACCTCAGTCGAAAGGGATCTGTTGAAGTCTTTCCCGTGAGTGGAATGAAACCGACATTTTTGTTCCGAAACAGAGGCTCACACATTCATTCACGAAAACAAATAAAAATACCTCGATCGACGCCACGACATAACACATATCCCGATAAGACATATACCAGAGTTGCAGGTGGATAGGTGGATGTCCACCACAACCACCTCACCCCTTCCTAAAATATACCCGGTAACCCTGCACGTGCCCCGCCATGGATATTTCGATTTTTCTCACTCAGCTTTATTTACTAAACAAGGAAACTTCACGGCAGTGCACCACCGTCTCTCCCCAACCAGAGCCAACCGTGAAGCGCACGCGAAAAAACCAGTACCATGAACCAGCTCCCTTTACTCTTTACCGTTGCAACCGCTGTATCTTCCCAGTTCCACCCGAGCCATGGTGCATATCATACGTGCTGCTTCAAGGGTGGATGGTTTGGGTGACCAACGCCCTCGCACCTTATACCGGTGCCGTCATGCTCGTATGTTGACTGCCGTTCAAGGGTTTGGAGGAACTGGTCTGTCACCTGGCACATGTATCTCGACGTTTCTTCTTGAAACGCCTTGAAATGGACCTGCCGTCGCTTCGCTTTGGCCTCGCGGCCACGCGATTGTTGGCGATTCGTGCTGACACCATGTTATTAACGACCACCATGTTGCACAAATCGGAGTCTGGTTGGGCTTGAGTGAGGTGTCGGTTGGGGGTGTACAACCAAATATTGTACCACTATACACTACGTACGGCGGTGCGGCGGTGCGGCTTCCGTGTCATGAATGCATGCACCTTTTGTTTGCTTTATCAAGGATGCCGAATTTCGAAACCGTCAGTTTTCGACGTCTTGTAGGGAGCCGGTCGCCCCGGTGGTCTAGTTGGTGTCCTCGAAACCTTCTAGAGGTCAGATCAGGGGTTCGAATCCCGGCGTAATATAAGCGAGCTTTTCTTGCAAAGTGGGTTTTTCTCTCGCTTCCGCTTCTGGGCCAGAGGGAAGAGAGTGCTGAACTCTTCTCGCATTAAAAATCGAAGGCAAAGTACCGCAGGAGGGCAGGGCAGAGAGGGGTCCTTCTGTGTGACCACGGGTTGGAATAAACGGCACTAATAGTAGTGCTGTGAGCGCTGATTTGAAGTGAAGACAAAAAAAAAAAAAATGGAAACCCGGCGAACCCTTGTGTTCCTCCGCGTTCCTTCCTTCCGCACACCACCCTCCCTCCGGCACACCCGGTACACCAACTGCCCCACTGCCCCACCCTTACATAAGCTTGCGGGACGACGCTGCAAAGGAGCGAAAGACCAGCGCAAAGGTAGGACGGGCCTTAGCACGCTAGTCGTTGTACGCTATATACCAGGTGCGCACATCTCCTGTACGTTTGTTGTGCAGACCGGCGTTCTTGAGAAAGGAGTGTGTACAGCAGCGCAGCCCGCGCGAGAAGAAATGGCCGTACACACAGCAGACAACAAGCAGAGGCGTGTAAACAACCCACCCCCTCCCGCTTCTTTTCCCGAAGGGTATCTACTGAACTTCCCATAACCGAAGTGCTCAAGAACCTACTATAGGGTCAGATAAAGAGCTCTCCGCCTGATGATGAAGGTTTGGAGCAAGCAATCGAGGAGAGGGAGTCCCTGGCCTGCCGATTCAAACAGCAGTAAGTAATGTAGTCTACCCTCGGGTAGAATTTTGAGTTGAATGTGGGTGAAAACAACAGCAACAAAGAGTCGTCCGTCTAGCCGCTGGAGAGACAGCAGTGCTCTGCGGCGGAGCGGCAAAGCCTCCTGTGTCGATCGGCTTCAAGTTGAGCTCTTTCTACATGTATGTGCACCCATGCGACGCTCTCTCAGGTTTGGTCAGCGGTGTTCGGGTGTTTCTTGGATTGCCGTAGGCGACGCAAGATACCACACACCCTGGAACGATTTTCAAAGCTCGACTTCTAGACAATACAACGACGAGGATGCCCAACTCAAATGAAGCGATTTCGGAAAGATATCGGCACGAGATGCACCGCTACTTTTCCTGCTGTGGATGAAGTCGAGCTTTGACAATCGGTCCCGGGGGTGAGGTATGTATCTGATGTCACGTACGGTAGACAGTAGTTCTTGTAGGCGGAAGTCTGTTTTGCTTCAGCATGAGATCACCTGACATGATTGCATGATCAGCTGACAAAGAGGGTAAACGCAACGAACTATGTTGCTGTGTTGTGTGTACAACCACGACACACCATCTATATACCAACCACACAGACTGCCACAGGCGATTTTGAGCAGATGTACGACCAGATCTTGCCATACTATACACCGCAGTCGTCATCGGGAAGTGCTCTTCACGCAAACACAGCAGTGCAAGAATTAGATTGTATTGTGCAATGACGACACACAATAGGTATCTCGAGAGAGCGCATCCCCAGCACCGTGACTTGGTTTTGACGGCGTAGTGTAAACCCAAGTGAGTCGCGACAAAAGCATCTCGACAGCGTCACTGTGGGAGGCGTTATTAGTCCCATCAGCAACTGAAACCGTCCGAACAGTTGCTCCTCTTCTGCACCCCATGAACACCGCATACGTGAGACATCCACTGCACAAGACTGGATGACATCTGCTGTAACAGTAGTTCCAACATATGCATCTCCACCCAATTTCAATAGGGAACATGCACGCGTTTGGTCAATCACGGTCCGGTGTCATCGGTTTTTGTGTCGGGTGTCGGCTTTAACACAGTACGCTTAACGGCAGTATCCACTAAGCTAATCAGACACTCCTCCGCCGCGTTGCTCCGTGCTGACGTCGCCTGTATGCGAGATTTCGAAACCTTAAAGCAAAAGACGCAAAGCACATTCAGACAGAACCGATTTTGGAAAACGCAGGGGCTCACTTACGTACTCGAGTCATGCTTGCCGTGTGCAACAACCGCGCGCAATTGCACACCGCCAGTCATCACGTCTAGCGGCCTTCCGCGCGCAATCACCCCATAGGTCTAGTGCTTCACCTACGCCTCTCACACCCCGGGAAAACCTGTGGCCCCCTGTTTGATCGCATCAACCATGAGAACAATACAGCTGTCCGCAGTCATCCGCCCGAATTGTGTCGACTGGTCGCGCTTCGTATCGTGCGACGGATCAATCGGCTGACGGATTCCCTCTGTCTTGCTGATGGGCCATGACACATCGTCCAGGTTTGGGCCCCTTTCCGATCAGACCGTTTCCGGTTTGATCTTTTCTGCACGTTGGTTTGCTCCATGCGGTTACGCACGGTCGTCTCGGCTGCGTCGGCGGCAAAAATTTCCGCCACCTTGGTCAGTCGATGATCGGTTTTGATTCGCCGTTGGAGAGGACCCTTTCCGGTTTGTTCATTTTGGCTGTCCACCCAATAGGCCATCATCTCAGTCGCGTGGGTGAAAGCCCCAGAGCGAGTAAACACCGTGTTGGCATTTATTCCTGGACCCAGGGGCAACGTCGTACATGGTCGAAAACGGGCGTTCGTCCCCAGTCCAAGCGCCATCGGAAAACGGCTTTCGTCATATACACGCCCACGTGTCGAGAATATTCTCTTCCTACGGAATCAGTTCAACTCCATCATCGGGAGTCCCCCCTACTTTGAGGCGTATGCGTTACAACTTCGACCGCCGTTATATATTTGCCTGAAAATTACATTGATGAGCGTGACGGGTTTATCCGCCAAAACCTTACGTTTTCCATTGCTTCTGCGGTACCGCAGATGGACGTCGACATCAACGAGCTTATCCGTCTGGAGGCCGAGCTGAAGACCTCATGTGAAAGTGAAACGTCGCCTGTTAGTCTAGACGCCAAGGTGAATATCCTCAAGTACCTTCAAGTCCAGACGGTATTGCGGTTTCAAGGACAGTACGACGGTCTGTACTACGAGCTGAACAAGACGGGCGGCCTTGAGTGTCTTCGGGGCATCGCCGCGGTTCGGTCGACGGAGCTCTTGCAGCCCAAGGTCTTGGGCCTACAGGACTGCAGTGAGGACGAGCAACTTGAAAAACAGCTACAGTTCTATCTTGCGGATGCTGAGCTTGCAAAGCCGAATTTGGACGAGCTCGTTACGAAGGTTGCGCACGACTCGAGCAAGTACGAGGTTCAACGCGCGGAGGTCAAGTCACGGGAAAGCACGCGACGGAAGGCCAGCAGAGAGCATGATGGGGACGTCAGAAAGGTCGCTGACATGGCTAGGGTGACCCTGATCTGTGCTAACCCGGAGGCCCTGAAAGAGGCGTACTCGTCTATCATGGAGATGCCTGAGGTGAGCAGGGCATCCAGACTTGACGACAACCCGCAATAATTGTGGAAGTTGTTCCATAAACGTTCGCTTGCTGTTTGATTTGACGTTGGTACTTGAAGCAACTTTCGAAAACCGATTGTGCCTCGTTGTGCTGCTTCGTTGTAATGAAGAACAAACGGCGATGACAATAATAGCAGAAGTGACTATTTCTTCTATTAGCTTCTATGGTTCTTGCACAAAAGTAGAAATGGTTGTTAACGACAATCTACTTGGGGTAGCTGTGTATCGATTGGGTTTTGGGTCACCGGGTGGAGATTTTTGTTGCTCTACCCTGAGGTCGTTTCAATTGGCCGTGGTGAATTCCTGCCCTGGGCCGTACTCCCTCCAACTGACGAGGCAGGAGCGTTGATTTCCTCGATGCCCTCATATGACTAGCGGCACCGAACCACTCCGATTCTCTTGCTGCTCATTCTCCATACACCTTGAACCAGTAGCATCGCAACGGGCTCTATCAAACGATTCCCGAGCTCCGACGGTACCGGCGTTAGGATTGGACACATCCGCCGAACAAATGCAGATAAAATTGGTGATCGGCCCGATGCGGCACCACCGTAGTAGCTGTTCTCGCCGCAGAATGTCAACCTCAATCTTGGATTTTCCTAAGTGCTTCCCACGAAGCATTTTTGGACCCTCTAGGTTCGATAAATGCTGAGCGAACAGACGGTGCTCTTGAAAACGGACTTGCTGCCTGCATTTCCCAGATATGCGTGTCGATACCGATGTTTTTGCGTGAATACTGCTTCACACCCTCAGGGACATGAAAATCCAACGCTGGTGGTGTGGAGGGCACACGTCGTGTCGATCGACCGGCCCCGCGGTTGGGCGTAGGTAGACGACTTTGGACTCCTCCTTGCGTTCGAGGCTTCCTTGAACTAGGGTTGATATGGTCAGCAATTGGGGCACCTGTGCATTGTTTGGCCTCATTCATGCTCTCGCCAGCAGGACAGAAAGATGCCTGCATACAACGCACACCTTTTTTCTAAAACCCGCCAAGTATCCAGCTAATAAATATCGATGCACACTCTTAAAACGCAATCGCCCCCCCGAGCTAATGCGCAAAATTAGATGTCCTCTATGAGTACAGTTCAACCTCTATGCTACCCAAGGAGCTGTCCCCATATACTGAAATTTCCCAAGATGAGCAAGCGATCATTGACAACAATCCACCCACAACGAACAATTCATGATTCACCCTGTTTTCTGCTACCCTTGTGAACTGGTAAAATGGCTCGTGCAGCAACACGTTCTGCGGATTAAAAACGGCTTCAACTCCGACTGGATGCCTAGCGGCTATCGGGATGTGAAGCTGAACCCCGTCGTGAACGAGCACCTATGTGAGATTCAGCTGCACCTCCGCGAGTTCTTTGCATTGAAAGGCGGCCAGCACGAGGTGTACAAGTGGGCGCGGGATCTCAACGTCACTACGGGGATGCGCAGTGAAGACCTTATCAAAAATCTTTCCCCTGAGGTATCGAAGGAGATGCTGCACCTGGCTGGGGAGAACTGGCGTGGAACTGCGTACGTTCTACCGGACCTACAGCTCGCTGCTGGACAATACGACCTGGCCGAGAAGAGCCACCGACAGGTAGCCGTGGGAATTGCAGTTTCGTCTCACCCTTGTGTTTACACATAGGTTTGTGTCGGAGCGCGTCTTGAATGGGCGTGCATCCACAACATGAAATTGATTCCTGTGGAGGGACTCGGTATAGGACAGTGGCATCAAAGGGTGATGTAAGACTATCCATAGAGGCAGGCGACTGGACCAGCCCACAGCTGGCTGCCAGCGGCCAGATGTGACGCTTCCCAAGCCCAACAGCCCACACAGCTAACATATTTTACTTGAAGAACCCAGCGACCCTCAACGAACCAACAACAACTACTTTCAAACATGTATTCAGTCTTGTGTAATGTGGTGACGGTTTAATTTCCGTTCACCTTCCAGACACTTGCGGATGCTGAGCACAAATTACGGGAGTTTGAAGACGACGACAGCAAGGAATCAAGATGGGCATTGCACCGCGAAAGCGCAGCCATGTCAAGACTTGCCTGTGTTCTGGATAAACAGGCAAGGCGAAGGAGCATCGATTCGACCGCCACACGTTTCACAGTTCGCCGAAACATTGTGCTTAGCGGCGAATACCCTTGGGAATCTTGGCCTGGAGATCGCGTTGCTGTGATCAATATGTGGTTCTTGTACAGGGTCAGGGAGATATTTTTTTTGTTAGGAGCACACCGCACTCGTGGGTGGTTCCTTTCATCAAAACTGTTTCCTTGGCCCCAAAACTACTGTACCCCAACCTCTTGCGGATGACCGAAATATCAGCATGCTGCCAATATCTTGTTTGGGAGACAGCAAACTCAGTCGTAAGGACCATCGTGGAGATATTCGGTCTATGATCATTTCTCAGAATACTCGGAACTCGGCATATTTGCTGAACTGGTAGCACGCCCCGCGTCTGGATGGATAAGGTTTTCTCCGAGCGCATGAGTCGGCTAGCAATTCTGCGGTGGGGATGCCAAACCGCTACGAGCACACGACACATCTCATATGGTTTGCGGAACAGGCTAGCAGCATGACCTACATGCCAGCACGATATCTCCAGCACCACCATTCGTTTTGCGCCAGGGGGTAAGCCTCTCTCAGGCCTGACTATCTCGGGCCGTCTCTCTCTCCCTCTCATCTACCATGTTTACGCATCGTCTGCTTCCTGTCCCTCGCTTCATACTGGCTGAGGGAGGCACATGAAGCAATATTATCGTATTGTCTCTTCCCCACAACTGCTGCCGTCGCATGTAAAAGGAGTTAGGTTTGAGGCGGGTACATGCGTACGCTATTGCTGGTGCCTATGTACCACTCCTGTGGTGTACGGTGCTGCTCGCTCTTCATGTCGTGAAAATGTACCGCACCATACCTCTCCTTTCACACACCCCTAAATTAGGCCACGAGGCGATTTGCGTCACCAAAGCATTTTTCCTTTTTCTTTCCCGTGACATTCCAGGGCAAGTATAAGGAGGCGGAGACTCTGTTCAGGCGCTTGCTGGCTATCAATGAGAAAGTGTACGGTGCTGACCACCCGGAAATCGCTACAGACCTCAACAACTGGGCGGAGTTCTTGAGGAGTCAGGTGGGAGGAATCGAAAATTCATATTTCGTGCAATTTTAGTGGGTCCTACTCGTTGGTGAAGCGATGGTTCATGGCCAACGAATGGTCACAAGCTACGTGTAGGAGAGGAGGCCTTGCGTTTGAGAATCCAGATGCGAGATATTGTAGGGTCCAACAATGATTGATGAAGAAATTTCGCAAGTCTCAGGCGATTATGAACATGGTAGGTGCGACGATGACGACGCACTTTATGAACGGTCAAGAGTCATACGAAAAAGGCGCTTGGTCAGGAGGACCGCGACGTGACCCAATCGCTCAACAATCAGGTGGTGTTGTTCAGCGTGTGCTCGTCTGTAGTGAACTTGTCTCGCCTTGACCACGCCGCCATGACGCGTATCTTTCCTCTTCCAGGGCGAGTGTCCCGAGGCTGATCCTCTGTTCCTTCGAGTTATTGAGCTTGGAGAGAAAACCGTTGGGACCTGACCACCCAGCTCGTGCAGCACGGCTTAACTACCGGGCGGGATTGTTGGCCATGTTTCCCACATGCAGCGTCACCAAACGAATTTGTCTCTTGCATTTCCTGTCACAGGGCAAGTATCAGGAGGCTGAGCCTCTGTACGTTCGGTCGCTGGCTATCGATGAGAAAGTTTACGGTCCTGACCACCCGGAAGTCGCTACCGACCTCAACAACTTGGCGGGGATCTTGGACAGCCAGGTGAGAGCCATGTACAATTTTTACTTCCCAGCAACTTTGGTAGGGCTACACTTCTTGGTGAATCGCTATTTCATGGCGAAGCTACTTTTTGAGGGTCACAGGCTGCGTGCATGTCTTGGAGAGAAGACCCTGCGACCGCAGAACCCAAATATGAACGGAATATAGTTAGTGAAGAAGTTTCGCTTTTGGTTTTGTATCACTCCCTGACACCAACTCCCTGGTGGCCGTTGAAAGGGTGGTGCAACGAGGCCGAAGTGCTTCTTACTAAATATGAGAGAAAGCGCTCGGGCAGGAGCACCCATATGTGGCCCAGTCGCTCAACCTCCGGGCGCGGTTTGTTGAGCGTGTGGTCGTCCGCATTGAGTTTGTATTTCTCACTTTGACCACTCTGGCATTCCCTTCCCCTTCCAGGGCAAGTATACAGAGGCAGATCCTTTGTACTTTGGAGCTGTGGAGAGGACCCGTTGGGCCCTGACCACCCAGCTCGCGCCACACGTCTCAACTAGTTACCTGGCCCGGCGGATGTGTTAGCTATGAAGCCGTCGCATTTACAGCGTTACCGAATGAATCTCGCTCTTGCCTTCCTGTCACATTCAGGGCAAGTATGAGGAGGCCGAGCCTCTGCAAGTTCGGTCGATGGCCATCCGTGAGAAGATTTTAGGTCCTGACCACCCGACGGTCGCCGTTAGCCTCAACAACTTGGCGGAGTTGTTGAGGAGTCAGGTGAACGCCATCGGCATTTTCGAATTTGCCATAAATTTCCTTGTAGGGTCAACACTTATTTGGGAATCGTAAGTTCATGGCGAAGCTGCTCTGTGAGCAGTCAAGGGATGCGTATAGCGGAGCAGAGTACGTCCTGCGTCCGAATAACCCAGCTGTGATAATTTCTAGGGTTCACATGGGTCAGTGAAGTGAGTACGTTTCGTTAATGGTGAACCCGTTGCACCCACTCCCTGAGTATAAATTCCAAGGTAGGTACGATGAGGCCGAGTGTTTTTATCGGTCAACAGTCAAGATGAGAGAAGGCGCTACAATAGATCAGGAGCACCCCGATGTGGCCCAGTCGCTCAACAATCGGGCGGGGTTGATGGGCGTGTATTCGTCCGCTATGAGCGTTTGTGGCCTAAACGACACTACCAAGACGCTATTCTTTTCCCTTCTAGAGGTATTATGCCGGGGTGGTTCCTCTATACCGTCGAGCTATTGAGGTTGCAGAACGGATAGTGGCGTATTGACGACCCACCGTTTGACGCTCGGCTCGCCAACCAGGCGGGGGTGTTGGCTATGGTTTTCGTTGCATTTATACCGTTACCGAATTAATCTCGCTCTTGGTTGCCTGTCACATTCAGGGCAGATATGAGGAGGCCGAGTCTCTGCATGTTCGGTCGATGGCCATCCGTGAGAAGGCGTACGGTCCTGACCACCCGACGGTCGCCGTTAGCCTCAACAACTTGGCGGAGTTGTTGCGGAGTCAGGTGAACGCCATCGGCATTTTCGAATTTGCCATAAATTTCCTTGTAGGGTCAACGCTTATTTGGGAATCGTAAGTTCATGAACAAGCCACTCTAGGAGCAGCCAAGGGATGCGTCTAGGAGAGAAGACCCAGCGTCCGTATTATCCAGCTGTGAGATATTCTAGGGTCCACATTCGGTCAGTGAAGAACGTTTCGTGAACGGTGGGCCACTCCGTTGAACCCACTCCCCTTGTATTGGTACCAAGGAAGGTACGACGAGGCCGAGTGTTTTTAACGACCACAGTCAATGAGAGAACGCGCTACAAAATATCTGTAGCACACCGATGCGGCCCAGTCGCTCAACAGCCGGGGGGGATTGACGGGCGTGTATTCGTCCGCAAAGAGCGTTTGTGGCCTTAACGACACTGCCAAGACGCTATTCTTTCCCCTTCCAGAGGTGCTATGCCGAGGTGGTTCCTCTTTACCGTTGAGCTATTGAGATTGCAGACACTATCGTGGCGCCCTGGCGACCCCGATCGTGAAGCTAGACTGGATTGCGTGTTGACTATGGTTCTCGTGGCATTTACAGCGTTCCCGGATGAATCTCGCTTTCGCCTTCCTGTCACAGGGCAAGTATGAGGACGCCGAGCCTCTGTACGTTCGGTCGCTTGCTATCCATGAGAAGGTTTTAGGTCCTGACCACCGGTACGTCGCTGTTAGCCTCAACAACTTGGCGCAGTTGTTGAGAGATCAGGTGAGAGCCATGAGAACTTTCTAACTTTCCAGCATTCCGTACCATCAGAACTTGTTGGGGAAGCGTTGGTTCTACGCGAAACTGGTCAATGAGTAGTTACAGGCTACGCCTCGGAGAGAAGACCCAGCGTCCGGAGTACCGAGCTGTGAGATATTCTAGGGCCCACATGTGGTCGTAAAAGACTTGTCCATTTCTGGTAAACCCTCGGTTACATCAACTCTCCGATGATCATTAACACGGTAAGCATGACCAGGTCGAGCATCACAGTCAGTAGGAAAGGTGCTCGGGCAGTGGCATGTCCACGTGGCCCTGTCGCTCAGCAACTGGGCGGGGTTGTTAACGCGTGTGTGTCTGTAATATCATTATTCACCTTGACAACACTGCGTTCACGGTTTGTTGTTTCCCTGACTGGGGAAGCACTTCAGAAACGATCCTCGGTGCCTTCGAGCTATACGTTGGGCCTTGACCACCCAGCTCGTGCCGCACAGCTCAACCCGGCGAGGTCGTTGTCTACAAGTGTGGTTTCCTCGCACTCACAATGCCATCAAGAATCTTTGCTACTTCCTTTCCGATCACATTCCAGGGCAAGTATGAGGAGGCGGAGCCTCTGTGCGTCCGGTCGCTGGCTATCACTGAGAAAGTGTACGGTCCCGATCACACGGAAGTCGCCACGGGCCTCAACAACTGGGCAGAGTTCTTGAGAGATCAGGTGAGAGTCACAACGGTTCTTGTATTTCCCAGCAACTTTGGTAGGACCACGCTTGTTGGTGAATCGTTAGGCGACAGGCGAAGCTAGTTTGTGAGCAGTCACAGGATACGCATTGGAGAGAAGGCCCTACTTCCGCAGAACCCAGGTGTGAGTATTTCTAGGGTCCTCAAATGGCCGGTACGGATCGTTGATGGTGGACCACTCCCTTGCACCCTATCTCTGGTGAATTGACAGGGTAAGTACGGCGAGGCTGGGCCGCTGTACCAGAGAGCACAGGAGACAATGGAGAAATCGTTGGGGAAGGACCATCCAAACGTTGCCACAATTTTGAATAACCTGGGCTTGGTGTTGGAGAATCAGGTGAGAGGCCATGAAACGTTCATGGGAACTCGTAGAGCTCATGTTCATTTTCAATTGGTAGAACTCCCTTCTTGGGAACAACAATGTCGTGCTAGGCAGGTCAAATCCGAAGCGATGTACAGTCTCTGACTACGAGCTACTGTGGGGCAGAATACGCTTGGCCCCGACCACCCATATTTGGCAGCACAGCTCAGCAACAGGGCGCCGTTGTTGCTTGCGGGTTTTGCGCGCACATTAGTCTAAGCATCGCCAAACGGATTCCGTTCTTTCCTTTCCTGTCATATTCCAGGGCAAGTATGAGGAAGCCGAGCCGTTGCATGAGCGGTCACAGGCCATACGAGAGAAGATGCTGGGTCCAGAGCACCCTGATGTAGCCGTATCGCTCAGCAGCCGGGCGTCGTTGTTGCTCCGGCAGGTAAGAGCCAAACAATGCGTCTAGACGCTTCTATAAGAAATCATTCCGCGGTGGTCGAGGTTTCATTTTGACAGAATTCCAACTCTCGGCCGCGCTGTTCACCACAGAGACCAAGCCACTACATGCGCGCTCAGAAACCATAACAAAGGGACGGTCTGTGTCTGTAGCACCGGAATGTCGCCCAGGCGCTCAACAACCGGGCGGGTGGGTTTGAGATGACGTTCTCCGCAGTTATAAACCCCCCATTGGCCTGACGCATCCAACTCTAACACGCTATGAACGACTGCACGTTTGGCTGATCCACTCTATGCGCGTTGATAGTTGAACTTCGAAAGGGCCTTGGATTCCGAACCCCAGAATGTGGCAAAAGCCCTGAAACAACCGGGCGGGGTTGTTCACCGAGAGTTTTTCGATTTTTTTCGGGATTTCTCATGCAGTTCATACTCAGCGGTGAATCATTTAGTTCCGGGTAGATCACTCACAGTAACCCAATGCGAGGTACACTGATGCCGGTCCATTCTACGAGCGATCATAAGCTGTTGGAAATGAGGTGCTGGGCTAGTGGCTGTATTTCCCGCTTGTGCTGAACTGGATATTCTGCGTCAATGCACGAACGACTGGATACCAAGGTGTGTACACCAAAAGTTGTGCCATTAGATGTGCGGGGCCTTGCGATAGACGAAAGGGGTCTTAGCTCTGAGATTGGCCGCAACCGACGAGGTATGTGTACGGATTGATCGACATTTTCACCGCCCAAGTCTGCGCATCACATGTGTTTCACCCACTGGATTCTGTCGCTCATTCCTGCATGTCAAACGTCGACAGGAGAAATACACGGAGGCAATCCCACTATTGGAGAGGGCCCTGTCAATCCGTACGAAGAGGCTTGGGAAAAATCACCCACGCACAGTTGGGACTCGGAACAACCTCGAGTTTGGTCTAAGAAAGGTTCGTCCACCTCTGGACAATCTTGTAGGCAAGCCTCGTGCACAAAGCATTGACGAGAAGGACTGATGGCGCTCAATGAATATTGTGTGGTCCACGTGGCCATGTGTGTGGGCGAGATTGAAGAAGCTGCCCACGGTGGTAGCGGTCACTGCAAGCAAACGCGATGAGCTAGACGAGGGGAAAGCTCCCGAAAGGCGAAAGGAAATTATGAAATTATCATCCAGCGTAACGAGACGTTGTTTATCTTTCTCACGTCCTTGCGTCTACGGATACTTGGCTGTGGTATTGATCAATCGTATATATCCTGTTGGTACGGTATGGATTGACCGTTGATGGATCGTGTTCGCTGCTAGGGTACAGGAGTCTCTTGCCTACAGAGGATGGGCTTGTAAATGCTTGTATTTTCCTGTGGTTCTTCGTACGTGATGTGACCACCCTTCCTTCCCGTAGAAAAGGTGGACGACGCGCCTCCTAGTCTTGAGGCAAGGTGCTGAAGACACAGTCAGTCACGCTTGCCTACAGATGTTTCGGGTGTATATGATCATGCCGTTCGTTGTGTGGTTATTGCTGTCGTACTGTCTTTGCGACCAATCGATATTGCAGTGGCACATGGTCGTCAACTGGGTCGTGACGAACACAACGGCCTCTCATCAGTCTGCAGGCTTCAGCTACACGCACATTCCGTCCACTTTTCGGTCGTCTCCAACAGAAGAATAATTATGAGCCACAGGGGGCACGTTGTGTCGTCGCAAGCATGAAAAATGTGTAAGTCAATTTTCCAAAAGGCCTCGGAGTCGATCAGCGGTCGGAATGGAGCGCAACGTCAATGGTCGTCGCTTCCATCCTCGGCGAGACGACAGAGAGCGCACAACAGAAAAGTGATCTCTTCTTGTTCGTTCAATGCTACAAATATGCATAAAATGGAGTAGTACCAAGTATCATTCATTGTGGGCATGGCCGGAAAACGACAAACTTCCCGCAAGGACCTGAACTGAGAGCGAGCGAACCAACGGGAAATAAATACCTTGTGCGGTTTGAATATTCATCTGCATAGGTATGGTCGGAGAACGATTAAGTAAAACGGCCGCTAGCTCACATCGTTGATTCGTGCGGTGGGATACACCGCAGAGGGGGGAGAGCGAGCTTGAAGTTGGCTTCGTTTGGGCACACGACGGGATACCTCAGGAGGTGACACAAGATATCACACACCCTGAACCAATTCTCAATAAAGCTCGATGTGTCCTCCCTCTCTCCTCGAAGAAGAGGGTGATGCAAACAATAACTGAAACGATACGTTTCGGAAAAAAGCTCTCTCGACGAGAAAGCTTAGACGCCGCCGCCGTTTGCGGCGCCGCCACTCTTCCTGCTGTGCACAAATCGATGATGTCTTGGGTCGTGTCGCCTGTTCCACTGTAAGAAAAAGAGTCTGCAGCGGTGCTGCGAATGGCGGCGTTGGAAGCAGGTTCGGCGAGAGCTTTCCGAAGACATCCTCTTCGTCGTTAAGGAACCCAGCTTCGAAAATCAGCCCCCCAAGGCGGGGGTGGTACACATACATGACGTCATACGATGCCGTGCAGGTCGTGCAGGCATGTTGAAACGCTCATCATGTGTCAATCTTACCTCGAGCGCGCAAAAACGATGAGTGAGTCATGATAGTATGTATGTAGTCTTCCATTCAAAACTTGTCGCCCCGCTTGTCTCAGCGCGAACACACACACGCGTACGCTTCATTTCACCTCACCCACCAACCAACACCAACGACACAGACCAAAAATGGATCGAAAACTTCCGAGAAAAAGCGATCGACGCAAGGAAGCAGAAACGCCTAACCACCTGCACGCATGAAACTCCCTTGATTACTTCTCATGATAGTAGGTTGGCTAAAAATGAACTCGCGTCATTTGCAACACCTATTTAGTCACAACCAGGAAACTGCTTGACTAGAGTGATCTTGCGTCATCCGCAACACCCGGTCACCCCCACGAGGTTCGGAAGGTCACCACAGAAGAAGGAATCCCGTATGCCCACAACCTTGCCAGCAAGCCAGTGATGTGATGATGATGCGGTAGGTAGAGGGGTCACCTCATCTCACATTGTCGGGTAGGGAGACACGCCTCTACGTGAACCTGTTGGCCGCTTCCTATGTCGGCGGAAGAGGAGCGGAACAGAACCACCGCCACTTGCCTTCTCCCAAAAGGGCGGGAAGATTTCAGCCACAACCCGCTACCGTGGCATCAGCCAAGCGTGGTCGTATCGATCAGCAGCAGCACTGGAACTAAACGCTCAACAAAGCCGTCCACGGACACACAATAATCATACGCACGCAAAGACAGGTTGTAGGCAGGTGGTTACCCTCTCCCATACAGAAAAAATAAAAGAAACAAAAGCACGCAACAGACACAAAACAGCAAGACCATCGATTCAGTCGAACGCCTTGGGCAAACACAAAAAAACATCGAACAGAACAAGGCGCCCAACGAAATTGCCTCTTTTCATCTTGCGGGTTATTACCCCGGGGTGAGGGGGCTACGCCTAACAAGGTCCTCCCTCGTCCTTACCACGACGAAGAGATCAAACCACTCCTGAGGTCACTGCGGAGCTCCCCCCCCCCCCCCCCTACCGTTTCGATCGCCACACCCTCGAGCACCCATCGTTTCGACCGCGTCATCATCACCAACAGACAGTGGTGCAGCGCACCAGCAGTCATGAAACAAGCAATCAAACCATCCATATGGGAAAACGCGTACCCTCGGTGACGCAAGATATCACACCCCCTGGACCGGTTTTCAAGACTCGATTTCTCCACATCGAAGGAAGAGAAAACGAAGTAAATATTTAGTTGAAAACGATGCATCTTTCCTCGCAAAGCCCTCTCTCGACGACACGTCTTCAAAGCCGCCGTTCGATATTTTGAGCTTCTTTGAGAATCAGTTCAGGGGGTGTGGTATCTTGTGTCACCTGTGGTCGTGGTCTTGGTTTCCGGGTGCGGGAAGGCTCGCGGACCAAAAAAAGAGACAAGCCGATGATGACCCCTACAAGCATGAACAGCACCTCCACCACAACTGCAGCCAAAAAAAAGGGGATTTGATTGCGATTTCATCGGTATCGCCCATCATAGTCCACCGCAGTACGGCGTGAGTAAACGTCCTTTCGCCCCGATTGGACGAGCACGTGATGGCCAGTAGCCTTTGTTCCCCCGGATTATGCCGCTCGACGAACGACGAAAACTACAAGTGGACAAGTGCGATACGGCTGGTGGAATCGAGAGCTATCTCGACCCGACAGCCTCGCGCGTGCCTCTCCCTGGCATGCCGACTTCCCACAGCTTTGGCGGGGGAAAACACCAACCATGCCTCCACAACACCCCCCTCGGGGCAACAGCAGTGTTATCATAAAATTACCGACAGTTCCCCCAACAGAATAATGTTCCATCCTATTTTGGTGTTCCCTTCGCTATCCGTTTCCATGAAGAAAACAAAAAAAGTGTTCGTTCCTATCGGTCCCTTTCGCTTTCTTGTTTCCCTTGGCAGCATCGTGCCGCCGCGACTCCGCCGCCGCAAACACACTCATAGCCTGGCAACGTGGCATTCGCTCCAAAGAGCGACCACCAAAAACTCGGCGAAAAACATTTTTCGTTCCTTTTCTTGCGCTGCAAAGGACCACAAACCAACAGGTCGACAAACCCGGGAAATGATGGGCGCGAGGGAAATCATCCAATAAAATCATCCAATGATCTAGACACCATCCAAGTACCAAATGGATGTCCCCCCCTTAGAATAGTGTGCTGGCAAAATCATCCCATATAAAACCATCCAATGATCTAGACACTCCGAAGTGCCAAATGGACGATCCCCTCCCCCCCCTCCCCCCGTTCTACACCGGTTTTCCATTAACCGTTTCGGGGACGTTTTCCATGGCCGGGGTCATCTCCCGGAGTCCTTGGGCGCTTCGGCGGCAGAGCTGACACGAGCGGTGGGCTCGGTGGCGAATTCCTCTGAAAAAGTCGACAAAAAAAAAACAACAGGGGGTGGGGTGGGGGGGTGAGGATGGGTTCAAGTTTTCGCAGCGGTTGGGCACATTTGGACTTTTATCAAAACGGCAAATCAGACGTAAACGGGTTGATCATGTTGCATGCAGCACAAAACTACAAGACGCTGTCGAGGGTGACAGTGTAGACCAGTCGGCCGAACCTACCGTAGGTTGAAAAAAGCTATGGCAGGTTGCACAAGACGGCAGTGTGCCGTAAAGAAGCGAAGAGATGGCACCCTTCTAGACTGAACTTCAAACCTCCATTGCTCCACCACCAAGCTTGTGCCAACACCGTTAAGGGTAGTTTTGGAAATATCTTACCGAGGGCTTTGGTCGTGGAGCAATCGAGCTTGGAAAGTCGGTGTAGGGGGGGGTGTCATCCCTCTGACTCTTGCGGAACACCACGGTACGGTATACGGTACGGTACAGACAATCTTGGTCGTGGAGAAATCGAGATTGGAAAGTCCGCCTAGGGGGGGTGCCATCTCTCCACCTCATACACACCATGGACAACTTCGTTTGTCTGGGGAATCTTGGAAGATGGTCACGAAAAAACACCGAGCCGCCACCAACAGAGTCACGACTGCACTAGAATGATACGAGAGCAATGATTGGCGATGCAGGACATGATGTCCATACAGAATTCAAGCGCATGCCAGTCGCATCGAGCGCATGCATGCCCAAATGTACCCACACCCACGGGCGCCGAAACACCCCACCTGACAAACGCCCATCCCAGTCAGTCGCGTCAAACGCATTAATGTTGTTGTTGTTTAAGTTGTCTTCACAAAAAAAGCGTCTGCATGCAAAAAACCTCACCCAACCCCCCCGCCAACCCACCTGCCTAACCCCCATGCGGTGGAAAGCGAGCTGCAGCTGCAACTCCTGCTCCTCCTGCCCCCTCGCCTTCTGCTCCGCCTCCTGCTCCTGCTGCCGCTGCCGCTCCCGGTCCAAAAACACCACCTGCGTGACCGTTGTCTCCCTGTCTCTCCTGCCCCCACTGCACCCGCTGCCACTGCCGCTGCCGCTGCCGCTGCTGCTGCCGCCGTTCTCGAGGTGGTACCGTTGGCGCTTGGCTACCGGAAGCGACGGCGACAATGACGATGACGGTGACGATGGCGAGACGTCCATGCCCTCTCCTCTTCTGCCGCCCCCCCTGCCGTGGCCACCGGCGCCGCCCCCGCTGCTGCCGATCGCGCGGTCTCCCGACAACAGCACCGTGGAGGCCACCCCCGGATCAACCACCGCCGCAGCCGCCGCCGCCGCCGCCGCCGCTATCCCTTCCGCCGCAGGGCGGCCGGTCACCGCCGCCGCCGCCCCCGACCCTCCCCGTCCCCCCCTCCCCCCCTCGGAGAGCCGTCCGGAGCTCAAGCTCGACCTGCTCACGGGATAGCATTCCCCAGGCGGCGGCGGCGACGGCACCGACCTCACTAACGGCAAATCTAACCTGCCGGCGCCGAAAACAAA